AAAAACAACAACAACCAAGCCCTTTTTCGTTGTCACCTTTTCCAGCCCTCCGACAGAAGCGGTGCAGTCTAAACGGCGACCACTGCCGTAATAGCCACGGTTGTTTCCAGAGGAATTCTCCCGACTACTATACTCAATGACACAATTACGGTCGCTGCCCCGCAGCTATGGTTATCTCAGCCGAGGTCAGTGTCGGTGTGATAAGCTCGGATTCGAAAGGCTCTACAAGACGTCGGTCGTGAAAGCATAGTATGAGTATTATACCCAGAAGGGATGTTGGAGCATTAAGCGAAGCATCTACAATATTCTCACGGAACAGGAGCGGACTGCTTCCCGTCCTGGCGGAGAACTAAGAAACGACGACTCGAGGAGAGACGGAAGGTGGAAGTGGCAAATATAAACAAAGAAGATGAGTACCTTGGCGGAGGACGGGGATAAGACAGGAAACTAGGAACATGAACATTCCAAAGGAACAAACCGTCCACTCCTCGGGACAGCCAAATAAGCATGGAACCTCAAGCCTAAGAGCCAGCCAATTACCAATGGACCTCCACTACCTCAACTCATTGCTATAGTCCATAAGACCCTGATCGCTGACCAGCGTTCCGGGGAAGAAAGTTTGGTTTGAAAGTCACATCTTTAACTAGGGGCCTTCCTTGGCGTCTTAGCTAACTTTCACCCAATTTTCATCTGTACCGTTGCTCTTCGCCCAACCCCATTTTCGAGCAGCGTTCCAGAGAGCAGCGTTTGACGTTGGAAAGTTAGAAAATTTGGCTGAGAAGGGTATAGCGACATTGCATTTTGGCATCTTGGCTAACTTTCATGACAACTTGGCGACAGGTACATTGCTTGATAGTTCTGAGAATTGCCCAAGACACTAGCTAAGACCCTAACACTGAGAAAGGCAAAGCGTTCATGGTAATTACCAGTCTCAAAGTTTCACTCCGCTTGCAATGCAACAACCTGGAACTTTCAACGTTCCGTAACACTGCTCAGGTGCACTCGATCAGGGCCTAACTCCATAATTGCTTAACCCGGAGGAAAGGGCAACCCAGTCTCTACCAACATCAAATCAGCCCTGAACGAACTAGAAACGGCAGCGTCAAAGACACTCAGGAAGACGATGCCGATCTGGCGCACAGCACCCAAACAGATTCCTTTCTGGCTGGCTGGCATGCCCCCGAACGAGATCATTGGAATGGAATGAATGAATGAATGAATGAATGAATGAATGAATGAGTGAATTTTACGACTACGTTCTACCAATACTAGATAATTGGAAGAGAGACGGCGAGGGCTGCCGCCAGGCTACACACACTCCCGGGCAACCACCCACTCACACAGAGACTGAGACAATCTCCACCAAGGGGATGGTCAAGACTGCACGCCCTCGCGGAGTCACAACCCCCACCAGAAGAACCCCCAGACGAAATGTGGCGCCCCAGATTGCCCGCTCTCCGCAACTGGCTCGCCCCCGGCACCGAAAAACAGACACACCGGCCCGGACAATGGACCCTGCCGCCCGAATCCGACCCAGAGCTATACTGGGCCAGCAACAAACCACACAGCCTTGCGGACCAACCATGGTACAAGGACAACAACCCATACCTCAGACTACCACGCAAATACCTAGCGAGGTGGGTAGGAGAACGAACGGGCCACTGGGACTTTCACTCCTATCACGAGCGTTTCAACCACCCCCCCGAGGCGTTCCGGTACTGCACATGCGGAGCACCCCGCAAGAAAGGACAATTTTTCGTATGGCCACTGGTCACCTACCGCAACCCGAACGCGGCAGAAGACACGCCGAAGGCCTTCGGCACAAGCTACGCAACATTTCTCACAAGGATTCAAGCCCTCAAGGACGAGGGATACACACACATCCAGGTATTACGAGGAGGAGGCTACCAGGGGATAAGGGTGGCGAGAGCGGAAACCCCCATCCCGGACGACGAGCCACTGCCATTCGCAGAGGCGCTTGGTCTCCCGGGGTCAGGAGGCCTGGAATAAAAGTAGAAACACACAGAAAGGATTAGGGTTTTTCCAGCCCACGGCCACGCTAGCGCCTGACCTAAGAGGCTTTTTCCCCGCACTAATGTACCTATGCCGAGCCGCTGTCGCGGGCACGACACATTATCTAGTATTGGTAGAACGTAGTCGTAAAATTCATTCACTCATTCATCCATAATTGCTTGGACACTCACTCACCTTAGGATGTTCATTACTTGGACCTACCTAGCTTTCTGCATCGCTGCACTGTTGAACTGACAAAGAAAGGACGCGAGATTTAAACCGGATCAAACTTGCTCAGCGGCCTCTGAAATTGGCAAAGTATCCGAAGAACCCGTCTGCTGTAGATACACACTAGTGTTCGGGGAGGTCCTACGGGCCTCGGCTCTTCCGTAGAGGATGTAAAGCTGGTTCTGGATTTGGAGGTGCAAATGGAGGTGCAAATGAAGATGTAAATGAGATGCAAATAGTGTGCGGGGCGGCAGGCAAGCTGCCGCGGCCCTTCCGTCATGAAAAGAATTTGTTTTGCACGGTTGCTAACAGAATGAAATGTAAGATGTTAGTACTAACAATTATTCACGTGGGCTTTGTAGGCAGAAACGTTCGTGTGATAACAAATAGTTAGTGTGCGCGGGGCTCTGTTTGGATCCCGCCTACTGAAAGCACTAACGTACTAACCGCACGCAACCTGCATGACTTGAACTGTAAATATATAGTGTAGACACTCCCCGCTCACATCATGGACCATATGTTCAGCGGGCCAAAGAACATGATAGCACATACCGAACATAGTACATATGTAATCCATTGTCCATGAGCTCAGAGTATACTTGCGCAATCGTCATCAATGTCCTCCAAGGAAATCCGATGCAATTACCGTTCTCCAACATCACCCATCTTAAATCCGGACACAGTATACCAAAAATCGGCACCCAGTCTAGATACATGCGGACATTCGATATCAAGGAAAGCATGCTACCATGTCTTTCTCGTCTTGAGTGGGTCATCCCACGTAGAAAGAAGGGGAGCGTGCTGACATCGATTCAATTACTGAGCTTTGATTTGGAGTAAAAGGTAGCTTTTTCGGACTCGGGATCGTCGTGTCGTTTTTTGGGCTTTTTGACAGGATCTGATATCAAGATTCTGGGAACTCGAGGGAAGGGCGTACATCAGCATCCGCGCTGGCCATGCCTTAAGGCCCCGGACGCTGATGGCTATTTCAACCTTTTGCTTTTGCTTGCCGAGACAGTGGTTATGGGAAGGCGGAAATGTCCTGGATGAACCACTTCTGGAATTTGAAGAGGTCTTCCCACCGGAACTTCAACCAGACTTCATCAATGATGGTAGAAGTTGTAGGGTTGGAGTACAGTAGAAGTCGGAAGCGTGGCAGAGGTAACAACTAAGGTTGTAATGACTGGCACGAACTAAGCCGTCATGGATTTTGTTCACGGGTATGGCCTAGTCTCGATTCTGGAACCTTCACATAGTGATTCTCATTCATTCACCTGTCGAATTTCGGGATGGGCCATTCCTTCCTGGAAGTCAGGGTACAAAACGTAAGTACAGTCAAACCTGCAATTAACGATATTGGCGGTGGCAGGAATTTTGATTGTTATTCCCAGATTATCATTACTTCGAGAGTGCCAAGGATGCCAAGGCAGGCTCAAGGCAGGTACCTAGGCACAGAAATGCGGTGGTCAAGGTACCGGAAAGGGGGGGAGTTGGTGACATTGTCCAGGTTGAGTGAGGTCTCCCACCTATCCAGTATAACGATCACCATATAAAACTGAGCCAGATTTTGATTGTAATTCCAATATGGAGATTATCGTTATTTTGCTATAATCTCTATACGAATGGAACAGTGGCAGCAAATCTGATAGGTATAACCAGGTTATCGTCATTCTTATAATCGTTAATTGCAGGTTTGACTGTATTCATCTGGACCTTTGTTTCTGGAATTATTCCGTCTTCACCTTCCTTTCTGTAGTCAAGGTTGGCTAGGTAGTACAATATTTGCACTTCGTACGCATTCTTCTTACAAGAAGAGATCGAGTACGTGTTGAACGAACGTGACGGTAAGAGAATGCCAGAGTCGTGAAAATTTCTGTCTTCTTAAAGATCTCGTTGGAGGGTATTCAAATGAAGGGATGAGCTATTGGTTCCATGTTGCTCGCTCGCAAAGAAAGAGCAAAGGATGTCTTGGCGCCCAGAAGCCTCCAAGTACTGTGGGAGATATGCCGAACCTGAAACCCAATGCTGCCAAGGACTGAGGAGATGCGACGTCGCTTGTCCTTAGGTTTCGCACCGAGGTCTGTATTATTTCTTCAGAATTTTGGGGCTTGTATAAGCCAATCTCATGTCGGTGAGAGCAGTATGAAATGGCTTCCGCGGCTGCAGAGGTACATCCAGCCACACCCACCCATCTAGCAATATCTTGCGCGCAGTTGTCGGCCACATCTTTGACAGATTTTAGGTTGGCCGATTGAGCTACTACTCCGACAAGTTCTGAGCTCCAAGTGGTGCCAGTTTGACACCGTCGGATTGTGAATCTGGGCCCAAGGAGTGTAACCATGGGTGTGTCACGCCCACGTTTAGTCCTCCGGAGCCTGTACAAATTAGGATATTGTCGCGAGCCAAGACGAAGACATCGAGGTGAGAGCTGCACCCCGCAAAATGCCCTGCCACTTGCAGATGGCTTGATGCAGATCAGATTCCAGCATCGGCATTCGACCCCAGAGTGAACATGGGGTGTTGGACCTTCACTCAGGCTTGGCACTGGGCATTCATCCACCTAGTTCTAGCCCAGACATCGCTTTCTACAACATCTCCGGTACTTTCGTAACTGAATACGAGCCATACAGTGTTGCCCCCTGGAACTGCATGTAATTCAGACACTATGGGGGACCGCCAAAAATTATGCACTGACTGGTGCTTATGCAGCATCTGGTGCTGACTCTTGGTTGGAGACAGGGATTTGTGTCCGCGGAGGGCTATGCAGTTAGAGGGCAACTTTTGGTGTATATGCAGTATAGGGGGTATGCAGTTGCTAGGGTCTTTACTGTATACCATACTTTGCTCTGCTGTGTTACGCGCAACGGGAGGTATTTACTAGTCAGGGTTTCCCCTAGTCCTCCACCTTTAGCAACATCACCACCACCGGCACATTTACAGTTTCACCAAGAGCACCCCGCGCCTTGGCCTCGGACCGAGACTGCATCGCAAGCTTGTCCCAAAGACATCTCGAGATGAGACTGCATCGCAAGCTTGTCCCAAAGGCGTAGAGGTCCCGAGACTTACATACTTCCAAGAAGTTCAAGACAATAGTCTGAGCTGTTGTGATTTGTTGCGGCTCTGCTTACCGCCCGCACCTTTGTTCTTTACGAGATAGCAACTAGGGGGGAGTTGAGGCTCATGAAAGCAGCGCACCTAGTGCCTGCTATGCTCGATCAAGCTGATCTTCGCTCTCCGCATTGCTGTTGCTTGGCTGGTCGCGAGGGACGGACTATGACTTCGTGAGGACTAGTCGTGTAACGTCCGAGGCAGGATCTTGAGATGGGTCAGCCGAGGTCGATGAGATCTTTATGCCTTTGGCCTTCAACTCCGCGAGGGGGGAGGATAGCTGCAGGACTTGGTAGGATGTTGAGATGCGACTGGGTGAGAGATGATTCAGGGTGGAGTGGAAGCAGGTCATCGAGGCTCAGGCAAGTGGCCAGAGAGAATCAACATGAAGGTTTTCAGAACTATAAAGGCGTCTTGCGCACCCTGATCAAACAACACATCTCTCTCTCTAGTCAGACAGCATCAACCCAGCCAGACAGCCAGCCCAGTCCCAGCAACTGCCACCTAGGATCTTCTTCAAAATACTCTTTGCGCACCATCTACCTTCCTTCCTTCCATCCCATCACCAATCTTACAAAATGAAGTCCTTCGTAGCCCTCTCCCTCGCGGCCCTCGCCCTTGCCAACCCTATCCCCGTCTCTAACGAGCCAGCCATCCTCGCTGAGCGTCAGACCCAGACCGGTATCACGTCTACCGAGTTCACCCGTCTCGGCTGCCGCCCCGTCATCTTCCTCTTCGCCCGCGGCTCGACCGAGATCGGCAACATGGGCTCTACCGTCGGGCCCCCGACCTCCAACGGAATCAAGGCCGCGCAAGGCGTCACCAATGTCGTGACCGAGGGTATCGACTACCCTGCCCTGCTGTCCACCAACTTCCTCCCTGGCGGTGCCGACCTGGGCGGTATCAGCGAGATGAAGAGGCTTCTTAACAAGGCTGCGACCGAATGCCCCAACTCCAAGATTGTCGTTTCTGGGTACAGGTATGGACATGACATCCTTGCCAGTCCCCAGTTTTCCCCCCTTAATACTCATACTAACCGCAACAAAAAAACAGCCAAGGCGCAGCCCTCGTCCGACCGCGCCGTCGAGAGCATGTCCGAGGCGGTCAAGAACAAGATCGTGGCCGCCGTAACTTACGGTGATACCCAGCGCCTCCAGGACCGCGGTCGCATCCCCAACTTCCCCGAGGAGAAGACTCTCATCATCTGCAACACCGGTGACCTCGTCTGCGTTGGCCAGCTGACCATCCTCGCTCCTCACCTCGACTATAAGCGCCGCGTGCCTGAGGCTCTTGCTTTCATCAACGCTAGGCTGGCTGCTTAGATAGGTACTTGAAAGCAGTATCGATCAAGCTGGGATTGATCAGATGCTGACATCGGGGAATAACTCTGGACTCGAGTGCGCAACGAGTTCTGGAGGGACTTCCCAAGGGGGGCTGGAGGGGTGGCACATTGCTGTGGGAAACTCGCTGTCTGGTGGGCTTCATGTGGCATTTGCCTCTTCTATTTGTTGTTTTCTTTTTCTCTCGTAGCTTCGCTTTCGATATAGCAATCAAATTCTGGCCACAACATATTGTTTATACACATCAGTACTTAAAAGTTTATTAGCGCGATTCTCGTGACAAGGGTCTGCAAACATTCACAACAAAACAACGGGATAACCATATTCACAACAAAAAGTTGGAGAGAGTATATGAATCCGGCGAAACGCATCGGATTGATACCAACTTTTTGCATGAAAATTGGTGGAGTTTTGGTTGAGTTACGAAAAGTACGTTGCAAAGTCTTACGCTAACGAACTTACCAGTACTGATGTGTATAAATGCGGTGTAACTAGCGCCACAACATCTGCTGGGAACACTCCTTGCTCTTTCAGTGAGGGATGAGGTCTGAATCAAACCGATGGCCGGCCATAGCCGGTAAAAGCGCTCGGGTTGACTGATACTTGGTGAAGAGTGTCAAGTGATGTAGTGGAGAGAGGTTAGAAGCGAAAAAAGAAAGGCCGAAAATTGAAAAAAAGCTGGGGGCCACCCGGGGATTGAACCCGGGACCTCTCGCAAGAATGCTCAGGATTGAACCCTAAGCGAGAATCATACCACTAGACCAGCGGCCCGTATCAGCTGATGAGCGTGTCTTCAATTCTTACCCTTACAAGTGCCTTCTGCTTTTCTTTTACCCCTTCTGTTGAAGTGGTATGTATTTTTATTTTTTTTATTTTTAAGAACACTTGTACACGCTGTTCATCCCTCGACCACCATCCCGGAGGCAATACTCTACCTCACTTCAGACATATAATTCCTGAAACAACCATTGCTTATTCCATCACCCGCCAGTCCCGGCTACTCGCCGAGCTGCACATCCTCATCGGAGGTCAAGACATCCAACCTTAGCTCTTCCAGACAGACGGCCCTGGAGGCTGGTAGGCATCCGGCTGCATGCTATACAGGTTCACCAGAATTCCAGGGTCGTTTGTTTTATAAGCACCGGGCAATGAGACCAAAGGCCCAGGGCTTCCATTACCCCCACCAGTGATCTGGATTTGAGAGCAGGCAATATAGAATTGGGCCTTGTTTGGCTGCGACGCCATGTGCAGCGCAATCTGTTCCACCCGCAAAAGGTACTCGCCGCTGGGAACGTTTGCTGGGATGGTTGCGTTTACTGTCGTGTACTGATCTGTCACCAAATTTCCGTTAGTCTGCGTTACAGGTTGCCATGTTAAATAAATGGGCGGTTTCATACTTTGACCTGGCCACGTGAGTTGCTTGTTCTTGTCCATTTTTGGCATGGTGGTGAAGATCTTGAACCAAACGGCGCCTGATCCATCAAACTTTGTAGCGGATGAGCCAGCCGGGACTCTGGCGAGATAATACTGTGTTGGGCCTGGGTGATTGATCTGCTGTGTTGAGATGTAGTGGATTGTTGACCCGGCAGGAACAGTTGCAACGCTTCCAGCCGTTTGCGAGGAATAGCAACGGATGTCACCACTCGTCGCACTTTCCACTCCTTGCTTGCTTTGGGCGTTCTTGGTCATGCGAGTGATGGTCCAGTCCTTCTCCTCCGCCTTGCCGTCAACCACGAGCCTAGGGAAGGTATCTAATACTTGGTTAGCAGTGAAGCAGATTGTGCCCGAATGTCTGGAATCAGGTTTAAGGAGGTTTACGTACAATGGGCTCGAGCAGCCACTGCAGCCAGGAGGATGTTGATGAAGAGCTTCATTGCTGCGAGACCCTTCTATACCAGAGTATGTGTGGAACTCAAAGGTGAATTTGACACCGAACCCCGAGAAAGGTTAAAGACATACCTTAATCTTCTGATGAGCTACGTTCTCCTTGGGTCTTATACGTCTTCCGCCATAGTCGTAGCTGTGTGGAAAGGTACTTCACGTACAGACCCGTTTGGACATCGAGCAAGGAGAATGTAAAAAGAAATATGAGCATTCGGGAAATGAGCTCCGAAAACGTGTCTGATCATACATCCATAATATAATCGGGTAAATGCCATCTTGGTATGCTGGCAACTATTGGTCCAAATTCTGGTTCGTTGTCGTCGTCAAGGAGTGCAAGTAGTGACTGCCGAACGTGCCAATATTGGGAGCATGCAGCCTCAAGATCACGTTCGTCGCAATAAATACCGTGCATAGATAATTACTACTTCCACTTGGGACGTAGGGTGTCAACACCTACCAGTGCAGTCATTCTCTCACACAATCAAAACGAGGGTAAGTAAGAGCAGTGACCCTGGTCAGGCTTTCGGTTGGTACGGTCAATCTGTGGTACGGAAAGATTGATGGAGACAAGACTCTCGCGTAAAAGGCAAAATATAGGCAGTGTTCATCGTGAGTTAATTAATGGTAGGTATGTGAACTATGTACAAGTTTCATAAGCCAATGCTGGGCATCGTCCTCCTTTATTAGGTACCTCATACACTCATACGGAAGCCCATACCAAACGGAGCTTAGCAGATGAAGACACTCGGTCCAGGGTTCTTGTACGAGGTAGGGACGGGATAGTTGATGTTGATCAGAATACCGGGGTCGGAAGCCTTGTAGGCTCCAGGGAACGAGACCTTGTTGCTAGGTTCAGTGTTGCCACCACCGGTGATGCTGAGCTGAGCGCACGAGATGTAGAACTGGGCAGCTCCCGAGCTCTGAGCGACGTGCAGTCCAATGTGCTCAGCACGGAGGAGATAGTTACCGGACTTGATGCAACTGGGGATCTTGACGGGGAAAGAACTCTTGCCTGAGAGAAAGTGTAGTGTCAGTACATGAACAGATTCACGAAGGATGTCCTCTATCGTGATGAATAATGCATTCTTACCATTGCTTGCCCAGGTCAGTTGCTGGCCAAATTGTGGCTGTTCATGCTGGATCTTGAACCAAACAGCACCCTCTCCGGTCCAGCTGTTGATGTCCTGGCCGTCCGGAACTCTGGCAAGGTAGAACTGCATGGGTCCCGGGTGGTAGACATTGGGAGCCGCGCCGTACGTGATGGTAGTTCCAGCAGCGACGCTGAGAGTAGACTGGGCAGGGCTGTGGGAAGACTGGAAGCACCGGATCTGGTTGGAGTTCACATTGTCGACAAAGCCGTTGTTCTGCCAATTGTCCGCCCTGCGAACATATTGCCAGTCGGCAGTCGTTCCGCTGTTTGCCCACACCTTGGGAAACGTGTAGTGGGCGCTGGTGCCGGCCGCGGCGGCGAGGAGAAGAGTGACCGATGGAAGCATAATAGGCAGCGTGGAAGTTCGGTAACCGTCAGGATCGTGAACTCGAGACTCGGATACTGGATCTTTCACCACAGACATCGAGAGTTGGAAATGAAGCTCCTTTTGAACTTCTTTGAACTTCCATACCTGCTACCATTCCCCGATACCCGGTCAGGCGACCCAGGTCGTCAATGCACCTCACTCGCTTGATGTTTCGATGGCAAGCCATAACCTCATCGAGCTTCTTCCGCAACCCAATTCAGCATGAAAATACTTGGCGGAGATTGTCATTCCCCGGTCTTCAGGCTTCGGTAGCCGGCTGGCCGCCTTGTCCCGGCCGGATAAAGTCATGGTCGACCACTCGGAGGGTTGCGGTGCATGAAAACACTATAGGACAAAGCAACGGCAGTTGTCAACCTCCTCCGTTCCAAGATTTCCGTATGCTTGGAGGCGTTGCGGGGTGCAGATGACGCCTGCAAGATGGCAGCGGGATGTCAGCTCGTCTGGTTCTCAGAGTCGTAACCCGAGATCAAGAACATGTCAAAGGTTTGGCTCGGTACGATGCGTCCGTTTTCCCTTCTTGGCAAGTGGATGTTGACGGTTCCGAAGTATCGGCGGTGTTGTGACGTAGTTTGTTTACACCCCCTGAATGCGAGCTTGGACCAGGAGCTGGAGCGATCATCTCATCTCGTTCTTAAAAGCAAACCGTATCGCCGCTCATAAACCAAATATTTTCGTGACAGGTGATGATGGTTGCCGCCTTCGGACAACATGTTGTTGACTTGAGACACGCCATTGGACGAAGCTCCTTCCACAAGGGTGGAGTTAGTGCCTTGCATTCGTGCGCTAGAGGGCACCTGAGTGGGCAACAACCCCAAAACTCCTTCCTTCTTTGGCATCAAGATCGGAGGCATGAAACCTTATCTAGGCGGCACCCGCGCAGATCACGGCGTGCGACTCGGGGCAAGAATGAAGGAGGGAGCCCACCTCGACCACGGCAGGAACTCAGATATCCGTTTGTATCTGTGTGCTGCCTGCTCGATAACTTGAACACCCCGCATCTTCTGTGCTACCCGCGATCTTCAACTTTTCCACAACACCAACTTGCCATTTTCAAGGCCACGATTTCGACGACAACCGAGAAAATGTCAAAGACCGGTTCCATTAGCCTACAGGTCCTTCGGGACAATCCCGTAGAGGAAGGAGAGACCAACGCGCAGGTTGTTGATGCTTTGGAGGCTGCGCTCAACGTCAACGATGATGCTCTCATTCCCCAGGCCGCCAAGCGTCTCGCAGAGCAGCTAGACAGCATTACACTCGCGCGCGACGGCGCTGCGGACAAGGAATCAGAAGTCGAGAACGCTCGATACAACGTGTACACCACCTTGCTGGCAGCAGTGCAACAGGTACCTGCTGATCATGAAGCGCACCGCCGGTTCGCTTTGGTCCTGCATGACTTAGCCGGTCTGGATGGACATCCAGTTAGTCTCCTGCCACGGAACTATGAGGGATGATCGAGTTGCTGACACTGAATCTGTAGACATGGAAGGGGTTGGAGGGTTTCGCCATCTGCAACAGAGATGCATGGAACGGTACGAAAACACAGAGATTCTGGATCGTTCAACCCGGAACGTCACGGAATGAAAGGCATGATTGCTAACAGCTTGATATCAGATCCAAGCCTCAGTTTTGAGCCTGTTAAAGATCCAGAGGCCTATGAAAAATGGTGCAATCTCAACGCCTTCGTAGCGACTTTGCTCAGTACGGGCGCAATCAGCTGGCGGGAACTGCCCATTTGGGAACTTCGCGATGGTCTAGAGGAGAGCCTAGAGGAGCTGTCCCAGGAAAACAAGGACACCCGGGTTGTAGTCGCCACGCTGTGGATCAAGCACACTGGAAATTTCATCTGGGAGCAGGCACTCTCGGGCAAGCTGGAAGACTTGGATGAGACGGATTCAAGGATGCTTAGAGCTGGAGAGCTTTATCATGGCCAGCCGGGGTATTCGCGGGACAGGTGGGACTTCTGGAAGAAGCGCCTTGGGGAGCTACGAAGCCAGGTCAGCGAGTCGCGAAGCTCTGCCGTTGATGAAGCTATTGGGGCTATGACGGAGTTGGAAGGCAAGAACTAAATGGCGTAATGATCCAAGAAGCACCAGCAGAGAAGTGATGTTGGGTCATGGGGCTATACTCATTGTTCACTCCCATTTGAAGCGCCTGGGTCCACGGTTGAGACACGTGCAACCTGCTATTGTCAGGGATTCTGGTCAAGTGGTGTAGGGTAGAGAAATCGGAAAGATTTACATATGCTAAATGGTCCAAAATCGCAAAGAAACCAAGTCGATTCCTTGTCGGTGATCACAATGCCTCTAGAGATCCCGTCTTTTCAAGGCACATTTATCAGACACACAGGCTTTCAAGGGTGCGGATTGGGAAGCTGGAAAGCAGATAAGGTCTACAATAAGGGTATTTCTTCAACAAGGCCTCATGGCGCAACGGTAGCGCGTTCGACTCCAGATCGAAAGGTTATCCGTTCAAATCGGGTTGGGGTCATTCAACAGATCTTTTTGCGTTTTTCATGCCCTCGATTTTTCATTTCTTGCATCTTATTCCCCAATTGTTTTGCGATTGCCTTGCAAGTTTAGAATTTTTGCCTTCTCCGAATTTTTTGGTAACAAGGCAGGAGCGCACCGCACTTGACTGCGTTTGGCAGGATACCGGAGAGGAAGGGATGCAACTGAGCGATTCCAAGTTGAGCCAGAAGCATACATACCATTTTGAGACCGTATAAACAACGATAGAATTACTAAAGGTATACTAATACCCCAAAGCTCGTCATGCAGTGACCATAGACCCAACAGCATCAATATACGAAAATGGCAAGACGATGCCATGAGGCACGGCCTTGCATCCAAGCCGAGCGTCCTCTCTAGTCGAGAACCTTGTAGCTACTCACCTGCAGCCCATATTCCACACGCCTAAGTAGACAGGCAGGAGCTTTCAAGACGAATGCACAAAAACATCGTATTTCATGGAGAATGCACTGGATGATGTCTTTGATATTGTGAGTGTGATTTGCTTCCCCTTACCTCCGTTCCATGCGCTGCTTGGTATCAATCCGAGATATGCACCTATCCAGCCCGTACACCAAAAACAGGAAGCAAATTACTAACTGTAACAAAAGGAGAAATAACGATAGACGATCCCATCGCCGTGGATGGATCGAATAATACAATGCAACGCCGTTCTATGCAACAACCTGATTCCATGTATTGTACTCTCTCATATCCTGCTCAAGCAGTTATGCCTCCAGCCGATTGTATAGTCCCTGTTATCCCATCATTTGCTCCCACTGCCGGCGTGTTTGAAACATTGGAAGGTACGTTCACCGATGTCACCACCTGGTCAGCAACGGCCGGCGCTGCCGCTGTCTTTTGCGCCTGCGCTTCCGCCAGCTTCTTTATTTGCTGTTGCATCTCCTCCCGTCTCTTCTCCCTGGCTAGACTCATTTCCTTTTCCGCCTCAACGGCCTTCGCTCGTCTTGCTTCCACCTCGTCTCTCTGCACCACTCTTCTCAGCGCCTCTGAGGCTTGTATCAGACCATCAATACTGATTGCATGATTGGTCATCTGATGGTTGATGTAGCTGTAGATATGCGCCGCCGAATCACAGGCAAGCAGCTGGCGTTCATTCAGCTTCAGCAGAGCCAATGCGACCTGGAATAGGAACACCCCACCGTCATGGGTGCAAAGCAGTACGTCCCAAACGCGAAAGAGGGCCTCGGCAGAAAGGCAGTCTGTAAAAACGGACAGGAACCACTGGAACGTCATCGTCTCGAGAGTGATGCCAAGCTCTTCGAAGTGAGCACTAAGCTTGGGGAGAACCTCGGACACATATTGTCGCAAGACCTGCTGGTCAGCCCTGGAGGCGAGAAGGCTATGGTCAAAGTAGTTGGGCGGGAGGATATTCTCAACAATAGACACCAGGATCCAGAAAGCGTCCTCGGCGCAGGGGGTGATAAGAAGAAGATTGGCGACGACGAGGTTCATGCCCTGACAATAGCCCACATCCGGATTACGCCGGGCATAGGCAAGTAGCACCTCGTTGAGCTTTTTCAACTCCTGGACCCTTACGGAAGAAGATGTTGTCCGTCAGGGTGCGAGTAATATCGGCCTTGATCTGTGCCACGACTTGCGCATCGTCCTGATCCTCTGGCCGGTTGACAAGGTCATCGTAATAGCCTGGGATGCGCAAAGCTATGGTCCCGCAACATTCGGACCAGATCTTGGACCGATAGGCGACAGGAATGCCACCAAGTATGAGTTGCCTAAACTCATTGGCCTTGGCACGTCCAACCTTGCCTTGAATACCCAAACTCGCGACACCTATCAGCTCACCGTCTCCTAGTCTTGTCTCAGGCATCACTGCTTCGGCCCTCTGAAACCTAGCCTCGGCGGCGGCGGCGGCAGCGGCAGCGGCAGCCTCTCCGTCCCGTTTTCTTTCCGCCCGCACCTTACGGAGGAAGTCGTTCCACCGCACAGTCTTTTCCCTTTGCAGTGTATCGTGGAGCTGATTGAGGTTTTGCAACAACAGCCTAACAGGTTCCGCATCCTCCTTTGCCATGTTGCCTGAGGACGATTGTTGCTCCCCTTCGTCTGGTGAGGGTTCATCCTCATTCTCTGGCATTGCGATAGCGGTGATGGCAGGAGTAGCCGAGGGGACGAACCCACGCTCCTCTGACGTTATCAAGCCAGGCGATCTGGGTGCCTCGGGTACCTCACCACCTTCCATCACCTCGAAGCCTGGTACGGTAATCAACGGGGTGTGAGAGAGCAGTTCGGTTGGGAATGTTGCGATTTTGAGGTAATCCTGCCACTTTCTCGGCTTAGAATCATCCCGCTGTTCCTCAGCCGAAGGAGATTCCTGCCCGGCCTCGTTCGCTGTGTCTCCCCTGCCACTAGAGCCCTCGTCCAACATGACCGGGGATAACCTGTTCCGGCCAGTGCTAAGCATCTCGGTACGACTGGGCTTCTTTACATGGCGCGCCATTCTGGCGGCCTCTCTTTGCCGTTTCTTTCTTCGCTGATCATAGATAAAGCCGAAGCGGTCAGTAAGAAATTCGGACCCAAAATGGTTGTTGTATATGTGCGTCAGTGTTGGCGGCTGAACTTCGGGGGGGAGAATGGTGTCCATCTCGACCGGGCCATAACTCTGCTGGCGAGACACAAGGTCTCTCGAGGGACTGGACCCCATGGTATCCCACCGGTCCTGTTGCTGATATCGCTGGGGCACATCAATAGGTTTAGCGGGGCCGGTAGGGCGGCGCATCGCCATGAGCGATCTAGGGCCCGTTTGGGAGGCTGAGACTGTACGGTTTGAGACGGAGCTTGCGGCGCGGCTTGATGTAGACGGCGTTCTCATGGAGCCCCCGGGTTGGCGCGCGGTGTTGGCACGGCCGCGCATGTCACCGTTACGTCCCGTGGTTGCACCACCTGCAACCAGCCGTAAAGCAAGACTGGCCAGCGACGATTTCCGCGACTCATTCGCTGAGTTGATGCTGGATGCCCTACTAGAGCTCTGCACAGAGTCTGTCGAGTCCGTCTCGGGCGGGTTGAACAGATCGTCGGCCAGTGTCGGGCGGCGCTCACTGCCTCTGATGACCGTCTTGGAGGTATCCATAGCACCTGCACCTGTACCAGTGCCAGCACTAGTGACGCTGCTCGGCCGACCTGAATTCTTTGCCGTCGTACCAGTACCCCACAGAAAGTCTTTCCAGCCCTTGGTCGTACCCTTTGTGGTTTCAGTATCGGCTGCAGGAGGCACCGACATGGTGGTAGCGCGTATGGTTGCGTCATTCAGGCCTGTGCTTGCGCCGATGGTTCTGAGGTCGTGGGTCATGGCTTCGTTCATGAGATCTGATAATCCGTTGTCGTTGGTGCCTTTTCTGGCCATACTTGTCTGTTTGGCATCCTGCTCGATCGCGCGCAGGCGAGTTTCCAGGTCCAGGGTAGACAGACCGCATTCCAAGATAATCTTTCGCAGGGCGCGTTCTCGGTCGTCGGCACGTCGGCGCAAAGTAGCGATCTGAGCATCGCGCTCTGCGAGATCCTGGGATATCTGTCTGACCAGGTTGACGGCGCCATGGCGAGCGATCAGGCGCTCAATGTGGGCGTTGTCGGCGTGGTGAAGGGAGCCAGGGATCTTGTTGGCGGTAATAGGCACATCTTCGAAGAGTGCGTTGCGTGTATCTGGCTCGGGCTCTGCCGTGGTCAAACTTTCGACAATAGAGGCAGGCCGTATCAGCTGAGGCCGTGGAGCTTCAAGGGTTTGGTGCGGGTCGCTGTCGTTGCTCACGGAGTCGGCGACGGAGATGGGATCGGACGACTTTCGCGAGTTCCGCGAAGGTGATATGGAGGGCGAGAAAGCGGATGGGTTGAGCTCGAAAAACGACAGCTCCTGGCGGGGCGACTCAGGCGAGAAGGAAGGGAACGAGGTAAGCGACTTGTCGGACGGGGCGATGGAAGACGCGGAACTGGACGGGTATGATGTCAACCTATTGCGGGCGCGGGCGGTGCTTGAAGTTCGAGACCGGTGGCTCCGGGTAGTAGAGAGGACGGACTGTTGCGACACTGAGCGTTCAAGAGTAGTTACGGCGGCGGCAGCGGAAGCGATGGCGGCAGCTGAAGTGGTCGTAATCGGCGGCGTAGAGTCCTCCATGTCTTCCAGTGTGTCGGACCAGGACCAGGGCAGCGCGCCTCATGTGGATGTCATGGCCTTGCTCGGTCGACTTGGTGATGTGCGCCAGTCGTAGCGTCTACTTAATGGACTTGGAAGAGTGACGGGAATATGTAGAGAGGTAGCTGGTAGTTTCTGGTTGGAAGAGGTTCGCTATTGTCAACTGTCAAGGTACTGCAACTGTAACTGTAGCTGCAGCTGTAGCCATGTCGGGTCGAGATATCCAAACAAATGAGCTGAATCAGTCAGAAATATCTAGAGGCCAGGGAAGAAAACGACGGGAGGAACTGGAGACGGCGGCAAGCAGGAAAGTTGACGACAGCTCGCGAGGGGTCTGGGTTGAGGGCCGCAAGTGGCCGTGATGAATGACACTAGCAAATAATCTAACCAGGGCTGAGAGGGTGTCAACACGTCAAAGCCCACTCGTAGTAACGTATTGACGTGTAATTACTGGGACACGTGGAGTACCCCGCTTAAGGCTTTCTGTAAGTAGAGATACCTACCGTCCTCCATGAGCCCACTGTTGTTTCCACACTCAGCTAGACTCATTGACGTGAAAGTAGGTAGAGGTACCTCCAGAAAACTATTCTGAGGATCGTAACAGTCTCGACGTTGAAAGGCATCGTGGTGCACGGTTAAGTTACCGTCACCCTCCATCTCTCTCCCTCCCTTCAGTCACAGTTCACCCTTCATTGCTGTCCAACTGTTCGAATTGTGCCCGACTGAAGGCTTTGCACCGTACGTGACATTTGCCATTAGCGTCTTTACGATTCCATTCGTTGGTGGACGTGACTGCCCTCCAGTGGACACACGTGTTTTCCGGCATCGGATGTCAAGGGAGAGAAGCAGAAATGGTGAAAGGCAGGAGTGGAGGGAGAAACAAGAAAGATGGAGCAGCAAAAAGTAGCAGCGAGATGCGTCGCTTGTTACGCGTAATATACTGTATGACTCTTTGAGATATCGAGATTCCTCCAGCGAGATGATATCACTTTCCAGATTTCCATCCACGGCAGCCCTTGTTGCAGTGTTGTCCCTTGAATCTGAGCGTCACTCACTGGGTGGACACTGCAAACTTTTACGGAAACAAAAATAAAAAAAAACGAGAGATCAACAACCAAGGTCCGATCTCTTTCCTGTTCCTTGATGCTCGGGTCTGTTTTCGTTCCCGGCCGCGGCAAAACCCACAATGCTTGTCTCTCTTTGGTGCCTTGATTGCCTGCATTAGCACCGTTTCAAGTTTCTTTTCGTAAAACAGACATTGAATGATTTTCATTTTTACATACACAAGTAGTACATGCACCCCGTCATGTAGTATCATTTTCCCGATCGTCGACCTCTGTCATTAAACACCTCCCACTGATGCTTTCACTCTCCATCTGGACCAGCCCGGCCGGCCAATTCAAGTTTTTATACATGTTCCTGGTGCTTTCTTAGCTACCGTATTTTGCCATTTCATGCCACCAAATGAGATTGAGTAGAAATTTAGGGTAAAACATCACATACAAGACGGGTATCCCTTTTGTCCTGTGTCGTGCTGTTGCTGAAAACCGTGGCCCGCCCAGCGCCCAGTATCCTGTCTCCTTGTGTCCTATTTCCTAGTACGCCTTTTCCTCTGTCTCCGTTTACGTACCTATAATCCTCTATCCTGTCTCGGTGCGCAAGGTCGTGCCGCTTCCGTACTACCACTCATGTACTGAACACTAGAGCATTGTCCGCCTTCAGAACAATCCGCCGTCTTCCTCGTGCAACGTTGACACGGCCGCAGAGTTGCTTGTTCTTCCCGGCCCTCCCGTCACCGCAAACCCGATCGGACCACTACTACTTACAGCAGAGGACATGGTAGAGATGGCCATCGGCCTCAGCGGTAATCTAGGTGGCGGGCTCACGGCGCATGTAGAGATAGATCTGGCGCCCCTGACGGGCGATAGCGCTCCGGTCGCATGACCAGAGTTACCAACAATCGCGCTGGCCACTTTCCTTCCGCTCCCGTTCCCGTTCCCGTTGCCGTAACTGTCTCCGTAACCGTTGTCGCTCCAGCTCCCCCAGCTGCCACGGTCTTGGCCCGAGTATTCCCCAACAACGTGATGGTCACCAGAGGCTCGCTCATCCCTCGGCGATGAGACAGCCCGCGCTGGATTCCACATTGGACTCGCACTGCTGCCGCCCATAGCCAAGGACGAGGTATGTGATAGCGGCGAAACAGGCTGAGGAGATGCTGATGGCACCGATCGGTTCATCCGTGATCCAAACGGAAACGGTGCTGGTTTTACCAAGTCCGGTATCTCCAGTGGCCCCTCGTGCGGTCGCGGAGGGCGTGTTGGTGATGTGGGCGGCGGAGACGTGGTTCCAGAAAAGGAAAACGCTTCATTCCGTAAAGATGACGGTCCTGTTGTCGAGCCTGCTCCATAGCTGCTCAAACTCCCGCGGCTTCTGGGCGCGCCAGAACCATGTATTCCAAACAATGCCGGGGGAGGTAGACTAGGAAGACTGCCAGTAGTGCCGTGAACCCTTGGTGTGCGCTCGTACCGCGGAACAAGCTTGTTCGTCGTAGGCGATGTTATCGGTGACGACGGAAACATGACGCTGGAGTGGCCGCCGCCGCCGCCGCCGCCATGGCTGTGTGCCGGGGTGAGCGGTGTCAGGGGCGGAGAAGGCGACTGGTTGTGGCCCGACCGCAGGATCGAAGGGAGCAGCTTGCGGTCCCGTAGGCGGAGAGGAGGTATCAGCGGCCTGGAATCGTGGCTGGACGCAATTAGCGGCGTGGGCGAGCCCCTTGGAGCGATCCCGTTATCTAACCTCGAGCGAGACCGTCCCCGGACGTCATCCAGGCCAGACCGGTGCTTCTTATGTCTTTGCAGGCATAAGAAGGCCAAAGCAACCATGACGATGAACCCGGTAACCGAACATACCGAGATTGCTGCATTGACCCCCATAGGGAGCCCGCCTTTGGATGTCGTAGTCCCATTGTTTAAACCAAAAGACTCGGCAACCGTGGGCCGGGCAGGTGTTGCTGATAGCCATGATGGGTCCGTTATGAGAGTGGCATCATCAGTTGTGGTTAATGTTGCTGTGGACGTTGATAAAGACGGAGTCGTAGCTGCGCTTGAGAGTGCTGGGCTGCTTAAGGGTGTCGCGCTTCCAGAAGTCGAGGGGATGGATATCGGTTCTTGAATGACCGGCGGGGATGGGGTCGACATGGGGTTAATCTTGACTCCTGTTGGTGAACATAGCCCGGCTCCTCCTTCGTTGGTCTGGCAGACAAAGTCCTTAGGTGGTGGTCCTGGGTCTAATACCGAGTGAAATCCAATGCTGCCATCTCACGTTAGCATTTGTAAGTATTCTCAATAGAAGCTCATAACGACCAACTGGAAATGCTCACTCACTCCTGGCAGCTGTTGATGATCAGGTCGACGTTTGCTGGTTGTCCTACTTAGCCCGAGACACTGACGATTACTTCTCCGGCTACCACTCACGGTCTTGTTGCAGCCCTCCCGTCTGATTTATCCAGACTCCGCAGAACGTTGTGTCGCACCAATATAGCGACCAAAATCGAGAGCTGGGCGTCTTGCTCGTCAGATCCTTGCAAATGTATTTCCAGCCCTCGGAGGTCTCGTGTTCGATCGACACCGTCTCTAGAAACTGGTCCCTGCAAGATTGCAAACACTGTTTCGCTTCTGCTGTTGGCGATTCGCCTCGTCGTATCTCGATCGCTTCCATGTAGCACCCGCATTCCTCATCGCCCCCGCTTGAGCTCCCCATACCTTTCGCGGTTACCTCCAAGGCCATCTAGTTGAGTGCCCAGGACGTGTACGAAGCTGAGCTAGAAGTCGATGGTACAGTCAAATGCATAGTACTTGGCTACTTCACCATAACTGCATGACTGAACCCCGATATGGTGAGTTTGTCGCGCGGGGAGGTGTCGGAAGATATATAGAGACCAAAGCGCTTGACTGGTGTCAAACCGCCTGCTGCGTAGAAAGAAGGATATAATCAAGAGAGTGTTAATAACTAATCAAGTGAGAGGATAACAGCCAGATCGCTTGCCCAACCGATAAGTGGCGGTTCTTCGAGCAGAAGATTCCAGGAGTGAGCTTAAGGTCTTGAGAGACCCGTGGGAACGGGTGTGAAGTTCTGCGCGATACTATATACTCAATCAGGCGGCTTTCACATCAGAGGTCATGCGTCCTAAAAGAGATAGGAGAAGCCCATGATTTTGAGGAACGGGAACACAGCATCGTCCGAGTCACCACGGGAGGGGTTGCTAGACATGTACACTGGATAGAAAGAAGATGAGAATGAGAGACAAAAGGACAGGTAGAAGGAGGGAGGACTACTGGTTGCTGGAGCAAACGAAGCATCAGCCGGGTGAGAAGGAGATCCACATCGCCTGGAAAAGGAGGATTCTGTGTTACACGGTAACTGCGCGTCTCCGTTGCCCGACGAGAATAGTCTCGTATGAGGGCCGGGAAGGGGTGAGGTTGTCTTGCCACTAGAAGCTTGGGAGCCTGCAGGCATCCGCTGGGCTTCGCAAAGAGAAAGATCTCCCTGTCGAGTCCTCGCCCATGGTTTCGCAGGCCTTGTAGTACGCATAAGAGTACGACGAAAAGGTTGCCTTGGGGGGAAAGGGAACTTGGTACTCCATCACCTGGTTTTGCCATCGCGGACGGGGGTATCGCGAGTAGTCCTGTCCCTTTCCAAAGTTTTGACAGCCAGGCAGATGCGTAGTCCATTTGATCGGACAACGTATTGTACAAGCTGGGTCAGAAAAGTCTGCCTCAGGTTTATTACAGCAGCAGCACCGGCGGCACATGCCAGGCTCTCGTCATGGGTAAGCTATTTCCAAGGAGCGCGGCTGGTCCATGAGCCGAGAGAAGCCATGGGGATGGTATAACTGTAACATGATGACAATCCCAATGGATGGATCAAGAGCCCGGGATGAGTAGCCGTTGTAGGAAGGTATACGCAGCACAACAGCCTCAGAGAGTCCACAGACTACAGTTCATGAAACGAGCTGCTTTGTGCTGAATATGACTGTTACAAACGTATAGAGCTAGGTTGCAAGAGGGAACGGACGGACCGGGGCCCTCGTTTCTGGATACCCAATGGAATCGTCGCTGAGGTGACAGGATATAAGTCCTATACAGCCGTAGTGAAACTGTTGTGAGGGAGACCTGTGAGATTGCCATGTCGTCACACCTTTGTGTTGTGTAGCTGCGTGTATTCCAGCCGGAGCTTGGGACGCATTCTGAGACTTTTTGGATGTTTGCTTCTGGCCACCTTTTCCAGCTGGCTTGGCTTGCCTCAAGATCTGATGTTTGCCTCTGAAGCTCTGGTACATCTGGCACGTGGATCGAGAGATGGTCTCACGACTGTCTTTGGGCATGCTGGTTCCCTTGCAAGTTTGCATCGCAATTCCCAGCATCGCCGGCGATTAACCCCCTTGCCTTGCAAAGCGCCAATCCCAAATAAGCGGGCAAGAACATGGCGGGAAGTAGTACTTGGGCGCGACAAGGCCGCCTGGTCTCAGCCATTGGCTGTTGTCAATGAGGTGCCCTAAGGATTATTTCATATTGGATACCCAAATAAGGCGTTCTCGAAGGCCCAAGCACTAGGTTCGGCGGAGGTAATCAACGGCCGGAGATGGAAGAATGCTACTATCCGCCAATGATACTATTTGGGGAAGGCTTGATAGATTCGCAGTCCTCGTCAGCCTCCGAATGGAAAACCTTTGTTGTTTGAGACCATGATGCTGATATGATGGCCAGTCTAAAATACGATCAAGAGTAAGAAGACGCGAGCATGGCCAACCTATACCCCAATCACGGCCATGATGCTCCTAACAATCTGAAAGCGTGTTTAATGCCAACACATCAGAAGAGACCGGTCGACTTGAATGGTGCCAGCTCTCGAGTCGAAACTCGTTGTTGGTTTTGACCGTGCCTCGTGCTCCCAGTCCCGCACGACCATCCAAGTCTCAAGCCCAGATTGTGGCTAGCAGGAACAACCATGAGGACCACCGCTGGAGCTGAGAGAGAAAATATTCTGAGGTTGACGGAATAGCCGGAGTCTTTCGTATCTGTGCCTCTCCTCTAATTTCACCGAATGCTCGGCTCGGGAAAGATTAGCCAGTCGGGGCGAGAGAATATGCCATGCTCGGATGGTGATCGATGCAGTGTGCGACCAAGATGCTCAGCCGGGCTCGGCATCGGGGTTGAAACAAAGGTCGTCATTCAGCTTCGATTCCAACGTCTTGGGCGGCCTTTAAGCACCATCTTAAACCCTTCTCCAGACCTGGCCGTGCAACGAACGGATGAATGATGCCATGATTCATCGTGTCATGATTGCTAGAAACCACCAGTCCTTTCACCCCGAAACCAGCGGAAGGCGGCGTGGCGGTCCGTCAGTCGTGACGAAGAATTTGGAACGGAAGTTGAACGTCAAGATTTTGAACTAGTCGTGGTTGAAAACCCGGGCTAAGGAAGATTTTTGGAGATGTCGTGAAATTGATGTTTTGGAGTACCTCTGTAAAAGGAGGAAACAGATGTGACGGAAAGTGTCATCCGTTGTTGGACGTTCCTGGACAGAGTCGAGCCAATACAAGACGGGCGGGAAGTTGAACCTCGGCCCGCCCCCGGATTTTGTTAGTGCTTGGCTTCCCCGCGCTGGCCGGCAAGGTTCATCAGCGATACTCACACAGCTTATGTCTCCGAACTTTGACTCTTTTCTCAACTGTTATAGACAATCCTTTGTCACGCCTTGACCGAATAACCTTCTAGATCACGGGACGAAAGGAAACGACCACAATTGAGGTTGAGAAATTGGAAGAAAACTCACCATGTCCGAGTCCGCCAGGCAACGCATCCAGGCCATTGGCAACCACCTTGCCGCCGATAAGAACGCCATCCCGCCCGTTATCAAAGTGGCTGGCGATTCGAATGGACCTAGAGTAACTGGGAAAGTGGTCATCATTACCGGTAAGTTGAGTATTAGTTGCTGTAGGCCGCATATTTTATCGTAGGTTGAAGCTAACGTTTGTGAAGGCGCAAACTCCATTCTCGGTATTGGCCGAGCATCCGCTCACCAGTTTGCCCAAAACGGGGCAAAGGCAGTCTACATCTGCGACTACGATGATTCCAACCTCGAGGCACATAAGCGCGAGATTGAATCGTTATATTCCGGCGTGAGCGTGCACACGCGGCAGTTTGATGCCGCCGATGAGAAGGCCATCAACGAGGTCGTCAAGGATGCTCTAGACCGATACGGACGGCTCGATGTCTTTTTTGCCAACGCGGGAATCACTGGCCCTCATACCAAGTTTTCGGATGTTGATGCTGATGAGTTTATGGATACTATGAGGGTCAACGCGCTCGGGTAAGACGCCTTGTTTTCTTCGTGAATCGGCCTTTCTTGTCATGTCCCGTTCTTGAAGGGTATCGCTAACCATATGTAACATCAAAGCCCCTTTCTTGCCGCCAAATACGCTGCGCCGGCCATGCAAAAGACATCGGCAGAGAAGCCAAACTCCTCCGGGAGCATTATAATGACGGCGTCGGTAGCCGGTCTGCGGTCCAACGCCGGAGGAACGCCCTACTCGGCTTCCAAGGCAGCCGTCGTCAGCATGGCACAAACCATTGCCTACCAACTGGTCGGGACCAACATCCGGGTCAACGCTCTCTGCCCCGGTTTGATCGAGACGGGCATGACGGCGCCGGTATTCGAGACCGCACGAGCTAGGGGTACCGAACGCAAGATTGGGCAGCTCAACCCTCTCAGGAGAGGTGGACATGCTGATGAGATTGCGCGTGTGGCCTTGTTCCTGGGAAGTGATGAGAGCAGCTATGTCAACGCCCAGGCATGGGCGGTGGATGGCGGTCTGAGTTCTGGCCATCCTTATGTGCCGGGCAAGATTGCGTAGATCTCTGGGACAAGTCGTACCTGGAGTGAGACTGCGAGAGACCTTGACCGAGAAATAATGACATATGCTTTTGCATCTCCTTGCCATGCCAGTGTCGAGTATCCGGCATCCCTTGCTTAAACAGACAATGTGATGATGATGTGTTTTCAACAGCGGTAAACCAGGAAACCCTGAAGATGTACTGCAGTTGTTGCTCGGTACCGCGGGCGGTCAGAAAGGGGGGCGTCTCATCCCTCCACGTTGTAGCCTTCACCGACTGAGTGGGTATAGCGACATTACCATGTACGTACTGGTGTAGCATGTACCGTCCTTTTGGAGTCTTGGATATAAGAGCATCTGCGGGCTATACCTCCGTCTCACTCAGCTGTATAGCGCGGTTAGCAGACATTGACGAGTACCTGAAGCTGGCTTGGCTGGACACCTCCAATTTGGACCAGGACGAAACCTCTAGCGAGCACATCATAACAACAGGCACATGACCCATCGAATCTGGAAACAATCTGGTGTGAAATCCAAATAAGCTCATCATCGAGATTGTCCCACAACCAGACTGACCAGATTCAGTGTCTGTAAGAGCATGGGCGCCGAGACAGGAGGCGTGGGGGGAGATGTTCCAGGGGAAGTTGGGGAAACGCGGGAAGCTGGGGACTAACAACTGGCGATGCAGTGACACAGTGGGATGGCCGTCCTCTGACCAACCACGAAGCCTGTCACGGATCTGGCAGCGGTGTGGGGTACATCTCGGTGCATCTGTGGAAACGCCTCCCATCTGCTGGGATTGCCAGATGGTCTGCCGCTTGACAACACCCAGAAGGCAGTGTGGTCAGCATCTTCAACTGTCCGCCAGTGAAAGTTGGCCGCACTAAATCTAGCGCATTAACATTTCCCAGCGAGGCGCCCTGGTCGCTTTTAACCTAGACTTGGTTTAGAAACCGCCAACGTGTTGAACTCTTTGAGGAATGGTCTCAACCATGCTACCACTCATTGCCAGGTCAGGTACCGCCGGCCTCACTTTGTCAAAATGAAATTAGACGTGACAGACGTGACTACTTTGTAAGTGAAGAACTAGAGGGTGGCATCCCGTGGCTTCTTGATGTGAACGTGATGGCTGTCACAGTTGGTAAGGCGCGGCCGCCCTGTCGTAGGGCCCTGGGGGTGTTGAGCTGTTCCAGTGCCCCCCGCTGCTTCCACTTTACGACGCTCGCTTCTGCCTCTTTGGACCTTCAGGATCTAACAAATCATTGGCACTCCAGTTGCTGATTAATTGGCACCATCACCCTAACAGTGGTCGGTCTTGAGTACGGCGTTAAGGTTAACTGCGACCTCAAGTCACCATCTTACCACATTCAAGCTTTGAAGTTGCTTACCCTCGTAATAAACAGTACTACCCGCCCTCGGACTATGGGGCTAGAGAGCGAGCGAGGAGACAATGACGTTATGGCCTGCGTGCTCACGCGACCTGACTACAGCTTCTTTTTCTCACTTTGCTTCTTACCAAGTACACTCAGTTTAAACAACTTTCACGGACTTTAAGTCAGTGTCAACTTGAATCGGCCGCCCAGGTCCGTGCTCAAGGACGATGTGACCGGTATTAAAATTACTTGGTAACATTCAGTTATGAGTGTTGCCCTTTCCTCTTTCTCTTTGGCTTAGTCGCAACTGGCACTTAATCTTGTACAACTGATTCGTACTCCGTAGCACTTCCTAGCACATGGCCGAAGCGAACTATTGTAGCTGGTGGCTGCGGATGCAGAAAGTGTGAGAGGTTTCTTTACCAAATGGAAAAAAAATAGGTATGCATTGCATTCGGACCTGTGATCAGTAATAACCCATATCTGCTGTACAAATCGAATGTTTTGGGACCACTTTGTCTGTTTCTCGGTCTCCGCTCGCATGTCTACGTCTGCGAGCTTGGTTGGGCTTGCATCTGATCGCGCCGCGAGACGCCACAGGGCTTTTGTCGGAATTCGGAACTGGCCGTTGGCGTGCATCATTGGAATCATTCGCCCTTGCCTGTCTGCCAATCTGGAAGCACTTACGATACTGTAGAGGGCACGGTCGGGAATTCGGGAGACACCGGGAGCATGTTCGTCTCCCATACCATCATTTCTCATTCTTTGCTGTTGGTTGTACCTGTGATGTCAGCCATAGGCCGATCCCGAGTTATCCATATACGTGGTATTGCTCACACTGACTACATAAGTCTATTGATGACAGAAAGCCCACGGTGAAAAACGGAGAGGAGCATCCGACTGCCCTTTCCTTCCTTTCAAACAGCCACCACCATTCTGAGAAGAGACCGAATCTTTGTGACATCTCGTTCAGGGGCAGTGAGGGGGTGCCAACCTGCCTTCTTTCATTATGGTTCGTAGGCACCTAGCGCCTGTACGTACACCGTCTTCAGTGCGTGAGTGGGATGGACGTCCAACGTTAGCAGGTGCAATGCTCAACCAGTCAGCCAGCAGTTTCTGCCAACCGAAACAGGGCGGGTCGAGGATCCAGCCGTGCCAGCTTTAAAATGTTCCTCACTGCATGCAGGGTCCGCCAGAGAGCGGGATCGTCGATTCCATTCTTGAAAGGATGACTGTATTTTCGGTGGCAAGCAGGACTTGATTCATCAATGATTGGCCAACCAGGCGTCATACCGGGGCTTGGCCATTCAGACTTGTCCGTTGCTGGCGTTGCAAGCTCTGTCCTACAGAAATATAGTACAGAAGCATACCTACCTTAAGTACATGCAAGAAACGGCATGTCCATCCATCTACGTAGAGCCAAGTACCGGTCCCGCTAACAATCAATGGCCTAGACCCCACACAGTTTTGCGCTAGTGCGCCATGAATTTCCCCCATCACACTGCAGCAACTGCCCGTGGGCGAGCCCGCAATGAATTGTTGACAACTGAATGAATCCATCTTTTAAATCCAGCCCTTCCCTCCCATGGAAGGCCTTCTTCCTTCACCACACCACCCACTCATCTGAACGACATATGATGCGCTCAACTTGACAGCCGCCCATCAGGCATCATCACAGTAATAATAACGCTATCCTCGATATCGAAGCTGGTTTTCACACTGGAGTTACCCCGATCTCTGCATCACCCCATTTGCAGCACTCTTCGGCGTTCGCTCACGTGTCTCCGCCTACGACCCTCGACAAGACCTCTTTTGCTCCTCGATCGGAGGCACCTTTACGCACCACCGAATCTCAAATTCCTCGTTAGCATACCCTCGCAGGAAAGCTTGAGGAGCTCGGGCTTTCCCAGGTACATACCCAACCACGACGCATCCCACACAACCCCGGAACAATTTGGGAAATCAGCAAAAATGGGCAGCTCATAGTCCTCAGAAAGAAGTGCCCTGGGACACTCTTGGTTCCACTGCTCCTCAACACAGAAACAAATCCGACCGTACTACTTCTACCAACAACAGGAGAGCCATTACATCTTCTCCATTCCTCTCCTCCAACAGTTCACCCGACCGAAAACGTCCCGGTCAACCACGAGCCACCGTGCCGATCGATTCGAACCGCCAACCCATCTGCTATCCCCCTGCACTATTTCGTCGGTCGAACCAGCTTCCCCTGTCTCTCTTTGAGCATATCCTAGCCCTGGCCGGTTCTGGCCGTCTGATGATCCACTCTGCTTCCGACGCCTCAACGCTTGTTTCGCCAACCAAAAGCGTCCTGCACTCGTCACTGCTACAACCGGAATCCATGACAGCCCTGGCTACCATGGTAGGGGGCAACAAGACCGCCATGAAGAGGAATACGAGAGCATTCATTGGTGAGAAGACAGAGCTGCCCCTGCTTGGGCCTCAGTCAGAGAAAATGTCCAAGGAAGATGAGAAGACGGACGTAGAACCGCACAGGGAGGGCTCTATTGGCACATCGACGAGCCAAAGTAGCCGCTCAAGCCGCCAGACGAGCCTCGAGTGCTCACCCACGACTGCTGCGACGTCGTTGGATGCGGATCTGTCAGAGTTGGGCAGAGAGGAACAATTCAGCCTCCCCGACGCACTTCGCGATATCGAGCCTCCTCATGCCGTTCAAGCCTACAGCCACAGTGCCAAAGATCTCCCGCGGCCAAACCCTACGCTCCCACTCATCCCCTCGGATGGGCGCCCCAAGAATTTTGGTATCGTTGTTCCTGGAGTATACCGAAGTAGTTTTCCGCAGAGCGAAGATTACCCTTTCATCGAGAGCCTCGGGTTGAAGACTATGGTGTAAGTTACCCCATTCGGAAACCTTTGTTTCCCCCCTCACGTACTGACAATGGCTTTTCAGCACATTGGTCCAAAAGGATTTCCCGGAGGGCTATGATACTTTCCTCAGCAAAAATGGTATCAAGCATCACGTCTTCGACATGAAGGGCACCAAGAAAGAGGCAATTCCCATCACGACGATGAAGGCCATCCTCCGACTGGTGCTCAACACAGCCAATCACCCACTCATGATTCACTGCAACCACGGAAAGGTAAATTACCTTTCGACAATATTTTGAACAAATGGAACGGTCAAGCTAACATTGTTTGTGCAGCATCGCACTGGCTGTGTGGTTGGGATTGTTCGCAAGACTCTTGGCTGGGACGTGAACAATATCCTCGACGAGTACCGGAGTTATGCCGAGCCCAAAGTCCGCGAGACAGATGTCAACTACATCCAGGGATTCGAAATGGCCCAAATCTCAAACCTTTTCTCCAAGGACAATACGATGTTGGGGCGATTTGCGTCGCCCAGGTTCGCCCACTCTACGGCCGTGGCCATCATTTTCCTGTTATTCTGGTATCATTTTTCCGGAATCTCGCTGCCAAATTCGGAGGCGGCGGATCGCAAGCTGCTCACACAGTAGCTTTTCGGCGTCACGTTCGGATACCCGTCGATTCTTCTTGGTCACAATATTACACTTTTTGGCACCCACAAATCCCACGGACACAATAAAGGCGTGGCGCAGCTCGATCCGGCAGTGAGAAGGATTGCATCATGAAGGGGAAGACATCACGGTATTTTTTTTTTTTTGGTTGAGTCGGAATTTAAGGTCCAGCGGATATCCTGCTTCAGAGCGGGTACAATGGCGTGGCTTTGCAATGGGGTTTTCCGTACCAGGGACCTGGAGGGCTGGCCGACGAAGTGATTCACGGATGGCTTTCCTTCGGGGGTATCACATGGCCACGAACCCGGGCTCGGAATTGGTATCACTTGCATGGAAGAGATAAGATAGGGTGGAGAGCGGAGACTATCAAGTGCTGAGTGTCTCCTGGCGTTGGAACGGTCTCCCTCTTATTCATTAGGGTGGTTTCCTATGTTCATATCATGATTACGGTTGTTTTCGCCGCAGCGTTGGGTCTGCGCATATAGTGTTAAGCTATTCAAGCTCATAACCCCCAAAGGAGTAAGGAGGAAATTAAACACCTATTTGGCGCGTGCTGCTCAAAGCGAACATGTTCAGAAATGTGACTCCGTGTGTAGCCGAATTTCCTTGTTTGCCATTTCCCAGCCTTTGACGCCGCCGAATGCTTGCTCTTTATGATACAGTATGATACAGACACACAACTCCTCCCACGGAAGAGCCCCGAAACAACGAGCCCGTCTTTCCCCCCTCCTCCCAGCAACTTCTGTATATGCTACAAGTGCACTGGTCCAGTAACTGTCCATCGTAGCCCTCTAGAACACACACCTACATGCCAGGCCGACTCTGCTCAACCACAGCAAACGCACTTCCTCCTCCACACCGTTTCAACCGTTTCTGTCGAATCTTCATTCGCTATCGCTGTACATGCCCCACTTGTCCATCTCCTTCCTCTCCTGCTCCTCGGCCTTGCGATCACCTGTCACGTAGGTGTAGGTGCCGGCAAGCACATTGGCGGCGCTCAGACCCATGGCCGTGGCCCGCACGGCGCCGCGAGCAGAGAACTTGTTCTTGAGTGCGGCAGGACGACGGCGGGCAGCGAGAAGGAAGTAGATGCCGCTCCAGGCGGCCGTCATGCCGGCGCTGTCGATCTTGAAGCCGGCCACGCTGAGGTAGCTCGAGAACATGAGGAGAGGGGTGAAGAGCATGGGCAGGGCCTGGAAGGGACGCCAGTGCAGAGCCGTGATGAGGGTTGCTAGGCCCATGCCGGGGAGGGAGGAGGCTGTTTTCCAAAGTTCGGGTTAGTATGTTGTGGGTGTAAGTGAGGATAGCTCACACATGAGAGTTGGTGAGTGAATGAACGAGTGAATACTTACATCCCCAGCCTCTGACCTTGTCCAGGGCGGATGACTTGATCTCTTCTTCGGTTGACATGATGGGCTAGGATATTGGGATATATTTGTTGTTGATCTTTTTACTATCTCCAACAACAGGTGTTTATTTTTTTTGTTAAACGGGTTTTTTGAGCTATCTGCAGCTTCTGAATCGGCTCAAGCATGTCAATTGAAGGAAGCTGTGACGACACTGGTTGGATGACTAAGCAAACTGGATCCATCCTTGTTGCCCGTTCCCGTCTTGTCTCCAATTCCACGGTTTCGTCGTTCTCCAGTTCCGGTCAGGTGCACGGGCCATGTGTAAATGGAATGGAAGAAAGGTGAGCGTGGAAGTTCCATGCTGTCCGGCTCCCTGACCGAGCCCGCTTAGTTGTTGGTGCAACCCGTTCAATGTGTGTCTTACCGGCGTAAACATACCTATCTGTCGACGGAGTATCTTATTCAAATATAAGCGTTGAATACTGAACGTATCGAATGGTTCCAAAATGATCGTCTAATATTTGTAGTATCCCACTCTGACTGCGACTAGTAAGGCTGGTACGTACACTTTTTGGACAAGGGGCCACAACTCACGGGTTGGGGGTCCCCTCCGTGCTGCAGCGGTTCCAGAAAAAAGCCACGCTTTCGACTCCCCTGTCCGCTCTCCTTGTCAATGCATTTACACATTCGCGACCCGGACGGACCTGAACCTGGCATCTAACACCAGAACATTATAGAATCTCTTTCTCACACCCGGGTCTGTGATCCCGATAACAACTAGGTCTCTGTTACCGACCTGCCGCCCGGCTTCTTGTCCACCTTCATCAAACCGCGACGTTATCACGGACACCGCCTTTGCCTTGTTGCGCCACTACATCCCTCAGCCCTTCGCAACCGAAAGATCGGCCAACGAGACGATCCGACTTCTAGGATTACAGAAACACATCTGGCCTTTATCTTCAAAGATAATCACCGACAGTACCTAGTAACGTCTTGACGACCGGAACCATAAGACAAAAGGGCACATCATGCCCGCAGCCACAACCTCGGGGGCCGATGCCTCTAGCGGATCATCCGCCCACAACCGCCAGCACAACCAGGGCAACCAGGAGCGCAAATACACAGTCGAGCAGAAGGCCGCGGTCCTGCGAATCCGGAGATGCGAACCTACGGCCTTTTACGAGATCCTCGAGTTGTCCAAGACATGTACCGACGCCGAGATCAAGAAGGCCTACCGCAAGCAGTCGCTGCTGACACATCCGGACAAGAACGGCCACGAGCATGCCGACGAGGCCTTCAAGATGGTCGCGCGTGCCTTCAGCGTCCTAGGTGACAAGGAGAAGCGCGACAAGTACGACCGCTTCGGAACCGACCCGGACAGCAGGTTCGCCAGCGCGCAGCAGCAGCAGAATCCGTTTGCCGGGTTTGGGAATAGGGGAGCAGCAAGGGCGCATCAGGGAGGCATGTGGGGAGACGACGCAGACATTAGCCCCGAGGAAATGTTCGCGAGGTTCTTTGGTGGAGGAGGTTTCGGTGGAGGTCCGTTTGGAGCCGGTATGTGTCCCGCCTTTGAATCTACAGGTTACGGGGTTTCGGAATGCTGACGTTTCTTTTCTCTTTATATAGCTTTCGACGGAGGGCCGCAGTTCGTCTTCAACTTTGGTGGTGGGCCCGGTATTCGGGTGCACCAATTCGGCGGAGGCAGGCCCAGGACTCGTCCTCGGCAGGCTGGACAGCAACAAGAAGGAGGCAACAACAGCATGTGGAGTACACTGATGAGCCTCTTGCCCATCATTGTCCTCTTCATCTTCCCCATGATCTCTTCGCTGTTCTCCGGAGCGACATCGGGGCCATCAACACCGGCCATGCGCTTTGAGGAGGCCAAGTCCCCTTTCACAATGGCACGTAAAATGCCTAATGTCAAGGTCAACTACTTTGTCAACCCGAACGATGTCAGGCATTATTCCGCCTCGAAGCTGTACAACTTGGATCAGAAGGCCGAGGTCATCTTTGTGCAAACGCTACAGAACCAGTGCGAGCGAGAGATGACGGAGAAGCGGCGGCTGATTGATGAGGCCCAGGGGTGGTTCAGTGTGGACAAGGAGAAGATGGCCAAGGCCGAGAGTTTCGAGACACCAGCTTGTATCCGGATCAGGACCCTTTATCCCTCAGGATCGAAATACTAGAAGGGGTTTTGAGGTCTGGGTTAAGGGCTGAAGTGTTGTGATGAGAGAGGTTGTTGCTGTTGGGTTCAGGCGCTGGGTACGATCATTAACTGTAGGCATGGCATTCAGTTCCGTGGAAGACCTTTCTTGATTAGACTAACAGACGGAGCGGGGGAGTCGGGACGTGTACTTGATGCGCACTCGCTTGACGTCTTATGAGAAATGATGTTTGTATAATCCTAATATATATGTATATACAAAGGGCTCTGGGTGATCCTTCTACGTGACGGTTCAACTCTTTTGAGCTACAGAGTATGAATGATGGGGTTGCGGAAGGCCATGTGACTTCACCTTGTCTTGAGAGGTGTCGGAATATATCTCTCGCTAGGCGATAATTCCGTGTCAGACGGAAATGATATGTTGACATTCCGAGTTCCTGTCAAGTGGAATAGTTGGAATATTGGATGCCTATTATGCACGGGCGTTCCCGTCATGTCCCTGGCCGCCCTGAATCCTCTAGGCAGGAGATGACGAAGCCTGTGAAATGATCAGTGGTGAGGGGTAGCTGCTGCCAACCTGCCATGACCCATGATTGGGAGACCGTCAAAGTGGCCAACGGCATAATTCGCAGATGCAGGCTGTAGTGCTTTTCCCTTGTCCTCATGCTGGGCCAAGCATTGCACCAGCCTCCAACTCTCCAGTCTTTAATAAATAAATGACGTTGCCAATGCCAATCTACCCTTGAGATCCCGACGGTTTCTTATCGCCATTCTATATCGTTTTATGTTATGCTGTTGGTGACGGCTGTCAGCCTCTCAGCCTGCAAGTCAACCTTTTGCGGCCAAGCACCGAGGTCGCCAAGATAGAGTGTCCCACTACGACGGGAACCTTGAGGGGTCCAAGTCCAGTCCGCAGCTGGAGCTTCGCACTGCCACTGTGCCACACTTTTCCAGCTGCTGGGATTTCGTCCCGTCTCCCCCATTCCACTTTGACGATTTGAGCATTTACAACCATCTCAAACCACAGAGTCCATTGGGATTTCGCATTTACATCGAACAACACCAAACTGGCTTTATCGAGGAGGCATATCCCGTCTGCTCACCCCTTGCAACCCAACTTTTGCTCTTGTAAGTTGAAGAAACATGCTGTCCTCCAATCGCTTCTGCACTGGATCCTAGTAACAATCTACTGACGACACCCATGTTAGGCCCCAATCTCGTGCTAGAATCGCAGCGCTATCCCAGCAACACCCCAGAACCTCGAGAAGTCGTGCGCCAATGACGCAACTGTTCACTTAACTTCGAACCGCTCTCGATCTCGACCTTGACTACGAAAGGCTGCTTTGTGTCGATTGAGCATTACTCCACGGCTAGGGCTGTTTTAAACCTTCAGTCGAATCCCTTTGGAAGGACGCAGCGAAACCTATACTATAATAATCCGCAGGCGGTTGTCACGTACTAAACAGGGTCCTCTTCGAGTCATTGCCTCTCAGACGCGTTTACTCGGCTTCCTCGGGCTTATATCCTCTCGACGGCCAACACTTTCCAGAACACTAGATTTTGGTTTAGGCATTTGATCAACGACTCTCTAGATATGGTCACCAGGAAACCTCTTCCAGCAAATGCTACCCTGGACCCGGCAGTACGACGAGAACCCTCTTGGTCTTCCGCCATGAACTCGGAGGCAAACATGACATGGAACGACGAGCGTGAGGGGCAGCAACGCCAGGGAGCGTCAGACGGACAAGCCGGTGATGTGCCACGATCTCTGAGGCCTGGTCAAAGCTTCTCCAACTTAACAGGCATCGAGGACGACAATGTTTGGGCTGATAACAACCCGGAAGGGACCAAGTCTACCACTGGTGGAGAGCCAGGTGACATTGGCCGAGTGCCTACCGTTTTGAGGCCCGGCGGCAATGCCCAACCTTCGAGATCCGGTGCGACAGAAGCCGACAAGGTAGGAGGCGACATCAACCGGATACCAACCATACTGCGACCAGGGGGCTCCCACGGACATCCAGAAACTAATCCGTTCAAGAAAAAGATGCCAGGAAGTACATCAGCCAACGAAGGAGAAGACACAATCCCGGCACAACCAGCATATTCACCACCCGTACCGCCTGTGCTATTCCCATCCTTTTCAAACTTGAGCATATCAGAAGGTCCTGAACAAAGCAAGAACCCTTGGCAACCTTCACCGAACCACCAAGGAAACCTCGCAGCACAACGGTCGATTCCAGATTTGCAACAGAGCCACACTGGAGGAGACCCGTGGAGGTCTCCAACCCCATCTCAGCAGCCTGCCCCTGGACCCTCAACGAGCCCACCAACATTGCTCTCACTACCCTCTGATGAAGATCCTGCAAAGTGGGACGAACAGCGTTCACAAAAAGCTCCCGAGCTTTTACCGTCGACTACAGGAGAGGAGACACTTGATGATTCCCATGCATGGGATGACTTGGGCGAATTTACACCAGAGGGAGGGCACCCGCAAAACCGCCTGCTACTACGGGGGACGACTGGAACTTGATCGATATCGACACACGCCCTGGCCCTCCATCACGAAGGAGTACTTGGGAGGATTTCGGCGACGACGATGAGAGCTCTCCTAAGCCGGTCACGGAGAATAACATTCCAGCACCTGTCGCGCCTCCGACAATGGGAGCTGTTGTGCCTCCTACACCTCCTCTTGCTGTGCCTTCTACAACATCTACCGTGCCCCCTAATTCGACGTCTGCCGACGAACCAGCCCCACCACTCCCCGAGAGAAGAGCGGAAGAGAGTGCACCTGAGTTACCACCTAGGTCTGCTGAAACGCAGGCTAGTTCATCTTCGCAACAACTACGCCAGGTTGACAGATCCGAGACATACCAAATCAAGAGAATCAACTGGTATGACGCCACAGCGGAAACCAACCCGAGGACATCGCCGATTCTGATCCAGAATGCGAATGGACCTTGTCCGCTTCTTGCGCTTGTCAACGCTCTCATCCTTTCTACCCCGGCGCATCAGGACAACACGGTCCTAGTGGAGACGCTTCGGTCACGAGAGCAAGTCAGTCTCGGGCTGCTTATTGATGCTGTCTTTGACGAACTAATGTCTGAACGACGACTGGGTGAAGACGCCGTTCTACCGGACATTACCGAACTCTACAACTTTCTGCAGAGCCTTCATACGGGCATGAATGTCAACCCACGCTTTGTCCCGACTAAGCAAATGGAAGACGCCTTCAACCGGACATCGCTCAGCGATCTGCCTCCAACCGAGAGGAGCGGTCGAGTCCCCGGGACTTTCGAGAAAACGAGAGAGATGAGACTCTATTCCACTTTCTCTGTGCCCCTGATACATGGATGGCTTCCGCCCAAGAATGATTCGGCCTATGGGGCTTTCGAGAGACAAGCGGCGTCGTATGATGACGCCCAGAACCTCATGTTCCGTGAAGAGGAGCTGGAAGCTAAGCTGAGCAGCCCTGATGAACAGGGCTTGACCGAAAATGAGCAGCAAATGCTCCAGGACATCTTTGCCATCAAAGATTTCTGGAAAACATCTGGCACACAACTTACAACATGGGGACTTGACGTCATTAGCAGTTCGATGAAGCCAGGAGCTGTGGCGATCCTCTTCCGGAACGACCATTTTACCACCCTGTATAAGCACCCACAGACAGGGAAACTCATGACCCTTGTCACGGATGCAGGCTACGCCACCCATGACGAGATAGTATGGGAATCGCTAGTGGATGTGAATGGTGAGCGAGCCGAGTTCTTCTCTGGTGACTTTCGCCCTGTCGGCGGCGCTTCACACGACCCTGGCAACAATTTTGGTAACTCAGGAGAGGGTAGTGGGTGGACGACGGTTCAAGGCCGTAGGGGACGGGCCCAGAGTGGGGATGTGCAAGAAGATGCCTCAACATCTCCGTCCCATGAACAGGAGGATCACGACCTTGCTCTGGCACTGCAACTACAGGAAGAGGAGGAACAACGTCATAGAGAAGAGCAGGACCGTAGACGCCGGGAACGAGAACTTTCGGAGCAGTTCATCGAGCAGCAAGCACGCACCTCGAATGGACAGCAGAGCCAGGGCCACGGACAAGGCCAAGCCCGTGGCGGTAGCCGTGGTGGAGGGGGTAGCTTACGGGACGGCAGAGGCGGCAGTACCGCAACTCTTGGGAGCCAACGGCCAGCGGCCTCAGCATCGCGCAGCTCACTATCGGTTGCTTCCACGGCTCCATCTACGCGCCGAAGCAACAGCTCGGTGAATGTCTCTGCGAACAACGGTGGAGGAGCTAGCCCGATAGCGAACAGAAACGGGGCCAGAACCTCGGGTCAGACTGTGAGGTCGCTCATTCCTCCTCTTCCTGGTCAACAACCACAGCCTTTCACAAATCGTGCACCGGATGATGGAGTAGAAGATGCTCCGCCGAGCTATGATGTGGCTGCTACACAGGCACCGTACATTCCTCCAGAAGGGCATCCCAGCCATCCCTCAAGCAGCCCTACCGCGGCTCGCGCGGATGTTGCTACCGGACCTGGAGCCGCTCCTCCTCGTACCGGAGCAACAAGTCCTCCCCAAAGGTTGGGCTCGACCGCGAGTTCAATGGGATTGAGAAACCCGTCACAGGCTCCTGAGCCTTCATCCATTGGCCAGGCCAATAGACCTCAGTCCGGGTTTCCTGGTAACCCAAACGGGGCGGCACCAAGGCCGATGAGACAGGGGATTCCGGTTCCTGCGGCAGGAGTTCCCGGGACGCCAAGGGAAGACAAATGTGTAGTTATGTGAATGGTGGTTAACGTATGGATTCTCTATCATTTGCGAATATGCTGGCGCGGTTTGGTGTTTGAGGTTTAGGGCGTCTGTGGTGCAGCTTTTGTTCGAGTGTCATGATGAAAGATATAAATGATACCAAAGAGGTTTGGAGTTGGGAGGGTGTTTCTTCTTGATCAGAATGTCCTTCGTTTCAGTTGAAGTAGTGCATCCCCCATGGCTGATGGCAGTTAGAAGAGTAAAGGGGTTTCAAATTTAGTCCAACTGGATGGTATCAACGGAGATGCTTTGTCCGATGTGCTCGTTTTTTGCTGTTTGAAGTATAGGGATAAATCCCGTGGTAACATTTCGGGGAAGTAGCTGGGAGGTGATAGGCGGGAATGCCGTTAGTGGTCACTGTTACACCAGATTAGATTGCCCTTGTTGGATGATTGCGGAGTGCTTTCGTTGACATCATTGGTCACCCGAGCATCGGTGATGGCGATGGTAAAGTGGCCCCTGCCAACGAATACGTTCCACGTTCCTTCCCACTTTCTTGCTCTTGCTTAGTACCTTCTCTCTTTCGTTATTTCCTATGGCCATCCGGCTCGGGTTATAGAAACCTCACCCTACTTGGTGGAAATAGAGGAGTTTAGAAAAACATCACCCGTCCGCGGACCGGTAATTTTTGAAGCTGCCGTCACCTTCGACTTTACAACCTCACCAGATAAGTCGTCGGCCGAGCGGCCAACAAAGAGGAAGATGACGACTACTGTAGGCCTAATCGACAATTGGTATCCTCCAACGAGGGAGAATTACGATCTCATTCTTTCCCTGTGGAAGTGGTTTCCCGTGGTATGTGTCCCAGCACTATGTTGAACATTTTCCCTCACAATTAACACGACCGATCAGGCCGCCTCCATTCAATGGGCCACCTCCTGGTACGGAATGGGCAAGACCTCAGTCACCAGCCGCCTCAACTTGCCCGGCCGGATTGGCTGGCTCACCATGGAAGCGCCCGGCTTCATGACCCTTCTCTACATGATGCGCACCCTTCCCGCCCAGCGCGGCTTCACTCTTAGCGACCTCCCCTGGCAAAACAAAGTTCTCGCCGGCCTCTTCGTCATCCACTACTCCTACCGCGCTATCGCCTTCCCATTCTTGCAGCCCAGCATGGCGCCCATGCACATCATCGTATGGCTCTCCGCGTTTGGCTTCCAGATCATCAACGGAACCCTCATCGGCTCCTGGCTGGCCGCCTACGGTCCTACGAGCCACGCGGCATGGGCCAAGCAGCTATCCAGCTCGTTCCCCACCCTTCAGTTCACCTGCGGAATCGCGCTCTTCTACGTCGGCCTGATGGCGAATTACTACCACGACGACGAGCTGCGGGAGATCCGACGCCGGGAAAACCGCAGGCAGGAGAGGCTGGCGAAGCAGAATGGGCAGCAGGGACAGTCGGGCAAGAAGGTGGAGAAGCACTACGAGATTCCCAAGGCGGGACTGTTCAAGTGATGCTTTACCCGCATTACTTTTGCGAGTGGATCGAGTGGCTTGGGTTCTACATGGCCGCTGGTTGGGGGTGTCTGCCGGCCAGGTGTTTCTTGCTGAATGAGGTGGCGGCCATGTTGCCTAGGGCCGTGAAGGGGAAGCAGTGGTATATGGAGAAGTTTGGGAGGGAGAAGATTGGGAAGAGGTGGGCGGTTATTCCGGGGGTTTGGTGAGGTCTTCGTTGGATGTCGTCGTCTCCTTAGGGGTTGGTTGGGTAGGAGATGATGGATCCGGAGTGGTGGTTTTGGGCGTATGAAGGAAGAACATGGACAGTTCGTAGCATTTACTAAGGCTGCATTGAGAGGTTGTTTCACTAGAATTACCACGTAAAAGAGTAAAGACAATGCATATGCTAGAGATATAGAATCCAATGCCTTTCCGTCCGTGATCATGACGGGAACCTTGGACGAACCATTTGCAACACCGACGTCGCCCAATGCTGAACTTGTGGGGCCTTACAGTGCTGCTTACAGTGGCAATTTGGCGCCTAACCCGCCAACCAGCTCTGGGAGCCCCCTACAACTCTGGCCAGACAGAACTTCAAATTCCACTTCACTTCAAATGCACCACGATGGAAGTAAACAAAACAGACGTGACAAAGCCAACTTGATGGGATGAACTCGTCACCATCCATCTTTTACCCTCTCTGGTCAGAAATTGGAGCCACACAATTTCTGCGACCTGGCGGGCAAAAACATCAACGGCAAAAGTCGCGATGCCTCTCCTACGGAGCGACTCCTTTAAGGACATAGACTTTACTCTTCGTCGACAGTTCGGCAAGGAGAATTTCAGGTACGAACTATTGGATAAAGACACCTTCATGACCTTGTTCTAATCATTCTTCGCAGACCACACCAAAGAGAAATTATCAAAGCTGCCCTCGACGGCCACGATGTCTTCGTCCAGGCTGCCACCTCGTTTGGCAAGAGTCTATGTTTTCAACTTCAGCCGTCATAGATCGTGGGAGTATGTTTTTAATCTTCAACGCATCTTCCGGTTGAGATAGGCCCATTCTGACTTTGTCTTCTTAGTCACTATCGTAATCTCTCCATTGCTGAGTCTTATGGCAAGTATCTCTCCTCTGCCCTGCGTTCGAATGACTTACTGACCCCCTTCAGATGAACCAAGTCAAAGCCCTCAAGGCATCAGACGTGGACGCTCGCACCTTAAACAGCAACACTACCATGCCAGAGCGGGACTACATCTACGCTGACCTCGCAACTGGGCATCCCCTTACACGGCTTCTCTACGTGACTCCCGAGCTATGTTCCGGCGACCACTTCCGACGGAAACTGAAACTGGTCTATGAGCAGCGAGAGTTGGCACGGATCGTAGTCGATGAAGCCCATTGCATCTCAGAATGGGGCCACGACTTCCGCAAAGACTTCAAACGGCTCTCCTGGTTCCGCGAAACCTTCCCCAACGTACCAGTCATGTGTCTCACCGCCACAGCCAACGACCAAGTCCGCCGCGATGTACTCACCACACTCGGGTTGGGCAAGACGCCCGGCAAACTCAAGATCTTCAGCATGACCGCCCACCGACCAAACCTACATCTCGAAGTGCGTTATACCAGCGACGAAGCTAACGACCGTTACGACGACTTCGTCACCTGGCTCCAGGGCGTCTACGACCGCCGCGCGGCCGCGGATCGCAAAGCCGAATTAGACGTCACGGGCGAGCGTGTCGAGAACGTCTCAGGGATCATCTACACCATCTCGCGCGACGAAGTCGAATCTCTCGCGGCCGCTTTGAGGCACGACGGCATCGGCGCCCGCCCTTTCCACGCGAAGCTGTCGAACCAGACCAAGGAGGAGACGTTGGCCAAATGGATTGCCAACGAGCCGGGCTACGATATCATCGTTGCCACGACGGCCTTCGGCATGGGCATCGACAAGGAGAACGTGCGCTTCGTCGTGCACTGGCGGCTGCCCAAGTCGTTTGAGGGGTACTACCAGGAGGCCGGGCGGGCGGGTCGTGACGGGAACGCAAGCTATTGTTTTCTGTACTACAGCCGCGAGGATCGGGACCGCGTGTGTAACTTGGTCGCGAGGGAGCCTGTGTCGAAACACGCGGGTGCGAATGGGATCAACAATAAGCAGGCGAGGCAGGAGAGCCTCAGCAGGCTGGTGGCGTATTGTGAGGATACCAGCTCTTGTCGGCATGCGGCGATTTGTAGGTATTTTGGGGAGACGCAGGTGCCTGAGTGCGATTATGCATGCGACTGGCATAAGGATCCGCAGGGGCTGAAGAGAAGGATGGCGAGGGGACTGGCGAGTGAGGAGTGGATTAGTACTCAGCGGGAAGAGGGCATGTATGATGAGTATTGGAGTGAGTAAGGATAGAGGGGGGGTTTTGGAGTTTAGTAACTAGGTAATCTCTAGGTGGAAGCTGCGTTTGAGGTCTGGATTAATATGATACCCATGTTTATATTGACAGTCTTGCGCAGTAACATATGCCATCTTTGCAAGATGATAGTTACAATATCATCGGGAGGCAACGTAGTGAGAGAACGCAGTTTGTTGCATGTTTGTGACAGGTATCTTGACAACACTTTATCATACATACACCCGATCTGTCTCGAGCCCGCTGTTTATCGACCTCCGCCCGTTGTTCTCTTCCTCTCCGGAATGCCCAGCTTAGGCTTCTCCGGTGCCACGTTATCGTCCATAATCCACGGCTTCCTCTTGATAGCTTCCTCCAACGTCAACCCCCACTCCATCCAGGCGAGTCCCTGAGTAACCGAGTCGCACAAGTCGTCCATCTTCTCAATGTGTTCGCCCTTGGTAACGCGCTCCGTCCTCTCCATTCTCTTGCCCATCAACGTGCCAACGCCAAGAGACTTGGGGAGATCCTTTGGCTCCGGCATTATTACAGCGTCGTTTTTCAATTTCTGCTTGGTTAGATTTAGGCTGTAGACAGTTGGAGGAGCGGCCCTTACGAAATACTCGGCCATGCGCTGCATCTCCTTGGTTGCGAGACCGAGCTTCTCCTGATTCCTGAACCAAGAAGCCAAAAGCAACATGCGGGCCTTCTTAACGTCCTTGATCTTGGCCTTGACTTCCTTGTCGTCAACGTTGACGGGCTCCGCGAACGGGTTGAGAAGCTCGTCATCCTGGTCCTCCTCGGGTGAAATCTCATCGACAGGCAACATCTTTGCCGGTACCCGCTTTGGCCTGGACCTTCTGGGCTTGTGAAGTTCGCTGGGTTCGGGTATCTCGCGTTCGTACTTGTCCACAAGATAGTTGACCACGCGCTTGGGCGGTACGGCAACCACGACGCCCTTGAACTCGCCGCGGGCTTTCATGACCTCCAGGATGGCGTAGATCATGGATTCGAGCATGTTTACACGGACGGTCCACTCAAAGATGCCGGCCGCGTTGGCGGTGCGGAAGCGCTGACGCTCAATGAGAATGTGGGTGGGGTTTTTGGGCAGGATATGTTCCGTGATAAGGCGGTAGGCCATGTCGGCCATGGCGTTGGGGGCAAAGTTCTCCCCGATGGCGTCCGTATTCCTTCCGTCGATATTGTTCTTCTCAAGCCATGGCAGAAGGTTGAGATGGCGCCATTCGTGCAGGTCAGCCACATGCCTTGTAGTGTTGCGTATATCATACTTCGTTTCAGTCATTAGATTTGGTTCGAGAGTTTTGACCAAGTCGTTGTTCGGGGTTGATTCAAGCTTCTCGAAGAACGAGGCCGTGTCAAGGACACCCTCTCCCCCTGGCCTGTTGAACCTGGTACCTTTGTCTCCAGTAACGGGGTTCTTCTCGGCCATGGCCCTGTTGAACCCGATCCCTTCGTCTCCAGGCAAAGGATACTCTTGGGCCTTGGCTTTGCTGTCTTGCAAAACTGGAGTGAGAACACTGTAGGCAAAGTTCTTGAGACCCAGGTCGATGCTGAGGATGCGAGAGTCAGGCCTTAAAGGTTTGTGCTCTCTAGCAGCGGTTCGGATACGGTTGTATAGCTGAAACTTGGGACCAGACTTTGGCAGACCACACCGGACCATAAGCTCCTGCAACTGAGCAAGAGGCAGCTTGGCCAGCGCGGTGGGCTTGGGCATGATGTGCAACTGGCCGGCAACACCGGACTTGCCTCCAGTCAGAAAATTCCTCAGTAGCGATCGTAAAGACAGCGATTTGTTGTATGCGGTCCTCCCCCCAGCAACCGAATGATTCGAGTGGCTTGAAGACGATATTCAGCGCCTGACTCTCTTCGTTGCTCACACAAACCAAGCTCTCGCCTCTTTGATGGCTAGTGAGTGAAAAACTCTCTTTTTTGTATCGAGTTGGAGAGTCGTGAGATGCCTCGACCGAGGTGAGACAATTGGTGTTTGTGTTTGTGTTGTGTTGATTCGGACTCTTGTTGCCCCAAAGTGATGGAAGTTTGTAGATGAAAGTGAAAATCCACTATCTCGGGATGAGGTGTGAGTACAAGGCCTTTGTTACCGATTACCGCAAGTGATGGGAAAAGTACTAGCATTTATTAAGTACCGAGCTGGATTGGTTCAACAGGTGCCAAGGATTTAAATCCGGTCTGGCCCATATGCCTGCCGGGTTTCGAGAACCTTGCTGGCACGGCAACCACGGCAGGCAAACCTTAGGTTTTTATCGCGGCAATCGTTCCGATCGCGGGGCAAGCACATGAACATCAGATGCGGGCGGAAGGTCCCTTTGACGCCTTTTCTTCAGATCTTCCAGTGGCATGCAATTGACGAAACAAACGTCCCGTTCCATCCCAACGTCTCCCCGGGTCCTAGTTCCTAGTATTTAAGCTCTCAGTTGTACAATACTGAAAGAAGTTTCACAACCCACAACTCTGTTAGACTTCCCCTTGCGGACTGCCTGATAATCCCGATGGTCAATGTGGAGTCTTTGCTTACATGATCGACTTCTACGCGATTCGGCATTCTGCGTTGCTTACTGACCATAACCCATCCTTTCAACTCGTCTCCTACTCGATTTTTCCACAGTCTCATTTTAACTTAAAGATACGGGCTCCATGATATCATTATCCGAAGGACGGCAAAAGAAGAGAAAGATGGAGACGCCGTAACAGATACAACGTGTCAAGGTCTTCTCGGTTGGTCGTGTAATCTGGAATGATTACATACTCGGATTGGACATCAGGAAGTCATCTCTACAATCCTACCACCACCGCCAACCTCGGCATGTTTACCGGACACGACCGCGCTTGCGTCAGATAGGGTCTAGGTCATGTCACCATTCCGATTTCAAATCCCAAATTGCCCTCTGATGTGGTATCCCGGTGTCTTGTAGTGTCACAATGGATTGGGTTTATAGACTTTCTAGATCCTCCTGCCTGTCGCAATTGGAACAAGGTGGTCCCCCACTTGAGACAGTGTACCGACACTAGCGTACATATTCCAAATCCTGGGGCCGCCAGCCTGCAGTCCTCGCAGACACAGATAACTATGTACCCGCCCCAACACCACCGCAAACACGCCCGAAGGATTACCAACCGCAGCTGAACGTTCGCAACCGTAACCCCGCGGCCGTCTCTTTATTTACTCCCTGACCCTGCGTCCGCCCAGACCACTCATATTTGCGATACCAGCCCCGGACACCGTTGTGGTGGTTATATCTTTCGTCCATGCCCTCTCTGTCCTTCCTTGTTCGACCTTCTGTTGTCTCGTCCAGACTAGCTTCAGGCCGAGTTGGTTCTTTGTCCAGACACTTCTCTGCTACAGCTCTCAACATGGCTCCCATTTCCAAGGAAACCGATTTTCTCGTCATTGGTGGTGGCAGTGGTGGCATTGCGACTGCCCGCGCCGCTGCTGGCAAGTATGGCATCAGGTCCATGGTAATCGAGGGCAAGCGTTTGGGAGGTACATGCGTCAACGTTGGGTAAGTGACTTCCAACCTTGTGTCATTGCGGCCCGTCCTCCTCAGATAATCAAGATCTGACAAGTTATTTTCCTCCGCAGCTGCGTACCCAAAAAGGTCACCTTCAACGCCGCTTTCATTGCCGAAACCGTTCACCAGGCCAAGGACTACGGCTTCAGTTTCAAGGAGACTGCTCCCTTCGACTGGACTACTTTCAAGCACAAGCGCGACGCCTATGTTGCCCGTCTCAACGGCATCTACGAGCGCAACCTCGCCAATGACAAGGTCGAGTACGTTCACGGCTGGGCCAAGCTTCTGTCCCCCAACTCGGTTGAGGTCACTCTTGATGATGGCACCAAGTCTGTCGTCAACGCCAAGAAGATCCTGATCGCCGTGGGCGGCAACCCGACCATTCCTCCCCATATCCCCGGCTCCGAGCACGGCACCAACAGCGACGGTTTCTTCGATATCGAGACCCTTCCCAAGAAGGTTGCTCTTGTTGGCGCCGGTTACATTGCTGTCGAGTTCGCCGGCATGTTCAACGCTCTTGGCGTGGAGACCCACCTTTTCATCCGTCACGATACCTTCCTTCGCACCTTCGATCCCATGATCCAGCAGGTATCAGTCAAGGAGTATGAGCGCCTTGGAGTCAAGATTCACAAGAGGAGCCTCCTCACTAGCGTCGAGAAGGATGCGGCGGGCAAGCTGGCTCTCAATTTCAAGGAGGGCGAGGGCGAGCAGTCGATTGCCGATGTCGACCACCTCATCTGGGCTGTTGGCCGCACACCGGCGGTTGAGGGTCTCGGTTTGGACAAGGCCGGCATCAAGACCAACGAGAAGGGCTATATCGAGGTGGACGAGTACCAGAACACCAGTACCGAGAACATCTACGCCCTTGGTGATGTGTGCGGTCACATCGAGTTGACCCCCGTTGCCATCGCTGCCGGTCGCAGGTTGGCCGCCCGTCTGTTTGGCCCCGAGCAGTTCAGGACAGCCAAGCTGAGCTACGATAACGTGCCATCCGTGGTGTTCGCGCACCCTGAGATTGGTTCCATCGGCCTCACCGAGCCCCAGGCGGTTGCCAAGTACGGCGCCGAGAACCTCAAGATCTACAAGTCCAACTTCACCGCCATGTACTACGCCATGATGCAGCCCGAAGACAAGGCGCCTACTGCCTACAAGCTCATTTGCGCCGGCCCCGAGGAGAAGGTTGTTGGTCTGCACATCATCGGCCTTGGCAGCGGCGAAATCCTCCAGGGCTTCGGTGTTGCCATGAAGATGGGCGCGACCAAGGCCGACTTCGACAGCTGCGTGGCTATTCATCCCACCAGTGCTGAGGAGTTGGTGACTCTCAAATAAAGAGAGTGCGGATGGGCGAAAAAGGGTGGTTTTCATTTGTTGTACCTATTTAAACCGGATATACCTCTGCATGTTTGGGTGATGGTGTTTATTTGTAGCGTGGCAGCCTTATTAGAAGCAAAGAGTTGGAAATGATACCTGAACATAAAACACCTTTGAGATATACCATCTTGAACATTGTCATTTGCTCTGAGTCGCAGTTGGAATGTAGCCTTTTGCGTGTAAGTTGAGGACCTAGGACCATGCAACCGCCGAGATAGGCGAGATAAAGAGGTGATAACCCGATAAGCGCCATGAAGTTTGCTCCGATAAGAGAGCTGGCAGTGACGTGCTTTGTACCTCGACGTGCTCAAGCTCGAGAGCTTGGGCCAACATCGGTTGAAGGTACTTGGCAGCTGGAGGAACGGGAAATGGCCAGAGGACCCATTTGCGCGCGTGCAAAGTACCTGTACGGTGAGCGTTTTCCTCCAGATGCGCAAAAAGTCATGCCACAATAATCAATGGCCTGCGACTGGCCAGGCCCGACACCCACCACGCACAGCTGCCAGAGCTGTGCGGCCAGCTGAGACAGCCGAGCTTATTCCCAATTCCGAACGTCAAGATTCCGCACTAGCGTCACGGACCACCACGGGCAGCTCCTCCAGTTTCATCACCACACTCCAAGTGCTTTCCCACCCTCGACTCTCCTTGACCACCAGCTTCTGACCGAGCAAGGAATCGCCAAATCTCCACTCAAGGTATGCCGTTCTCCTTGCGATACCACTCTGCAGCTCCCCTCAAGCTCTCCGACTCAATTGCTGACTGCATGTGAATTGCTTTGCGAGAAAAAAGATGTTCTCCCGTGTTGCCCTCCGCGCGGCTCCCCGCCAGCAGCCCTTCAGCCTCGTTGCTCGCCGCACCTTCCAGACCACCCGCGCCCAGCTCTCGTCGCCCTACCACTACCCCGAGGGTCCCCGCTCCAACCTTCCCTTCAACCCCAAGACCCGCTTCTTCTGGTTCCGTTACCTCATGTACTGCGTCGTCGGCTTCGGCGCTCCCTTTGGCATTGCCGGTGCGTGATATTCTCCCTGTCCAAGAGTTGCAAAAAGTAATGCGGTCCCCACTGACGTAATCTGGTTTCAAACACAACAGTCTGGCAGACCTACCGCCCCCGCTCTTAAACGGCTCGCTACTAGCTGTGATGCGGGTGTGCCGATATGATCGGGAAGTATTGAGCGGGCCGATGAGCTTGATGCGTGCGTAATAGGGGGAAAGGGGAATATACCGAAAGGGGAGAAAACGCAAAGACACCGACCAGCACGGATGTAGATGCAGGTAGTCCGGACTGTCCGGGCGTTCTTCTGTATATGATACGACACGGATAGAAACCACCATCATCATCAACCCCGACATTTGTCTCTTTTTGGACCCTCCGAGAACCAATGGCTCTAACACAACCTTTTTGACATCGATGAGGGGGAGATGGATGGTGGCAATGGGTGCTGGGTTCCTCTGGCTGAAGCTGTGATCACGGATGGAAGCAAAGCTAGTTTGGATGAAATATGGCACGGGATGACCGAGGAGTTACTGACTCCTTCGACTAAAGGCTGCGAGATAAGCAAGCTGCGTAGTCCACCATGCCCTGAATGCGTCTCTATACAGTGACACTTTGGTAAGTCTTCTCAGATAAGGTATGGTCGGAGCAGCACTACCGGTTGGGAAAGCGGTGTTTCTGACCTCGTTGCTGCTCCGGTACAACTTTGAAGCTCACATACGCGACCTTGAGAAGAAAGGCGATCGATCATGCGAGCTCAAGGATGTAGCTTCATGCTCACAATTTCAGGGTATCGTTGCCAGTAACTTCCCGGTCAACTATTCGTAGTCATGATGCCTATCAAATATGAAAATCTCATCCACTCCAGCCATGCGCATGGCATCTCGATCTTGGTACCATACGGGGGCGACGAGTTGCGCACGGGAGGACATGACGGTAGCTATAGCGATTAGGAAAGACCAACCAATGTAAACAAAGCCCCTGGACCGGATGGTCCTCGGCACAGTCAACCTATGTTTCACAGGATACCGCCATCGTTACAGTAAGTTTGCAGATATGCACCTATGCGCACAAGCCAATCGGCCAGCCTCCGTTTTCCCGTGTAAATGGATTCCTATGTACTTTGCGCCAGCGCAAAGCGAAGGTACCCTTTTAGAGCTCACCCCTTGCCTGTTAGTGCCAGGTACTTGTCAGGGTCCGCTAGGGTACCTGCGACGCCGCCGGTTTCCCCCAACCATCACAACGTCAACCGCCATTCCATTCCACCTGCCAGGAGCAGGGAGCCGCAACAAAACACAACACCAACGCTACACTACCACCACACACCACCACGGACACACTGAATAGCCGAGAGATCAACATCCCCATCTTCTTTACGCAGGCGACGGGAACCTACGCTGAACACATTGCGCGACATGGTATGAGGTGAAGCGAACATGCAGACTTGCCGTCCAGGCAACACGCTACACGGATCACGGAAGACGACATCAAGAAGAAGCACAACATATCCAACAACCAACTTTCCACCACCACACCGATAATACATATACACACACACACACCAAGATGGATTTGCCACCAGTAAACCTCGCCGAGCTGCTCCGGCACCCCGATGATCTCGACAAGATCACCACCCTCAAGGCCGAGTTCATGCGGAAAAAGGCAGCCGTCGACTCCCAACTTCGCAGCGGCTTGCGGGAGCAGCTCGAGACGACACAGGCCGGTATGAACGGCTTGTCCGAGGGACAAAAGACGGTGCAGCAGATCAAGGAGGAAATGATGAAAATCGACAAGATCTGCTCCGAGTCGCAAGACATGATCACCGACTTTGCGACCATCAACCTGGTATCGCAAGCCCACCGCAACTTTGGCGCCGTCGAGACTATGCGCCGCAACCTCGAGACTTTCAGCGAGCGCCTAGACGCCATCGACAGGATGCTGAACGAGGACGACGAGGACCCCGAGAACATGCCCAACTTGCTGGCTATTCACTACGAGTTGACGCAGCTCCGTAATATCCGCGACGATGCTATCGAACAAATACAAAGAGGCGACGACCCGGGCCTGCAGTCTACATTGGAAGATTACTTTTCGCGGCTGGATAAATACATTGAGTGGTTTGATGTGAATATCACCCTCGTGGCCATGAGCTTGATCAACCTGGTCATTGCAGACAACAACAGTTTGGTAGTGCGGTTTGCACTGATAATAGAGGCTGAGGAGAAGAGCGACCAGAGGGTTTTGGCTTTGCAAGAAGCGCTGAAGGATCACAAGGAAATGGCTACGCGCTTCCAGAGCATAACCGATGGCGCCAAGACGGTCAGGGGCTACAAGGACAAGTTCTTGAAGGCTATCAAGACCTTTGCAGAGGACCAGTTCAAGGAGAGCAGAGAGAAATTCCTGGGTGACCCGGATATGCTCGATAAGTCTTTGAAATGGTACTTCAACGACCTGAACGCTGTCAAAATCGGCATGACACCACTCATGCCCAAGAAGTGGAAGATATTCAAGACATGGGCTACCATTTACCACGGCCTGATGCACGACTACCTTATTGCGCTAATCGACGACCCGGGGACCAGCTCGGCACACACACTAGCCATCATCAGCTGGCCTGAGGCATACTATCGCAAGATGACCAAGTTGGGCATGAAGCAGGACGAACTAACACCCCATGTGATCGACAACCGCGAGGCAGAACTGGTGCGCGACTTCCGCGCCCTCATCATCAAGTTCCTCGACGAGTGGATCGACCGTATCTACAAGCAGGAGTGCAAGGATTTTGCCGACCGCAACGTCGAGGGCGGCAACCTTGACCAGGACGAGTATGGATACTTCCGCACCAAGAACCTGGTCGACCTCTGGCGCATGCTTCGCGAGCAAGTCGATGCCGCGGGCAACTCGAAGCGTGCCGATGTCGTGGAAGGTGTCATCGACGCCATGTTCCAGCGCTTGCGTACCCGCCAGCAATCCTGGCAGAAGATGCTCGAAGACGAGGCTGCGCGCTACGAGCTGCAACCCTACAAGGTCAGCCAGAATTGGAAGGCTTCCAGCCTCTGCAGGACTGGCTTGTGGCCACAGCCAACGACCAAATTGCCTGTATCGACGACAATGAGGACGAAGGGCGGATGGCCTACCTGTCCGACTTCCGGCGCAAGTTCAGCCCGCTGGTGTCGCCGCAGTACATGGACCGGGCCGAGACGGAGATCAACGCTCTGCGCGACGGCTACGTCGACCTGAGCACGTGGTGCATGACCAAGTTCGCGCAGCTGGTGTTCGCGGTCGACTTCCGCACCGTCATGCCGGACTTCTTCACCCCGAGATGGTACACGACCAACGCCATGGCTTCCATGATCGCCACGTTCGAGGAGTACGTGTCCGACTACAAGTTGGTGCTGCACCACTCGCTCGTCGACATCTTCATCGAGATCTTTGCCGAGGAGCTGCTGATCCGCTACCTATCGTCGGTCCGCAACAAGGGCGCCAAGTTCCGCAGGCAGGATAACTTCCAGGACAAGATCTATGACGACCTTTCCACGGCCTTTGACTTCTTCAACAGCTTGCCCAACCCGGATGTGGGCAACGCCATCAAGGATACGTGGCGCGCGTCGGAGCCGTTTCTGCAGCTGTTGACGGTCGATAGGGAGGCGGTCCCCGACGCGTTTGCGGAGTTCAAGAGCCAGTATTGGGATTTGCAAATTAGCTGGGTCGAGGCGGTGTTGAGGTCTAGAGATGACTTTGAGAGAAGCATGTTGAATGCGGTCAAGGCTAGGGCCGCCCAGATGGACGTTGTTAGAGGACCGGAGACTATCATGAGTAAGGTTAAATAAGGGTGATTGCGGTAGCAAGTGTCACCCGGTGACAGTAAATAAGTTTAATGGTGTGTGTGTGTGGGTTGGGAAGGGAGATGAAAGTTCTATGCACATAATGATACCAGCTTTTGTAAGCTACAGCGAAGACATCTTCGGAACGGTAAATAAGAGAGAACTGAAGACCAGTCTATGATGGTGGTTGGAATTTCTTGCGTGCGTATAATATTCGTCGATTGAGCGTCGCTTAAATGCTTGGAGTGATCTGCCGCCTCTAACATTGTCTCTAACTTCTATCATTTATACAACCACATAAAGTTTCCTCTTCGGAGTCACAACTCCGGCTCGCAAAGCTCGCCTTTCTTGTTCAACCAAACATGCAAATGCAACAGATACAGATAGAGACTACGCGACTGGTCCGCGTCTTGGAAAAAATAAAGCAATATACAAAGAACATTGACCTTCAACTACCACCACCACCACCACCGCCATAAAATGATATAAAACAGCAACAACAACAACTCTGTATCTGTAAATGTGGATTGTATGTAAAATATGTGCATAAGCATCATCAACTCATGATAATGGTGCCCGTGACGTTCTGTGTCATGTTGCTGACAGACCTCTTCTGTCTGTCTGTCTTTGGTGTTTCTATGTTCTGTCGTGATATGCTGCATTGTACTGTATTACCATTTCTGTCTTTTCGAGCCATTAATCAGAAGCGAGGACAGGAAGTCGGCCATGAATAACTCGTCCTTATCGTTGAGCTCCCAGCGCGCCCTAAGTTGCTCATAGACTTCGACGACTCGGTCGGCGTCGGTGCACCGCATGAATGCGCGCAGGACCCAAATGGCCAACCAGGTCTTGATCTCGATGCCTGGACGGTCGACACCCCATTCTTTCCTTTGCGGATAATCCTCCTCTTCGTATTCGTAGGGTAGTTCAGCTTCGTCGTCGTCGTAGATTTCAGGGTGGTGTTCCTCCTGGGTGCCTTCTTCTTGAACATGGGCTGGCTCATGATTGTGGTCTTCTTGAAGGTGATCATCATGAAACGCTTCCTCATCAGCCGGTGGATGCTCATCAACTGGTGGAGGGGCTGACTGATGAATAAGTGTCCTTCCAGCGTCGATGGCCTCTATTAGGGCTGAGTAGATTGACTCTAACCGCTTCGCGCTCCATGCCGAAGTTGGGTAACCCCCATGACGGTCAAAAGCTTTGAACAAAACCTTGAAGATGGAGCCGTGAACTGGAATGTCGAACAGCTTCATCTCGTCGATGTACTTGGCCACGCGAGAGAGATCTCCGCACCCAACACCGTAATACTTGACAAGAATACTGTACGTCCGAAGGTTTGGATGCATCGGCGCCATCTCTTGAAAGCTCTGTTGCAGCTCGGGAGCTTTCTTTGCAACCCGAGCCATCATCTTCAGCGACTGTGTGATGGCACGATCGCTGGCGTAACTCCGAGCCGGGAACGGTACCTTGGACCACTTCGCCATAGAAGCCACCATGCAAGCATATATGCGCTCGACCGCTGCTTCCTCGCCCGATCGCAACAATCCAGATATGACGGCATTGAGGACAACTGTGTCAATCATCTCGCCTGCCTCAACCATCTCACGAAACGCGGCGCGCAGTCCACCCGTCTCCCTCTTGAGGCCAAAGAAATGGATCAAGCTCACGTGGTGATAGCGGTTGAAATAGTGCCCGCGGCTGACCATTTCCTGGTAAATCATTTCGGCGAGGGTGAAGTTGCCGGCTTTTGAAGCCACGTCAAAGAGAATGTTGAAGGTCACCTCGGTCGCCTTGATGCCAGCGTCGACTTCCATTTCGCGCCATAGTCTCATGGCAGACTGCGCCTGAGTTTCGGTGACGGTGCCAACATAACGACTTGCGAAAGAGATGGCGCAATTCCACTCCCCTGCCGTCAAGGGCATGCTGCAGTTCCTCACATCCGCTATGACGGCAAAGTACCGAAGCATGGACTTGGAGTTTCTCCGCTGAGGCTGCCCTAGTGCTTTGAGGAGCTGATGTCGCAATCGACCATTAATGAAAGGCATGCGCGGTTCCGGTAGTTGTTGGTAGAGGTCGTATATAGTGTCAAGGTCAACCTTGTGTGGCGTGCGCAGCCGCACGAGCACAGCAAATCTGAGGTCGCTCAGTGTACGTTGGCCCTCCTCTTCCCACAGACCGATCACTTCGTCCGGACCTGGATATTCGTAATCGTCTTCATTTTGTACGAAGGTGAACCGGGGCCTGTCAGCTGGCGCATAGTTGTGCATGTGAGGATCGCGAATGAACTTGAGGTGGTCTTCAACCGTTCCATCCAGGCCACGATAGGGATCTACCAGTTCAAGCAGCTCTTCTTTGGTAAGATGACCGGGGTTCACATTGTGAGATTCGGGCGGCTCTTGTGATTGTGGGTTTGCGCCCCAGGGGGGTTCGGTCGGTGGATCGTCATGTAGCGCGGATGGGGCCGAGAATACGGAGTCGGCGGCGGGCTTCTGATCGGCACTGGGTTCGGTGGCGGCTGCAGCAACGAGCTCGGGCTCGGGCTCGGGCTCAGGGACCGGGGCTGCCGCCGCCGCCGTGTGGCTCTTCTTCTGGGGAGCGGAGACGGAATAGCGGAAGAAGTTGGAGTCGAGTGCTCGTCTGCTGCTCGTGCCGGACAAGCTGGTGGGAGTTACTCGCAGGGATGAGGTGGTCAGTAGCGGGCAGCCGGTGGAGCCGCGTATGGGTCTCCTCGCGGCTCCGTCGACAAGGCCACTTTGTGAGGTCCAGCCGCCATGGAAGCGCCGTCGTTGTGTTGCTGGGCCGAGGCCTGCTGTCGCAACCTGTCTTCTTCGTCCGCTGCCTTGGTCACCGAGCTGTGAAGGTGTGGTGGCAGCAATTGCGGTTGCGGAGGCGGCAATGGCAGACCAATTCCACGACGGACGATGCAAGAAGATGGTGCCGCATATCGACCCGTCAAATCGGCTGGAGACTTTCATGAGCTGCCGTCGTCCAACATGATGGCCTGCCCATTCAGCCAACCCCTTCTTCCTTTGCTTGTTCCCCACGAGTTCCGGCCGCAGTTTTCGATGGAGGAGAGCTCAGACGGAATGCGATTACAGTGCCCTCGTCCGTCGTCGCAACTTGCCTTGCTTGCTTGCTGCTGGCTGGTGCGCACTCGATGCGGTCGCGGTTACTGGGCGAATTGGATCGCAAACAGGTCGAATTGGTCAGGGCGTCAGGTCCGTGGAGGGCGGGGAAAAGTATGGGGAGAATGGGGAAGAACTCGAGTCATGAAGTGAGGGATGTCGTTGCAGGAAACTGGGGTCGGGGTGGGCGACGCGATAAATGAGAAAAAGTTGGGGTACGTAGACAGCGAGAGGCACAGCTCCAGGTACCTTGCCATGAGCGACACCCCTGCCTCCAAGAAAGAGGGGAACACCTCTCCAGTCTCCGCCGGGCTCCAGAGCTTACTGTTATCGATAAGCGCCTCAGCCAGAAAGGTACCTTCGGTCGTTCAATGGCGGGGAGGGGAACAATTTTTTTGCCGGCACGTCCTTCCAATTGCTCGCTCGCGGCAGGCGCACAGGACAGGTCGCGCGGGCTGCCGGCAACAAGCTCGTCTCCAATGTCACATCTCCACTTTTCTGTACAAAGCTAGCAAATAGCGATAACGATAGGTTTGGCGGTTGAGGGAATCCATTGTACGCAGCGCAGTGTATTATCATTACCTTACACAGGTATACACACCCCGTAACCTCGTAGCCTTGCCTTTACCTTGGGAGGGAATCTGAGGGACGAAAGGACCGCCGAACCCGCCAATGGTCCTTTGATCTCAACTAACACCACCCGCCGTCGTCGATTGTCTCCAGTAATTCCCTCCACACAACCCGACTCCCGAACGCCGCCAGCGACGACCAGACAAGATGGGCAAGGGGCGCATCTTCCAGGCCGCAAAGGTCTACCAGAGGGCTGCCGATGCTGCGGCCACCAACGTGGTCGCTGGCCTGCCACCACGGAACCCACCACTGTGGCTCAAGGCCCTCGAGTCCATCCCCCCCGCCGAGATCAACACCAGGCCGTATCCCATCCAGCACTCTGCGCCGAACTCGCGAGTGCGCAAGCCAAAGAACCTGTGGAGGCCCACCAAGATCGTCTACCCCGAAGATGAGTTGCGCCGCGACTTCTACCGCGACCACCCTTGGGAGTTGGCCAGGCCTAGGATGATTATCGAGTTGGACGGCAAGGACGCCAGGCATCTTAACTGGGCCAAGGGCCTCAGGCAACGCGGCATGCCTTTGTCCGGCGAGAGGTACGTTGTTGGAAGGGCGCATTACACGTAGCGGCGCAAAAAGGGCAGGCGCGGATTGGACGGGAATGGAAATCGCATACTAACCCTATACGCAAACTATAGTGTCGTTCAGCGTCAGCTCTGGCTCATGGAGAACCAGGGCATGACGAAGCAGGAAGCCTACGACAAGGCGCGCCACGAGTTCTACAAGTTGAGGCAGCTGGAGCAGATGGAGCGCAGGATAGCCGTCGAGGAGGCCCGCATGGTTGGTGGCTACTTCGGCAAGGACCTTCTGCACGTCGGCATGGAGCTCGAAGACCAGGCCTACGAGAACTGGAAGAAGTGGGCTACGGCCGAGATCGCCCGCCAGGAATCTGCCAGGAGTTCCGCGTACGCCAACGTCGTCGACAACTCTGCGCTCGAGGGAGCCGAGGAGGACGAGCTGATCGCGCAGTAAGGGAAAGAGTCGGAGTAAAACGGGAAGGGAAGTGAGGGAGTGGTGTACCATGGTTGATACCCATCCGTGTCTGGGAAAAGACGACGCCGGCGGCCCACTCGTGTACAACTGTAAGAATACCACATGTCTCTTCGTACATATAGAGAGGGAAAGAGACTTTGTACAAGTACATGTGATCCAGGAAGCCTTTTGCCGCGCCTATTTCCGAAGAAACCCGGCAGAAACCGGCCCGATATATTGACTACCCTTGAATATCCTCGCCAGACTCTCGTGTTGCACTCCGACAACATCAGCAATGCCCGTTTTTAGGAACAGCTTCCCCGTCAGACTCATCGTCTTGGACCTGGCCCAGGTCTCAATGTACGCCATCTTTGCTCTGTTACCCGGCACGAGGTAGAATATCTTGAGCAAGTGGGCCACCAAACAAACAACAAAGCCGTTGGCAGGCCCATTTGTGACGATCACATGCGGGTACTCGAAGTCCTTTGCATTCTCCTTCGTCGACCGCAAGTTGGGCATCCGTGTGAGGGCGTTGGCGGCATGAAAGGCCGATATGAGGCAGGTAAAGGGCGCCGTATAAAGCGGCTGATGGACCTTGCGAGCACGACGGATCAAAAAGATGTCAGAGGTGCCTGCTCGAGCATCTTCACCAGGATAGGCGCCCTTGATAGTCCATTCCAGAAGACGGGCCTTGGCGAGCGAGGAACTGTCTCCGGTGGATATGATGTACCGCCGGTGCATGTTTGCCTGGCCGCGAAACGACTGCTTGATCGTCTCGATCATCTCAGCAGTGTGCCCGCCAGAGCCAAGTATGTATGTGAAGTAGACGGCGGGAAGAGAGGTGGTGTTGGGCACTTGCGCGCTAGCGGCACTGTCGATCTGGGGCGCATTGCTGGCGACGAGCCAGCTGCCCCCTGGTTTTTGACGTCGCCGTATTATTTCAAAGTGCCGATATACTATGAATGTAGCAAGCACTATCCCGATTGTGATGATGAAAGTGATGAGCCAGAGCCATGAGAGACTGGAGAGAACAAGTCCAGTTGCGACAGAAGACGCAGCACCCCCGACAAAGAAGACTGCTGTCAAGTTGATGCCGCTCAAAGCCTCGATCTGTAGGTGGGAGTCGGTCTCAGCCCTGGTGTCGGGCCTTAGTTCTTGGTTCTTGTGTGATTTTTCCTCGTCCGTCAGAACGGACACTGGTAGAGTAGGGGCCATTCCGGAGCAGACTGATAAGTCCCAATGGCTTCTTTTTGTGTCTATCATGAGTTAGTGTCAAGTCATTCGTATACTGAAGCCGGGAATGTGATGTTGTCACCTTGTAGAATCTTCTGAGCGTGTTTCGTTTCAGGAGTTTCCAAGTCATGCCTTCCCAAATAAAGGCTAGGTAAACAGCAACAGAAAGGGGGACTTGATGTAAACAAAGAGGCTGCCGTTTGTCACATTCACACCAAGTGTCGTCTTAAGATGACCATGGTAGACTCGCTCATAGAAGCGGAATACTTGGCACAATATATCTCGAGTGAAACTGGGTGTAAGATCCCCAAGATCCAAGCTTGATATATGACATAAAGATGAAAGGCGCTCGAATCGTAGGTGTTGGAAAGATGACAACAAGCAAAGCCGACGGGAAGGTGGTTCTGAGTGTACCTTCGCCATGTCACTTTTACGGGGAATAAAATTAAGCTTGGGCCAACTGAAACCCCTGAAAGAGAGAAAACACACCCCTGATGATCTGCCGAATGGCGGAATGACGACGGTGGCCCCACTGGTGCGACGGGAGATCCCACGACCGCCTAGGGGACAGCTTGGCACTTGCCCCAGGGCCGCGGTTTGGGCGCATTTGGCGGCTCAGGCCGCTAAAAAGTTGACCGACCGCCTGGCAGAAAGCGGGAAGTTGGGAAGTGCATGGATGGATGCTTGATGTCAAGAGAGAGAGCTCCTTCTTCGCAGAGTCGCATGTCGCTTCCATTTCCATTCCATCTTTAATTTATTGAGAACCTGAACCTTTCACCACTCATACAAGACGCCGCTCGACCAAACAATCACCTATAAGAACAGAAACTCCCACGACAAACTGGGTTCTTTGCTTCGGATACCTGTGATTATCTTCAGCGGTTTGGGGACATAATCGGAAAGCTTTGCCAGTGTCGCAAAGAAGGGCACCGCGCCGCTTTCTGGAAACCGAACACAACCAGCAATGGGCATCGCGTGAACGCGCGCACCCAGCCGAAGAGATGCCCAGATTAAACCGGACTCGATACTTAACATGTTTTTATTGTGGCCGCAAGACCTCAACACCATGGAACAGCTCCATTCGGAACTTTGAGTGTCGAAATTGCGACGCGACAAACTACCTTGACGGCGTAGGTCTCCCTGCTGTCTTATATCTAACCAGCCTACCTTACTAGCGCGTATCCTACCTAGTTACTAACGTCTTCTCTTTACTTTGGTAGAACGGCGACATTACCGATCCTCCTGTAGCGACAGAGTACGAAGCGAGTCCTGCCAAATTTGCCACGACGCGAGCTACCTCACCCACCGTCGGTTCCTCGAGCGCCAGCGTCTTCTGCAACAAGTGTCTAGCCAACCAGGACAAGCTTCGAGCTATCCTCGCCCAGTATCTTCCGGATCCCGACGACGAAGAATATGAAGAGCGATGTAGGAACATATACAAGTTCCGACGATTACAAGAGCGCCTCTATCCCCAAATGTGCGCCGAATGCGAACCACGCGTCCAGAAAAAACTAGGCGAAGCCGCTTACACGGCAAAAACCGATGTCTTACTCCGGATGATAGAGAGAAGTAACAAGCAGCGACAGCAGGTTACAGGATGGAGTTGGCTGAACGTCTTCGACTGTTTGGGGAGGTGGTTACGGACTGCTAGCTTGGTGCTTCAACTCCTTTGGCATCTCTCCATAATGCTCATGCTGTTTAAGGCGGCGATCATAACACGGCTGGGTGAAACGCCAAATCCATGGGCGCTGAGAGCTGTGAATACTTGTTTTTGGGTTTTCAACGTTCTGCCGTCAACCGAACGGTTGAGTGGTTGGAGTCTCACTATCGCGATTTTAAGCGTATGGTGGAATCCACGGTATCCTCAGCTACACCGAGGCTTTACAAAACACATAACTGGGTTTCGAGCCTGGTACATGTATCAGGCCGTTCTGGTCTTCATGCGATTTTGGATCAGGAGGTTGCCCATCCTAGCTGGTATTGAACAAGCAGACTTGAACATGTCGGCAGCTGCGCATGTTTTCTGGGCCGGCTTTGCTATTCTTGTAAGTCATCCTGATGGCTCTTTTGTACTCCAATCATGACTGACAACTGTTTCCAGGTTCACCTCCTAGCCCCTCGCGCTATCCGTATCGACATGGCGCCCCTGTTTGGAAACACGTCTAAACCATCCGCACCACAAGGCAGACCTGTAACACAACCATCCACATATAGGCCGACAACGGCAAATACGGCAACAGCAGCGACAGGTCCGAGACGATCAGAAAGACTAATGAAGCCCTCGGCGCAGTTACTTGCTGCGCGACCTACATTCTCATCATCACTGGCACCGGCCGCACCTCCAGCGCCAGCGCCAGCGCCGGCTCCGGTTACAACGCCAGATGAGAAGCCAGACGAAATTAAGGTCATGGTTGACTTGCTGGATGAGATCGTTAATGGCCCATCCAGCCCGGCCTCCCCAACACCCTCACTAGACCATTCGCCATTCTTCGTACCACGGGTAGGGAGGTCTAATGTTCCGGCCACTCCTGGGTCTCCATTCTCTCCAACACCAACACCACGCCGCTTTGGTACTGGCGTTGGCACTGACACTGGCGCTGCCCCTTCTTTCTCGAACCTTGGTCCAGCTGCCAACACAAGATCGGCTGCGGCTGCTTACACGCAGGATATGGAAATGGATTGGACGCCTACTCAGTCACAGTACCGAGCCTTCCAAACCGTCGGCCAGCGGGAAAACCAAGGGTTTAACGAAGCCCCTACCGACGAAAACAAGGGACCCTTCTGGTACCGCGTACCACCAGCGCCAACGGCGCCCGCCCAGAGGCTGAACAACTACCTTACAAAACAACCACGCATCATCTCCTCGCGCAACACGGCACCTCGGCCAAGCTCAGGGATACCATCCTTCGGAAGCACTGCGCTCGTCAACACCCCGCAGAAACAGATTCTTGGGAGGACCAACGGCAATGATTATATGACCATGACCATGAGGAGAGATGCTGGGGAGGATACGGGAATTGATCCAACCCCGGCACGAGTTGCCTTCGCGCCGCCTACGTTCTTTGTACCTCCGCCGCAGAACGATCCCAGGAACTCGCTCTCCGAAATGCTAGGCCGTAGCTTTAGCCTGAGTCAGGAGGAGGAGGAGCAGCGGGAGGCGGAGAGGGAGGAGGCTGAGAAGAATAAGGGCTGGTTCGGTGGCGGGCTGCTTACGTTCAGGTCAACGACGCCTGCGAAGAAGAAGGACCAGTGAAACTGCAGTGGATTTTCGTTGAAGTTATCGAATTGAATTAGTTGTTTAGCATTGTCTGGTCGGTTCTGCATTTGGGTGTTGGATTATTGTTAGGCAATGGATATTATTTGCCTTTTAAGGAACATGGGAGTCTTTTGCATGACATAATAATGGGCGTTTTTGTACCTGTGCATAGATACCATCGGTGTGATGGTCTTTCATGGGAAGGGAAGTACGGGCTGGATAGAATAGACCCTGGCCTAATGGATAGAAGAGAAAAACACTTTCAATATACCTCTCAAAGACGACGTTTGCTATGGCCATGGAGTGGTAATGTGGAGTTCAATTCTGCTCCTGGTTATCATGCACGTTGGCTATCGACTGCTCATAACCTCCGTATGGATATACTCTTTGAAACATAAACCTGAAGCAAACCGCTATATGTCGCTTAGGGTTTCCCATCAACCATTCTTCGTCCTCAAGCCTCACTGTCCTCCAAAGAGGCAAGCCCTATACCAAATATGTACAAGCCCACGAAGACGGTTGGATGGATCCGAATCATTCCCCTTGTTCCAAATCCATCAACGCCCGGATCGCTTCAACAACTTCGTAAACAGCCCAAACCAAGACGGGAAGCGAAACCACAACAACCTGGCGGGACTTCCGCGCTCTAGCCCAGCGCGCTGTCTCCATCAAGACCTTCCCAGCCCACCTCACCGACGGATCCCAACTTTGACTCCCCTACGGTTCGGCTGAAAACGCCCTCAACACGCCAATCGCAAACCCAAACACCACCCCAAACGCAATCGAAACCCGCCATCGCTTCGACAACATCCCTTCCTCTCTCAGCACCCAAGCGATAGCCCCCAGAGGGAACACAAACCCGATGAACATGCCTTTGACGAGGGTATCCACCATGCCGTTGAACCCATCCGTTTCGTTTGTAGGTATTGGTTCCCCCGTGCCGTCATCGGCTTCCATATCCAGGCCGGCTCCCCCAACACCGCCGTGGTTGGTATCTATCCAGGCATCTTCCATTGATCGCAAAGTGTCGGGGGAGGGCATGGTATCCGGTGTAAACCGCGATGCTTGGATGGATCTGAACTGCAGGCGAAGCTGGTTCACTTCTGCTGGGGTAAACCCAGCTGACAAAAAGCGGTCGAAGCCGCGGGGGGCAGTGTTACGGTCTGTTTCTTGTCTGGAGGCATTGGCTCGGGACCTGGTTTCTCCTGAAGATGCTGTTGATGGTTGGTGGAGGCCGGTCGTGCGGCTGGTTTTACCGGTACCGGTACTAGGTGAATCAACGGATCCGACGGGGGTAGTAGGAATAAAAGATGCGGCCGCCGCTTCGGTGGATAATTCTTCGTCAGTGAGTTCGTCACCTATACTGCAGTTTACGTAGACTCTTTGTTGCTGTTGCTGTTGCTGTTGCTGCTGCTGGCGATAAACGGCTTTTCCCTTGCCCTTGGGGTCGACGGCCATGGGCGGTGGCGGAGGTGGGCGAAGGACGGAGCTGACGATGGCAGTGTCGGGGAGGATCTTGCCGGCGTGGATGAAGCGGAGACGGCTCCGGGCTGCTTTGGCGGTGGTTTGGTCGTCATCTTTGCTGTCTTTGTCTTTGCTGCTGGAGGATAGGGCTAGGAGGCGCTCGCGGATGCGGTGCTTGAGAGCGACGATGGTGGTGCGGTTGGGAGAGGGGATGTCGAGGTGCAGGTCCGGGAGAGAGGCGCTGAATCTGACTGTGAGGTGGAGAGATGGTGATAGTAATGGGTTGGTTGATGATGAGGAGGTTGTGTTCGGCGGGAGAAGTGGTGTTCTGGAGGTGCTATCCTCCCAGTCGTCGCTCATTGTGTTTTGGTGAGGTGTAGCCTCTTGAGGCTACCAATCTGAAGGAGTTTGAAGGATAGTAGAGACCGGATGCACTGGATTCTCGGATGCGTGTAGCGTGGGTGAAAGCAGTCGTCGAAGATGTTCGATGAAATGGAACGTGAGCAGGAGATGAAGTGACGACTGAACAGGAACACCCAGGCTTTAAATTGGCACAGTGTTCTAAAGTGACCAAGCACAGAGTGACGGCGATGAGGGTATATGGACAAGCGAGTGAAGAACAAGTACCAACATTAGAAGTTATGTAGTGAAGTCGCCTATTTTTATGAGGCCATCAAGGTTCACGGGCTTTGTAAAGTGTGTGAGCTTCGAGGAAGAAGTGTTGTTGTACAAGTGGAAGTACCTGCCCGGAACTGGCCAAGCTCCCCCAATTTCTCCACTCTGACGCGAGAGTGGTCTCTACTCTCCAAACAGTTATGCATCTATCGATGTTAACGTAAGTGTCTGAACTCCAGAACCCAACGACGCGCCTTAGCATCATCTTCCAAGACTTCAACCACCAAACATACAAGATCATGTTCTTTTCCATCAAGATTAACCACTTCTTATCGCCCTCCCCGTACAAGCTGTCTGCTCCAATCGAGCCTCTTTAAGTAACTGCGCGAGCAATTCTTTCTGGTTTTTCCTTTGTCTGGCTCAGTTGTTTCCTAAACCTCGATCAAGACATTTTCCCCTCTCAACCAGCCAATGTGTATATATCCTACATTATTCGGACGAGTCTTGTTCCATAGCAAAGGTAACGGCCACCCAAAAACCAGCAACATGATCTTAATATCCGGATGAAAGCAATCGGACGTATCCAGCAGATCAGCATCGGCGAGTGCCTACAAGTGACGGCTCCAGGTACGGCCCGGAGTCGGGCCATTGGGGAATCCACACAACGTATCAACCATGACCTTGCCCGCATCCTTGACCGTCTCCTTTGCCTTCTCCCGACGCTTTCCATGGGAAATACCTATCTCCTTCTTCCTCATCTGGCTCAAGGTGAAGTTGACAATGCCGCGGAATGCGTCATCGACGTTCTCGCCTGTCTTGGCCGAGCACTCGCCGTAGCCAGCGACACGGGAGTGGTATGCTGCACTGCGACCCATGTCGGCCATGACAGGCTCCTTGCGAGGCAGGAAGCTAAGACCCAGGGGAGGAAAGGCTGGGCGGAGATCCTTCTTGAGGCCGAGAAGGAAGCGAGGACAGTCGATGAGGGAGCGGTCCAGTTTGGGTTTCCACTGGATGAAGAGGCATTGGGTTAGTGACCTGAGGTATCCCTGTTTGACGGAAATTGGTGCAGACATACCGTATCACAAATGGCGGGAAGATTCTTAACATCCTCGATGCTATAGCAGATGATGGCAGCTTGGAAGAAGTTGGACGTCAGCTGGGTGGTCCGCTCGTTAGCAATGTTGCCTGGGAAGTCCCAGAGCTCGATAGTGACGAGCTTTCCGTCGTCAGCAATAATGGAGAAACTGCGATAATCCGTGGTATGCGATGAGGGAGCAGTTGGGATCTGCTGCTCGGTAATCGGCGAGTGCTGAGGAGCGTCGTTAGATTTCTTTTCCTGGGACCGGATGTTAGCATGTCCTCCATTGCAAATATCACTGGCAAATTCCTACATACCTCCCCGAAATCTCCAGAGACGAGGCGGCTGTACACATATGTTAGCAACATTGCCCATTCCAAGAACACACCAGAGCACTCACTTGACTAGAGCCGTCTTGCCCGCATCAGCATCACCGACCACACAAATCTTGATCTTCCTCTCCGGTCCAGAAGAGCCTGACGCAGAGCGCAGCTTCTCGGAGCCAGGCACCCACGAGAAAGAGCTCAGTCGGCTGAACACCTCTCGAGTGCCGACAGACCCGGCAGGAGTACCTGGTCGCTTAGAAGCACGGCTGCTTCTGATGCTCCTCAAGCTCATCTTCGACAAGCCACGCTTGAGAGTGCTGGTAAGCTTGCTGCGCTTGGAAGCAGGCCGCTCCAATGTGTCGGCATTCGAGTCCTGTGGTCAGGCATTAGCGTATACTTCATCCACGTTGGGACGTTGAGCTAAGGATGGACGAACAACTTGACGCTTGATGCTTTTCCGCTTGGGAATACTAAGCATGGAGTCCTCCACACCCGGCCAGATGGTCTTCGCATCCTCATCTTTAACAATTTCGGTCTCGACCTGGTTCAGTTTGATCTCCATTAGGGCAGCAGGCTTGTGAGGGGTGGGCTTGCGAATCCGGCGGTATTTCGGGGCGTCGTTTTGGTTCTCCTTGTCTGAATCGTCGCCGTCTTCTAGGTCCATCATGGCATAGCGAACCACAGTGGGCGCCAGCCCAGACTCGTCGGCCTGGGGCTCGGCCCCGCCCATTTCCGTGTCGTTTTGTTTTAGTCCGTGTTCCTGAGGGTCCTCATAGATGATGAAGTCTTCGTTCTCGACACCCGCCAGCCAGTCGTCCATCCTGTCAGTGGCTAAGAATTCAACACCGCCTCTGTCGTCTACCAGAGCCACACCATACATAGGCACCGGATCCTTAATCTGGTGGTCGATGTCGTGGCAAGGTCTGTAGGATCTTGAACACGAGGGTGTATGCCTGTGGGTATGTTCCTGGTGGTGGGGGTGGGTGTTTTTATTGTGGTGGGCCGACGAAGGTGCCTTGGTCCGAGTCCTTGGGTTCCGACTGTCGCGTAAAGCCAAGTCAAGGATCTCCGTTTCAAACTGGCGTCTCGGATGATAGTCTCTCTGGGGTCTGGAAGGGGCGCGACCAACCCTCGAGGATGTATGATGGACGTCGGAGGTTGAGGGATGAGGGAAAGGATTATGTGATTGGTGGCGCGCCGATTGATCACCGCACGAGTTGGTTGCTGGAGGGGAAGCAAGCTGTTCAGCAGGACTAAGGCGAGGAGGGACCTGCAACTTGAAACTATACGCAGTTGATCCATAACTGGGCGATGGAGGTGGTCGCATTCCGTTGGCGGGAAAGGGATGACCGCCTACCATAGGCAACGGTATGCTTGGAGATGGCGATTTCACCATGGTGGTGGCCGCGGGGGAAAGCAAGAAGGGTAAGAAGCTTTATCAAAGGTTCAAACGTGCTGGAACAAGACGATGGGTCGAAGGAGAAAGAGGAGCGCAAACTGTTGGCGTCGGGTGGTGGGTTGTTTGCTGAGGTAATCAAGGACGCGAATGGAGATAATGGGCAAAGATGAGAAAGAGGCCCCTCGCGCGACAAATGGACTACAAGATAGCAAGCGCCTGGCTACAAGCAGTTCTTGTCCGAACAAAAAAGACACAGCAAGCTGAGCAAACTGTGGCTAGTGCAGAGGTCGGACCGGCAACAGTGGAATGGTTTCAAAGGTTGCTGGACGGGATAGATGAGATGGAAGGCGGATGACATCTGGTTGCCCTAGGAGACGACATCAGGAGCAGGCAGACGACACACCAAGGCAGGAACACTATCGATACAATCTGATAATTGGTTCGAGTTCAGTTTACGATGTCGTTTCCGTCAGATGAGATCAGGACTACTAATGAGGAAGACAAGCGAACGGTGAAAAACAAGAACACATCGGTCGTCGACTGTGGATGGTCATGGTCGAATCCCACAGACATTATGTGCCTTCTTCAAGATTCGATAAACACTCAAACAAGGCCAACACTGGGAAAGCCGAGTTCACATACGCATTTCGACGTTTCGACTTGTATATTCACCTTTGACCGGACAAGTTCGTTAAACTGAATTTAAATAAATGGTCGATTATTCCAACATGTTTGTCATCACCATCCTACAAATGCTTCCCTCTAGTAGCCAAATTCTTTCTTGTCATTGATATGTCCTCGCGAAACCAAAGCTGGACATTGCAAACCACAGCAGTGAGCGCCGAAAGAGGGATGTTGTTGATATGCTGGGTACTTGCATAGTCGCATATGCAACTAGCGCAATGACCTCCCTTGACCCTTATCATGCCGCCCGGCAGGAGCCGGCACAGGCCCCACTTCCCCGGATTGCGACATTTGAGCGAAAGAAGGGATTCCGTGGTGCGAGGCCCGATTACGGAGTCATACTCACAGGCGTAGTGTATCAAAGCCGTAATGGTGCAACAACCCCGTGAAAAATAAAAAAGGCTTACACATCCCAATACAACTACTAAAACAGCGTACAGTATTATCTCTTCTGCCTGTTAACCAACTTACCTTGTCCCTGTGACTCCATCGTTTTTGTTGTCTTCATGAGCGGATTGCTGCTCCCAGTCCTCCGCCGGCCTTCATCGTTGATTTTCACTGGCACTGTTGTGAAATCATCTCAACAACTTGTTGTTCGGTCACAGCGTCATCATCTCCATTACTCATCCCGCCTAATGAGCGCAAAACTTAAGCCCGCCGCCCGCGTGGCCGGCAACCGTCAGGATGTTTGGTGAGTGATCATTGAGAAAGAAGAACCTCTCACTTACACACTGAGAAGGGAAATAAATGTCTTGGCTAACATGTGGAGTTCAGGACCATCGTCAACGAGGCCGCCGCTGCCTCTCCCAGACAGCCCATCGTCAACATGGGTCAGGGTTTCTTTGGCTACAACCCTCCCGAGTTCATCCTGAACGCGGCCAAGAAGGCTCTGGACAGAGTCGAATGCAACCAGTACTCGCCCACCCGCGGCCGTCCCAGGCTAAGGAAGGCGCTCTCCAAGGCGTACGCGCCTCACTGGGGCCGTGAGCTGGACCCGGAGACCGAGATCACCATCACCACGGGCGCCAACGAGGGCATGCTCAGCGCCTTCATGGCCTTCATTGAGCCGGGCGACGAGGTCATTGTGTTCGAGCCCTTCTTCGACCAGTACATCAGTAACATCGAGATGCCCGGCGGCAAGATCGTGTACGTGCCCATGCACCCGCCCAAGGACGGCCACGTCAAGACGCTGTCGGCGTCCGAGTGGACCATCGACTTTGACGAGCTCGAGCGCGCTGTCAGCCCGCGCACCAAGATGCTCGTCATCAACACCCCGCACAACCCCGTCGGCAAGGTATTTTCTCGCGCCGAGCTCGAGCGCATCGCCGACCTGTGCGTCAAGAACCAGATCATCATTCTGAGCGATGAGGTCTACGACCGCCTCTTCTACACCCCCTTCACCCGCATGGCCACCTTGTCTCCGGAAGTAGAGAAGATCACCCTCACCGTCGGCTCGGCCGGCAAGAACTTTTACGCTACCGGGTGGCGCGTCGGCTGGCTCATGGGCCCCGCCGAGCTGATCCAGTACGTGGCCGCCGCGCACACGCGCATCTGCTACTCGTCCGTTTCTCCGCTTCAGGAAGCCTGCGCCATCGGCTTCGAGGAGGCCGACCAGCACGGGTTCTGGACGCAGTGCATCGAGGACATGCAGAACAAGATGAGCCGGTTCAACGCCATCTGGGACGAGCTCGGCTTGCCGTACTCGATCCCCGAGGGCGGCTATTTCGTCATGGCCAACCTCAACAAGGTGGAGATTCCGGAGGGATACCCGTTCCCGCCGCACGTGGCGGAGCGGCCGAGGGATTTCAAGCTGGCGTGGTTCTTGATCCAGGAGCTGGGCGTGGCGGCGATCCCGCCTAGTGAGTTTTATACAGATGCGAATGCGCATATCGTGGAGGACTGGCTACGGTTTGCCGTGTGCAAGCCTGATGAGGTGTTGGAGGATGCGAAGAAGAGGTTGAGGGGGTTGAAGAAGTTTATTAAGCAGTAAATGTCGGTCAGATCTTGTAAATGGTCGCAAATAGAGGGTTTTTGGAAAGACGTTACCTTGACTACTGCAGTGAGCATGGTATAATGACACTTATAAGACACTATAAGCGAACTTGATGTTTTGTTTTCTTCCCGAACACGTGATAAAAGTTGCTGACAAAGTTCAAGTGAACAAATATACGATTGCTTGATGCCATTCTTTGACTCGCATAAATCTGTAACATGCTATTCAATGCCAAAAAAGAAAAGAAGAAAAAAAAACCAGGTCCTGTTTCCCCGTCCTGAAGTTCGTATACATATACAGTAAGACCAAAACCCCAAAGCCATCCCCAATCAATCCGCAGTAGACAAAACCTTAGATAGCAATAAAGAAACTCTTCTCTCCCTCCTTCGGAAACACCCTCGCCCTCTCAACAATAGGATCCACACAAGCCAACCTGATCCTCTCCGGCGTCGCCGGGCTCTCCAGCCTCAACAACCCATCATCCTCTCCACCCTCGGCCCCAACCTTGGCCTTGACACCATACTGCGCTCTGGCGGCCTTTAGCGCATCGCGAATAGCAAAGAACACGGCACTGCCCATGAACAGCGGCGGCTCACCCACACCTCTACTCCTCTGAATTGTCCTCAGCTCCTTCCACTCTACGCCCTTGAGCAAGCTCACATTCCACTGCTGCGGGATATCGCGGAAGCCAGGGATCTTGTACGTGCCCGGACCGCGGGTGAACAAGTTACCCGCCATCGGCCCGTTGCGCATCCACAGCGACTCTTCCATGGTGAACAGACCGAGACCCTGGATGAAAGCACCTTCGATCTGGCCGTAGTCAATGGCAGGGTTGATACTCTGCCCGACATCCATCTTGATGTCAGCGCGCAAGCACGTCCAGGTACCCGTGAGCGTGTCGATCTCCACCTCGGAGACAGCGACGCCCTGCGTGAAGTAGAAGAACATCTTGCCCTCATTCTTGCCCCAGGTATAGCCGATCTCCGGTGTCTTGTAGAAGCCTTGGGCGGACAAGTTGACGCGGTCGAAGTAGGCCGCGTGGGCGATGTCCTTCATGGTGGCGTCGGGGCCCAGCTTCTCGCGGTAGGGGGCGAGACGCTCGTTGAGCTGCTGGCAGGCGTTGTAGATGGCGTAGCCGTTGAGATCAGAGGAGGCCGAGGCGGCGGTGGCGGACGCGTTGGCGACGGTGTTGGTGGCAGTTTCCGAGATGAAGACGTTCTCGAGGGGAACATTGAGAGCTTGGGCGGCGATCTGAGTCATCTTGGTGTGTAGGCCTTGACCCATTTCGGTACCGCCGTGGGCGACGAGTACGGAACCATCGTGGTAGATGTGTACGAGGGCACCGGCTTGGTTGAACCACAGCGCAGTGAAGGAGATACCGAACTTGGTGGGGATGATGGCGAGACCACGCTTGCGCCACTTGTGCTCGGCATTGTACTTGGCGATGGCCTCACGACGGGACTCGTACTCGGCCTCCTTCATAAGCTGATCCCACATAAGAGGAACGTGCCAGTCGTTGATCTCTTGGTTAAAGTGCGTACGCTCACCGGGCTTGTAGAAGTTGATCTCACGGAACCTCTCGACCGGCATGCCGAGACGGTCGGCAACTTCGTTCATGTAGGACTCTGCAATGAACATGCCCTGAGGACCACCGAAGCCACGGAATGCAGTGTTGGACATGGTGTTGGTCTTGCAAATGCGGCCGGTGACGTGCATGTTGGGAATGTTGTAGCAGTTGTCCGAGTGGGTCATGGCACGCTCGCAAACGGCAGCGCTCAAGTCCCAACACCAACCACCGTTGTTGAAGATATCGACCTCGAGAGCCTGGATCTTGCCATCCTTGTTGACAGCCATCTTCCACCGACCCAAGAAGGGGTGGCGTTGTCCGGAGGTGACCATATCCTCTTCACGAGTGAGCATGCAGCGGACTGGGCGGCCAGTCTTCTGTGCGGCAAGGGCGATGATGCTGCTAAGTTGCACCGACCTTGTCTCCTTTCCGCCAAAGCCACCTCCTAAGCGCTTGACCTTGACCACAATCTTGTTTGCGGCAACATCCAAGACACGGGCGGCATATGCTTGAGCTTCGTTGGGGTTCTGGGTACTAGAGATGATCTCCATCTCGCCGTCTTCGTGCTTGGGAATCGCCAACGTAGCGTTGGTCTCCAGGTAGAAGTGCTCCTGACCGCCCATTCTGGCCACGCCAGAGAAGACATAGTCAGAGTTTTCGAAACCCTCCTTGGTGTCACCCTTCTTAATCTCTCTAAAGAAGTCGAAGAAGCTCTCTTTTTCGATAGCCTCCTCCATGGTGTAGATGGCAGGCAACTCCTCGTATTCCACTTTGACAGCCCTGGCACCCTCGGCAGCACGGGCAGCTGATGTGGCAACAATGAGGCCAATGGGCTGACCAGCCGTGTAAACAATATCCTCAGCAAAGAAGACTTCTTGGTAGTGAGGGGCACCCCAGTGGTTGGCAGCGGCGTTGGGCATGTCATTCTTGTCAATGTAGTCAACAACTCCTGGAATATCCAGCGCAGCTGAAGCGTCTACCGACAGCAGCTTGGCATGCGCCTTGGTAGAGAGGACCATGCAACCGTACAGTTCGTTCTTGAGGGGTGGGATATCATCGGTGTACTGAGCCTCTCCCGTTACCTGCTTCAGGGCAGCAAGATGAGGGTTTGACTTTCCGACAGTTTCTTGCATGTAAGCAGCAGCCGCCTCCTTGTCTTGTTGGCCTGTAGAGATCTCTCTCTCCAGCTCAGGCACGGCCTCTTCATCAGCGTTGCTACCCAAAATAACCATGAACTCATGGTAGAACCGGTAGAAGAGACCGATGGCCAGCGATTTTCTGTAAGTGGCCATGCCTCCTGGAACGCTGAATGAGAGGTTGAAGTCCTGTTCCAGCGCGTTCATGACACCTTCCAGTGTCTCTTGCTCGGCGAACCTCTTGCCCAGGAGATATGAGTTTGCGGTCTTGGCCGCGACAGTGGTGGGCGCCATGCCACCGTAGACAAGGTTGCACTGGTCAACAACGCCATCCTCGTCGAGACGAACCCGGAAGGCAGAGGTAACAATAGCGATATCGTCATCTTTCCTCTTGGCTTGCTTGTAAGCCCCGAACAGCTCGTTCTTCTCCAGGGTCAACGGGACACGAATGGCCGCCAAGATAGCATCCTGTGGAAGCGCTGTGCGGCGATAGCCGGTGAAAAACTGGGCCATAGGGATCTCGGTCTCGACAATTCCGTTGTCACCGAGGGACTTGGCCACCAGAACAGCATCAGCGGCCAGCAGTACCGGGTTCAAATCGGAAATTGGCGAAGCAGTCACCAAGTTTCCTGCCGGCGTACCGACGTTTCTGATCTGCCTGCCAGCAAAGTACTTGAGCTGCTTGTACATGGCGTTGAAGATCTGTCCCCTCTTCTCTCCGTAGTGCTTGATGGCTTCCTGGCAAACATTCTCAAGATCGGTAAGAGTGATGTTGCCGCCCACCTCGAGGTGGTTCTCCTCGAAGGAGTACTGTCGAAGCTCGGGAATATCGCCGACAAATACAGAGATGGGATACTGAAGAGCCTTGAACTTGATCTCAATCTGTGTTTCTGTGCTGCCACCAATTATCTTGGCATTCGGGTAAACCTTCTTGATCTCGAGCAACTGTTCAAGCTTGGTAGGACGGAACCACCGTTTCCGCTTGTTTCCAAACAAAAGTGGCCTGAATTCCTGCTTCTTGAGTTGTGGCGGGAAGATGAGCTCGGTATCTGGGTTGTACTCGATGAATCCTGGAGGCGTGAAGCGCTTGATGGGCTGGTCGTCTCCGTTCTTGTTCGCTCCTCCACAGCCACCACCGCCTCCCTCCATGCAGCACCCACTGCCGCCATTCGCCTTGCTGTTACCGCAAGCCGAAGGGGCCTTCTTGGTGAAAGTGTGAGCAGCGTCTAGAATGGGGCGATATCCGGTACACCTGCAGAGGTTTCCATCGAAAGCCTCTTCGACGTCGTGCTCTGAGGGGCTGTCATTGTTACGCAGAAGAGCGTACAAGCTCATGACGATGCCGGGCGTACAGAAACCGCACTGGGAGCCATTTCCCTTGGCCACCCGTTCCTGGGCGGGATGTGGCTTCTTGACATTGCCGATACCCTCGACAGTGATGACATGCTTGCCGTCGACCGATATTAATGGTGCCAGGCAGGCGTTTACACTGGCATGGTAAATCTTGTTTGTTGTTGGGTTGAACTGGGAGACAACGACAGTGCAGGCTCCACAACCACCTTCTCCACAGCCGCTGTCAGGAGGAAACAATTCATGTCAGCAGTCGGCCAGGTACTTAACGTCATGGAGATATCTGGATGAGCATGAGCGTCAAACATACAGCTTTGTGCCCGTTAAGCCTATACCACGAAGGTATTCCAACAATGTGATCTCCGGGTCAATGTCATCCAAGACCACCCGGGTGCCGTTGAGGTAGAAACGAAGAGTGTCGTCGAATGTTGTTGTTAGAGATCCGGGCAGTGATCCCAAGTTTAGAGAGGTGGAGCCTGACTCCAGGGGAACAGCGCTTGGAGCCATGGTTCTGTGATGGATGAGGAGAATAGCAAAGAACAAACACGTTCTGTACCACAGAACAGAACCAGAAGCAGAGCAGAAAGACGAGGGTAGTTTGGGTGTTTACCCAGAAAATGAAGGAGATTTAAAAAAAGAAGAAAGCAAGATGCAAATCTTCACAAGTGGAAGGGTCCAGCAGAAGAAAAGCAAAGCGCAGTCCAACAAGGTCGGATCGGGGGGCAGATCAGTTGGCCCGATGCTGAGGTTGTACTTGTTAGTGGGAAGGCTTGCCTATCAGTGCGTTCCATCTATTATTGATAACCAAGTGTCAAACATGGACTTCTTGCGAATGCCGAGGGAAACAACAAGGCCTAGTTGAAGCCTAGCAAGGTTGACAGCAGGTGGCAACCCACTCTGTCATCAAATAGTCTTGTTTTTTCTGGGTGAGCTTTTGGGTGGTGCTTGGTTCGCCGGCGCCCGATCAGGTACGACCTCGTCCCTCATAAAGGGCGGCTCCACGGGGAACATGGGAGAGATATCAGGACGGAGCAGATCAGAACTCCAGGAAAGAGATCATGACCACTTGACCACCCTCAAAAAGCTTATCAAAAGGAAGGCGACATGGAGGGACAAGGCAGTTGACAAAGTGGGGTAACAGGCGGACGAACTCCTCCCCCACAGTCTCAGAATCCCGGAAGTGGCCATCCAAAGGGAAGGAGGGGAGTGCTCACTCGGCGTTAAACAGGAGGCACAATGGGAAACATTTGCGGAGGTCCTCGGCCGGTTCCGCCACCGTGAGAGGGAACAGTTTCACCCCAAGTTCGCTGCATGCCGTAGACCCGTTGGGCCTTTCTCCAGCTCCCCTTTCGGAGCATATCGCTTCTTATCGGTCCTCTCCATTGTCCTTTGACCCTAACCCTCTTACTTATCACTCTTGGCTTCCCCTCATTGCCCCTGTCGCCGTCCCATCTCCAAATTCACCTCACAACTTTCAACTCCTCAAAACGAATCGGCATGGACATTTTGCTTCATTTTCGACATGCCTGTTTGTGAACCGACCGCTTCCCTGCCGTTGCTGAGGCTCTTATGTCATCGTATTTATGGCCTTGTTACGGCCTGAGACGGTTCACGCACTGATCTTTGTTACTTTCAAGCACACCCTTCTTCTCCTGGCGTCACTTGCGAATAGGCTCATAGGGTCGTGATCACGATCTGCCGTCGCTTTGACGCTTGGAAAACATGGGACCCCTCCTTTCTCCGCATCGCGGCTATGCAATGACAAAGGACCGCTCTCTATAAAGCCTGGTACTGTCCAAGTTGTCCATTCGCAACCTCATTCGAGCTATGTCTGCTGCTGGTAAAGCTCGCCGGGTATTTTGACCCGCTTGAACTAAAGGGCCATGCAGAAATAGATGGGAGCGATATTGCTGGTCAACATCATGCTGCGTATCAATATGGAACGTCGAGAAGGAAAAGACTAGACAAAGTCAACAGCTTCCGCCGACCTTTATATGTACTAGATATTTCCCAAATACTCGTCAATAAAACTGATTTTCATTCTTTCTGAAGCTATTCACGCTCCTGTCATCAGCACATCTTCAAAACACTGACCTTCAACCTCCAAAATGGCAGGCCTCGAGATGGAAGACCTCAAATTCCACAACATAATCAACAACACCCTCCGCTCCTCACCCACCACCCACACCGTCACCAACCCCCGAACCGAATCTGCCCTCTGGCCCTGCCCCATCGCCTCTCCGGCTGACTTCGAAGACGCTGTCTCCTCTGCCAACCGCGCCTTCAAAACCTGGAAACTCACCACCCTCTCCGAGCGCCAGACCCTCCTAACCAAACTCGCCTCGCACCTCGAATCCCACCTCTCTCTCCTCTCCCAAATCCTCGCCCTCGAATCCGGCAAGTCCCTGCTCCTCTCCGAGCTCGACGTCCGCGGCGCCATCGCCCAATGCCTACACTACGCCGACCCCACCAACGCGCTTTCCGATCACATCCAATTCGAAGACTCCTCGGTAAAGATAATCGCCACGCACGTCCCCCTGGGCGTCGTGGCCGCCATCTGCCCCTGGAACTTCCCCTTGATCCTCTCCAACCTCAAAGTCGTCTCCTCGCTAGTAACAGGCAACCGCGTCATCGTGAAACCGTCCCCATTCACGCCCTACGCCGTGCTAAAATGGATCGAGCTCGTCGCTGCCGAGGAGATCTTACCCCTGGGCGTCCTGCAAGTTCTTAACGGCGGCGCGGATCTGGGTCAACAAATGACGCTGCACCCTGGTATTGCCAAAGTGAGCTTCACGGGGACTATTGCCGTCGGAAAAGCGGTGATGGCTGCTTGCGCGAAGACCCTCAAAAAAGTGACGCTGGAGTTGGCGGGTAATGACGCCTGTATTGTCTGTGCCGATGCCGATTTGCCAAAGGCAGTGAAGAGCGTGGCAGGCGGAGCGTTTTTTAATGCGGGGCAGGTGTGCGTGGCTACCAAGAGGGTGTATGTGCATGAGAGTGTGTATGAGGAGTTTGCGAGGAGACTTGTGGAGGAGGTTAGGGGGAGTTATACAGTGGTGGAGGATGCGAGTGTGCCGAGTGTTTTTGGGCCGGTGAGTAATAAGGTGCAGTTTGAGACGGTCAAGAGGATTGTGGAGGATTGTAAGAGGGGGGGTTATGAGATTGTTACCGGGGGTGAGGTCAGGGAGAGTGGAAAGGAAGAGGAGAAGAAGGGGTTTTGGCTGGAGCCGACGATTGTGAAGGGGCCGCCGGAGGATTCGATGTTGGTTAGGGAGGAACAGTTTGGTAGGTTTCATCTTTTGTTGTTGTCGAGTTCGGTGTTGAGTGGTTACTGACATTCCCTGATTACTAGGACCAATCCTACCCGTCCTGAGCTGGTCCGACGAAGACGATGTTATTAGCCGTTCCAACTTGGCTAATGCTGGGCTTGGTGCTTCCGTCTACTCATCCGATTTAGCTCAAGCCGAACGAATCGCTCGTCGTCTGGATGCCGGGAGTGTCTGGATCAACCAGGCCGAGAGACCACACATGGGCGCCTACTTCTCTGGCTTCAAGGACAGTGGTTTTGGCGGCGAGATGGGCAAGCAAGGCCTTCTGTCTTACTCGTATACCCAGAGTATTCATTTCGCAAAGTGATCCGATGGTGAAGGTAGGATGAGGCATGAGCATTGCAGATGGTGGCAGGTAGTGACGTGTTGAAAATTTGGCCGTGCTCAAAAAGGCCTTAAGATCGTTTCAATCGATCCGTACAAATAAAAACAAATTTTGAGCATGATACATGGTGTGAGAATCAATATACTCGGATATCAGAACATTGCCCTTCTCACATCTTGTTATGGTGCCAATGTCGAGAATCTCGAACCACCCCCATTACCGACTAGATCCGCAATCATCTCTCCCTATTCCTCCCGTCGTCCTCGAAATTCAACCTTATAAACTTGTCCTGCAACATCCTCTCAAAGCCTCCATCTGGACAATAATGTGCCAAATTCAGAGCACTAGATGCCCACTCCTTTGCTCGATCTCGCTCGTAAGCACCGTATAGGTCTATAGCATGATTGAACGCCGTAGCTGCCATCCACTCCAGCTCCTCTTCTGGCCAGCGGGCATCGCTCTGGTAACGTGAATAATGGTTAGCAACGAGCTGATCGTCAACATAGTAGTGGTCAAGAGCATCGAAATGAAAACTAACCTCGTGTAACTCCCTCGCCTTGCCACAAGCTTCCTGAAGCAGCTTCATAGCCAGAGTATCATCCAGCGGAAGTGTCGCCTGGAACAGACACCTTGTGTACTTGGCCAGCTTGACAGCGTCAAAGCTTTCCAGATCCCAGATTTCGTTAACGATCTTTCGCATGGTTGAGTAGAGGACTTCACAGAAGTCGGTGTCAGCAACCTCCACCCGATTACAAAGAAAGATAGCAAAGATCATACCTTGCCCAGGCACCTGTGCCCTCAAAAGACTATCCGCCATGGTCTGATATGCAACCGCACTCTTACACGGCACCGCCCTCTGCACGATCCCTCCCAGATCATCCCACTGGCCCAGCGCAATCGCTGCTTCAAAATCAAATGTTAGCAACGTCGCATGCTTCCGTACCATATCCGCTCGCGACTGCTCGTCCAGGCGTGGCAGGTACTCAGGAACCTGACTGTCGAAAGCCTGGACATGTTTTCGCATGAGTTGGTAGTCTTCGAGTTGCTCCTTGACATTGTCCAGGGTTCTGGCGAGCGAGGTGAGGGCTGAAGCGATGATGAACCGGGAGAAGAGGGCCTTGAGGGTGACTTCGACTTGAGATCCCACGTCGGCGGGGAAGTGGTTAATGATGTTGACGCAGGCAGTTAGTAGGCAGATTACGCACCGGAGGTCCCAGGTTGTGGTGTGTTTCAGGGCGAGGTTGTAGGCGTTCCGGCTGAACCATTCGAGTTCGTCGACCGTGAAGAGCTTGGGGGTTTTGGGATCGTTCCCCTGACGCTCAAGAGCATATACGACTGATGTTGTTAGTGAGGTCAAGCTAGTTTGCATAAAGCGTGCTTACCGATGTCAAACTGGCGACAAAGGTCTCTGATGAAATCTTCTTGTGTTTCATCTGGCTTCTCGGCCAATATGTTCAGGAGCCTTATCAGACATCTGAAGAGTGCTGGTAGGTGGATCGGGTTGGGATCTTTATACTCGTAACTCTCCTGAAGCTTCTTCAGCGCGGCGATGGCACAGAAGATGTCTCCCTTTTTGTGAGATTCCGCGATACAAGCCCCCAGAAAGTCGACATGGTTGGGTGCCTCGCCTATGGTATGAATGCACTGTTCCGCCAAAGTGCGATCTTCACATCGAATAGCCACTTTGAATGCCAAATAGGCAGTCATGGGCTCTCTCCAACTCTGCTTGGACAGATTGTGAACAACGGAGACAGCTGCTTCGAGCTCATTCCTCGCGAGCGCACAGAGGAGCAACTTTCTGTCTAGAGTCAGACTTTCGTTGTCCAAAGATAAAAAAATAGCACGACCAAATACCTTTCCAATTTTGCCATATTCCCAGGGCCGCAATTGTGGAAGATGGGGTGGAGTGAAAGACGGCACCAGTTCTCTGCTATGTCATACTGTTTTTTGGCTGTAATTCGACTCCAGTTTCTTCCATATCAACTAGAACACAAGAAGTCAGCCATAGGCTGGAAAGGAAACTCGGGGTGTACATACTGCTTGTGCCGCAACAGCGGCTTCTGCACTCAACGGCCTCGTCAGATTTGAAAGAACACCCCGTACGGTTTCGATAGTTTGATTTGTATCTCTCTGGTTGGTGATCATCCACATACGGGTGATAACCGACTTTTCCATCCAACTATTATCGTTAACACCTCGTAACGAAAGGATGAATTCGTCTAATACCGCACAAGCAGCACCGGGACTTTTGTCATGTAGTTTCCTTATGTGATGTATGATCAACCTAAACCCGGCGTCGGAGGAGTTGAAGTCCTTGATCAGTCGTCGCAAGACGCCACCGTATGCGTCGTCGTCAAATATTTCCGCGGGTGTTTTCCGTAGCACCTCGAGCTTGAGAAGTGACACTACTGGCCTGTTGCCCACCTCTGACTCAATGTAGTCGACAAGCTGTGTGGCCTTATCGAGATCGGTTGAAATACCTGTGGCTAGAAGGGCGCTCACGAGTGCTTGTAATATGGCCAGTCGGAGCTCGAGTCCTTCACGAGAAAGATGTTCGAGATTTGGGGTGTTAATGACTTCGTTTGCTCGTTGTAACCATTTTGTGGCGGTAGGGAAGTCGTTGCGAGAGGCGAGCGACTTCCCAATTCCGTAAAGGACATCGGAAAGCCTTTCGGCGTAGTCGGGCGTTAGATGTTGGCGAAGACGTTCTGATTTTGTGTACATGTGTTCGGCAACATCAATATGGTTATCCGCCCATGACTGAGGAAACTCAAGGTTAGCTGACTGGTGATGGCAAGGCTTTTTCCGATGGTAACAAGAGCCTACCAGAGCTGTTCTTGTAATAAAGTATTCCACTTCCAAGCAGTTGTACTCATCCACCTCCTCTTTTGGAAGTGCTGATGCAAGATCCTGAAGAGAGCTCTTGTAGTCGGCAGCCTTTTGAAGTACTTCTGTCGCTAGTTCAAATTCCGAGCTTTCTGTACGAAACGCTCTGTATCAGCAACGCCGGATCGGGATGCCCAATGGGAAGAGAATGGGTTATTGTCCATACCAACACAGTCTCGCGCTGCCTTGAGCGCCAGTTTCACCACGTAAATCAGGTCTTGTGCCTTCCGCGTCTCCCTTGGGTTTGCGACCACGAGGAGATGGAAAGCTAGTACTCGTCCATACAAATAAAGCCTCTTCAGTCTCTTGTTTGTCGGATCGCATTCACGGCGCAGTCGAGTACAAATATTCCAGAGGCGGGTACCCTGCTGGTCTACCTCGGGGTCACGAGGGACCCCAGCGACAGGCTTGTGGGTATAAGTGTGAAGTTTCTTGCCATGTTGGTTGATTTGGTCGACCAGCTGGTCTGTTGCCGGCGCATCGCTTGGGTTACTCGAGAGGATTTTGTAGAGACCGCGAACAAAGTCTGGTGATGGAAGAGTCAATGTCAGCTTGATGTACGAGCGGGGAAGGAGGAAGGGAGTGCAAGATGACTGCGCACCCAACGCTGCTTCTATGCGCTTGTCAGTCTTGTTGACAGACTGCGACGCATCCTTGGTTCCCGTTGGGTTGGGCATGTTGCGACTGAAGACTGAGAAAGCAGCACGAAATGCCGCCAACATGCCTTGTGTGCAACTGATTATCCTCGAGCCGTGTTCGCCGGACAGAGCCCCGGGCGGGGTGATCGCATGGCAGAAACTCTTTGGCGCCGTGAAGAGGACAAGGGGGATTGCTAGAAGAAGAATACTAAAAATTCAGGGAGGTAAAAAGAACGACCATGGAACAACGTATCAGCCACAGTCAATAATATTTCATGATAACCGGCTGAGGACTGGTTCCTGAATTGAATTGCCGTTAGCAGGCTATGCTTTTCTTCGCTTGCTCGCCGGACGAAGATACGACCTTTTCTCAAATTGCGATGATGGAAGTTTGTGGTATCGAGTGATGACAGGAACAGTGAACTGATAAAATTTTGCCCAGGTGTACCCATCGGAATTAGGCATCACCCGAAGAAGCCTCCTTTTCTGCCCGCGGAAGGCGCGACCTTTCTCTTTCCCTTTTTGTTACCTTACTCCTTCCCCGTCTATCGATGTGCGCCAAATGCATATACCATCCCACATTAACGATATGCAACAGCAAATCTCCACCTCAAACATACCTTTGCCTTAATGATGGATAATAGCAAACGCAGGCAGTGTTCAACCGCCTTTCCATCAAAGCCACAAATTGCCTCTGCAAAACGGCTCAGAAATTATTCATTGCCAATGTGGCTCACAAGAGCGCTGCTCGGTGGAATAAACATTGCCGTAGTGTCATCCAAAATAGTATCATGGATCATGTGGCAAGAAGTTGCCCACAATCAAGCTGGGACTACGTGTACTTGTTAGCATTGCCATCATGAGTTGCCCCCAGAGAAAAGCTGGAGATCCGTTACAAACAGAAGACACTTACATCTTGTGATCGTCCCTGCGAATCCTGAAAGAAAAGCAGCAGTTCACGACCTTGGTCGTTTTGTCGTCGTTGGGGTTCTTGAGTGAACACGCTGTGATAAGAGTATCGTGAGCCGAGTCGAAGGCGATTGTGCCAAACTCTTCCCAGTATCTAACGTTGGACTCTTCCGTCAGGATCTCATGCAGAGCGATTTGACCCTAAGCGAGAGAATGTCAGCATCCTAAAAGCTAATTTCGTGGCGACGCATGGGGTCATTGTATCCTACCCCTCGTAAACTCTCTACCGGCACGCCTATGAGTTCCGCCATCTCTTTGTTTCCTCTGAAAATCTGTCCGGTTCGTCTCCAGCAACAGGCCGGAACGGCCATACTGGCGAAAACTCGGTCGTACTCCAAAAGCGTCCTCTCGAACCACATCTCCACCATCACCAGGTCCATATCGGTCAGGATTTGAATCTTCTCGCGGAATTTGGGTCGAAAGCGATCGATCTGCTTAAGAATCTTCTGCTTTGATGTTGGCGACACGTGTCCATCCAGGTAATCCGAAAGCCTCTTATAGCCAAGGATGTAGTTGAATGGTTTTAGGAGTCCGGCCTCATACTTGGCTCTTAGTAAACGCTGCATGCGCTCCTCCGGTGTGTCGTTTCCGGATGGATCTGCCGCTTGCAGATAGTATGCTTCCCGGGCATTTTCCAAGTTTGTACTCGCCGGCTTCCCTATCGCCGTTGTTTGGTCGCTACTTGGGGGTAACATCGAGGTCCCTGTATGGCACTTGGGGGGAGCATGCCGGTATTGCTGCTGCTGCTTCCCTTGTTGTTACTATTGGCGTTGTTGGTGTTGTGATTGGCATTAGACAACCCCGACACCGCAGCAGACTGGTTTGCTCCCAATATTAGGCCCTGATCCTCGGACATGAAGGCCGACTCTTCAAGCAAGCCAGCGGTCAGGAATTCATTCAGTAGATTGAACTCATTGGTAACTTCCGGTGCCACCATGTAGTTTGGATGGAAGTTGTGCATGTCGTGATAGTGGTTTTGAGAGGTTAACCAAGAATCTGGAAGGCCGGCAACTATATTAGGCAAATTCAGCAACTGATTATAGTGGAGAAAGGCCGAAGGAGGATCCAGCGCCAATACTCACATTGATTCATGCTGCCACCTAGGGCATTGGCTTGTATTCCAGCAACAGAGCCTGGTTGCACGAGCTGGAGAGGAGCGCCCCGGCCCACGGCTGCTGCGTTTGCTACCTGGACATGTCCATTGCCCATACCGCCATCAAATCCGGGTGGTCTCATGGTTTTGTCCATAGCGTTGCGCCCGATATCCGACTGGGATTCGGAGTCATGTACGGTCGAAGTCGCAAGCGCGCTCTTAGCCTTGCGTGACTCAGTATCGCGAGGCTCATCGTGGCAGAGGTGACCGATATTTCGCTTTATGCATCTGGTACAAGGCCTCTCCTACAAAAGGTTGCGGCAGATTCGTTAGCCATAGCTCCAGCTCGGTGAAGGTGGGAGAACACATACAAGATCACACGTCATGTGCTAAGGCAGCCAAAACAACATAGTCAGCCACCAGAAGAACTAGTAAAGTTTGTGTATATCTAGACCGATTGGGGTGTCCTGCAGGACTCCGTAATATGGCAGTTACGGTAGCCTATGTGCGAAGCCTAGGTAACTAGCACGACAGGAGATGGGGTGTTGGCGGTGCATGTTGGTCGACTTACAGATCGGCGACAGTAAAGGCAGGCTACAGCAGACACACCAGACAAAGTTAGCAGGCTGAAGATAGGCGGTCAAGTAATGCAGACACAGAAAGACTGTGGAAAAGAGACTGTAGATTATTTACCATGATTGACCTTGCGGCGCTTTTTAGGCGCCTTTTGCACATCATCAGCGGGCGAGGGATGGTGATCCTTGGCCTTGGTGTCGCTTCCGGACTTGCTGTCCTTCATCCCCGCCTCTTTGCCGTGGGGCTTCTCCGTGGCTTCTGTTCCCGTCATTGCTTATCGAGTATGGAGGCTCCCATTGGATCTGGCGGTTACGCAACGGGCGTTGAGTTCACTGCTCATCTAAGCCAGGCCGGCGGCTCCTCGCAGGGGAATGGCGGCAATTCGATGTTGATTCAGAGCCAGCCTTTGTTGTAGTGGTTGGCGTGTGGTTCCTCTGCTTCTGTTCCCGGATACCGATATTCCTTTAAGTTGTGTTTTTGCTGCCACTGCTCTTCCAAGAACTTCCGATGTTGTTGACGTTTTGCGGATGTCTCCTCCAGTATTGTTCCCTGGTGCTCTGGTCGGATTCCCGGGTCGGTTCGTGGGTTGTGGTTGCCTCGGCCTGTCACTTTTCGGTATATAGCGTTCGCGTTCCTGTCTTTCTGCTTGTGGTTCGTGACTGTGTCGTTCCCGAGTGGTTTCGGTTTCGGTTATGCAGCTTCGGTTGACGTTGATTCCACACGGCAATGGTCGTCGAGACAGCAGTACGGCAGCTGGTAACTACAAGTAAGAATGGCGGTTCGTCTCGGGGAAAATGGCTCTCTTGTCAAAGTTCCGTAATCGATACACTTTTGTTGCCGGCACGGAGGGAACCTCATTGGCCTCCACTGTCGCGCGAGCTCAATTGCATGCGGCGTTCCCCATGTGGATGGAACCTGGAAGGATGCAGCAGACGGCCAGACCGGGACACCAAACGGCAGGGGTTCCTCTTGTCCGCCAGTTGTCATTCGTCAGCGGCCACTGAACTCCAAAAGGAGGGGATGGACGCCCACAGGTGCCTCGCTGCAGGGCTGCCCACAGTGTGTAACCGCTATAATCTTCCTTGCACACCCTCAGCAACGGGGAAGGGCTGGAAACAGCAGGTGGGGTCTTAAGTCTGGATTGTCCCTGATTTGGAGATCTTTGAGATGTTGATGTGTTGGGTGTCGGTGTCATGTGCCGAGGAGACAAGCAAGTTGTCACATATTGCCCATGCTCATTGAACAGAAGAGCGATAACGTAAAACTAAGAGAGAAAAGAGCGAGAGTGAGTTGGAAGTAGAAGACTTGGTAAGAAATGCAGAAAAACGAACCAAGAACGAGTTCTGATCATGCGTCCTCTTTCCGTTTCCAGAGCCTCCAATCAAAATCCAGGCCTTTCATGTACTTACATAATGCCCCGTATTATCGCATATTACACTCTGCTTGGTATTCACATGTAACTTCCAACCCATCAAACGCGGTTGGATGGCTTACTTGGCTTGGTCGACAGCGTCAGCATATCCGAGGCACATACGTATAAAGGCACCGACTGAATGATTTGGGGGGCTTGTCAAGGGAAAGATGAGCGATTCACGATCTGACGAGTACGCCATCATAGAGGTAACAGCGTGTAAGTAAGTACTCCGTCGAGTCGTAACTTTTAAATACACACGAGGACGGGATGTCTTGCCGCGATTTCCAGGCGATTTTGACTTGGCTGGGCAGGAACGGTTGTGCATGCTTGGTTTCGCTTTCCTCCTCCACGCAATTGCCTCGGTTGTTGCCTACCTAGTACTTCTAGGTTGTCATTCGACCGATGAAAGGAAGGAGCAACGAGGGTGCCTGGAAAAATTAGCACACTTCTCTCGTATGGGTGCCGTCCTCGTTTCTGTTGACAATTCAACTAAAGTCAAATGGCTACGAGTACCTCAGCATCATGATGATCAAGACCCGTCGATTATCCATCTTGTCCATAACTGAACATACATCCACCTTTGTCCGCTTAGCCGGAATATGACACCAACAAGCACCAGCCAATCAGCGTGTCAAGTCCGGCGGCAGTCAGATATTGCGATACTTGTAAGCACTCTCGACTACAACCGAGACTTCTAACCAAGTTGTAGCTGCCTCTGAACATGTTGTCTGCCCACAAGGGGGCTGAGACCTCATCGTTGTCAGTTAACATCCTCCCCGCGAATGTGCCGCCGATCCTGCTGCTGACATCCACTTGACAGATTCAAAAAGATGTGTATTCGGAGTCGTCTTGTTTCACCATCAATCGAGGTTTCTGGGCGACAAACTGAAGCAAGTTCTCAGCCAAGATGATCTCATGGCATCGAAAATCGCGCGGTCGACCAGATGTCTGTTTGTTTGACGGCATACCTTTCTGCATGAGTTGCGACTTGTTGGCACCTTTGGACGACCTCTTACCCAGTCAGGTCCCATCAAACCCATTGGTACTATATCATGACAAAACAAAAGACCTATTACTCCATTGGCCAACTTCTGTTGATTAGGAAACTCGTTGCTACGACTCCAACGGTTGCGATATCTCATCTCAGATTGCAGAGATTCTCGACACCAAACCAACGGACGAGGAGACAGGAAGACAACTCACAGACCGGCATCAAAATGATCATGCCAATAACAGACTTTCTTCGAGGGAACCATTCTCTCAAGGTCGAGGACAAAGGCAAGGAGAGATAAACCCACTGTCGCCAAACCCACAAGAGCATATTCTTGTCGGGTCGGACAGTATTCGACTCTTGCATCTCAGCAGCGGCAACAAATCTGATCCACTGCATGGCCGTTTGGAAGTTTATCAGCTCAAATATTTTCCTGAATACGAGGCGCTCTCTTACACCTGGGGGACTGCATCTGGAAACTCTAGCAGGATGGGGAAGCTTTATCTGGGACGCGATTGGAGTATTCTTCTCATCACCGTCAACTGCGAGGCGGCTCTACGCGCCCTCCGCCTTCCCAATGCCGTCCGACGCATATGGGTCGATGCAATCTGTATCAACCAAGACAATGATACAGAGCGTACCCATCAAGTTTAATTGATGCCCGTAATCTATGCGACCGCAAGGCAGGTAGTCATCTATATCGGCAATGAAAGAAAGAAGATGGATATAGGGTGGACTTACAAAGTCAAACGATAATCGCCAACAGTCACTCGCAACCAGTGGGAGACCAATTGGGAGAATATGGACAGGCGACTAAAGCGACCCTAACTCCTTCGGAGCTGGATAATACAGGAGATTGCTGCTGCTAGGAAAGCTTGGGTCACCGACGGATCGTCATGGCAACCATGGCCCATCGTCGATGCCCATGCTGAAGGACAAGCTTCCAGGACATTCCTTCCTTGGACCAAGGACTTCGAGAAACGCAAATACAGGCTGTCTGGCCACCTGGTGAAGTTGGTTATGGACTCCTGGTCCTCACAGGCATCTGACCCACGGGACAAGATATTCACCCTTCTTGGGGTCATCACAGGGGCTGCAGCCGATGGGTTGATTGCGGACTATTCTCTTTCGGTCGAGCAAGTGTAAGTTGCTACCTACATGAGGTTCTCATAGTTAAGAAGTGTATAGACGCTGACTTTAGCTGTAGGTATACTGGTCTGGTCGCATTTGCCTTGACCAAACAAGGAGAGGTCAACATTCTCCGTTACGCTAGCGGATACGCAAAGTCGAGGAACCTACCATCTTGGGTGCCTGACTGGCGCCTCCTCTCGCGCGACTGGGGAATCATGCTACGAATGGAGCATATTGAGCTAGTACATTCTGATGCAAGGCCAGATGAGATTTTCCAGTACCCATGGCAGCTGCTTCGTTGGTGTGAAGAGAGATGGGTTCGGAAAGGACTGATGTCATGTCTGATGAGCCCACCCTTCCCAAGGCGACAGTTCATGGACCTACCGGTACTCTATGCGTCCATGGGATTAGGCTAACAACCCTGACGAAGAAGTTTAAATGGCGTCACTTTTCAACACATGCCGTCTTTTTGGGGGACTTCCTCAGCATCACCGCACCGCAGGACTCGGGGTTTGATGACTCTGTCTATTTTCTCAGGGGGTTCGACGCACTAGTAGCTCTCCGCCCGGTGCGAAAGAATACCTCCGATGGGCTTCCCAGGAACGACCTTTTTACATTCGTCGGCTTATGCTATGTGACTCGTTCGACCTGATTACCCTACAAGTCTCGGACCATGAGGCGGACATTGCCGATGATATAGCACAAATATCACAGTGGACTGTCCTGCACGGTTCTACCGACTCCCTCGGAGGATTGCGCACGGAGAACACTCAAGCTATGTACCTGAAGCTGGCCGAGACGTGCTCTGCAGCCCATATGCAATATTCTGCATGGCAGATAACATTCTTGAAGAATCTCAGAGATCGGATCAACTTGGTTTGGGACGATGTTCTACACCGATTCAAAAAGGAACCTTTCGCGCTGACGGATGCCTCTGCCCCGTATCATTGGCGTACCCCTATTTTACTACCGGACTTAATAAAGGCATTTGGGGGACAGTCTGATTTCTGGTCCATGATCATAGGCCAACTGATTACTGCTTCGATGTCGTCTGATGAAGAGACAAAAGAGAAGATTCGACAAGAGCGGCGGCGGCTACAGGCACTGCGCAAGAACATGAGCCTCTTGAGTGTTACATGCAAGGCAACGGAGACAGAAACTGCCCTGAACGCACGCATTTCCGAAGAGCTTGATTTGCTTGCTAGGGATCGTCTCCTATACATCCAGCAACTGCACACTCGACGGCAAAGGGAAGGTGACAGATACTGTCCCAGATGGTACGACTTTGCGGGCATCAGTTTCTACTGGTACAACATGCGACATATCCATGGCGACAAAGCTGCCGACTACATCGAACAGGCTCTGGCGTATATGGATATCGCGCACACGGAGAACTCGATCACAGCGGCGTCTGTGTTAAGGGCTAACATCGATGCAGCAACAGAGTATCGAAGAGCAACGCGCATAGCCTCGATGGAGGTTAAGTTGACGGCCAAGTCGTTGGAGCTCCCAATGCTTGAAACGGACCCGGAAGAGAAGATGGATGACTGGCAAAATATATTCATCATATGACTTATTTATGCCATGGCCTTCTCTTCGGACCAGTCTGAAAGTGGCAGGGAGCCCGGATCCTTTAACCTTTGTGAACTTCTCAACTGGCAATATCGATTGCTCGATGTCTAGAGGACGGCGGTGTTGTTTTTGGCCACGATACCAACAAAGCTAGAACATCGCATTAGTGAGAAGGAAGGATGTTCCCCTCAGTCATACGAATCCCTTCTAGCCTGATGATAGCTCAGTAAGCAACCAGCAGCTTCCACCCACCATGACAATTGCCTAGCCATGACTACTAAACGTTATTATTACGGTGGCGTCAGCTTCAATATGCTACAAATGTGCTTCTGCCTGCTAAACCGAAGGTGAACATTTGCCCGAGTGACGCCCACCTGTACACACATGTTCCGGCTGCCTGCTGAAGAGAAGTCGCTAACTGCTGACCAAATTGATAGGAGAAGAGGCTGAGACGAGCTGAATAAAGATTGATGCAAGTATTGCCAACGGAAACCATATCGCCTACGGTTTGATGAATCCTTCGATCGTAAACTACGCTACTGATGGTGAGCTACTAGCCTCGGCCGCTGCTGCTGACTGCATGATGTAGGTGAGACGAACGTTTTAGCGGGAGCAAGCCTCGTGATGATACGACTTTGACGCTTGAAGAACTCGGGAATGATGGTCTCGAGAACTTCATATTACTCAAAAAGCATGTATTTCAAAATTTGCAAAGTCACATTAGGGATCGCAGGGCACAATGCTGAGCTCTTGTTGAGGACGTGGAGAAGGAATTGATCAGGTAAGTAGCTGCCTCTTTCCGGGCGCGGGCCGGGACGGAGATGGGCTCGAACCGCGGGGTTCTTTTCTCTGTCCCCGCGGCGGCTGGGCTTTCTGACACTGGGGTCGGGGACGGGAACATGAAGATGAATGGTCAACAATCGGGTACCACCTGCATGGAGCTAGTGGCCCTACAAGGACATGGCTAACTCCCTCTCTTCAGCCCTGCCCAACTCCTTACCCCTCCTTGTTTCTGGGGAGCTTGTGCCGCCATACCACAGGACAATCTGATCCTTCATCTTCAAGCCCAGCACTTGGCCAACTCAATGGTCGAACCTGCATGGCCTCCGTAGTAGGTTTTCAATGTATCAAACGGCGAAAGTATGAAGGTCCATCATCTTTGTCTCTGCCACTGTCTCAGTCACCCCTCCGTGTTGGTACCTTGAGGTGCCCTTTCCAAGGTGAACCTTCTCTTGTCTTGTTTGCTTCATTCCCCCCCTCATGAGATCCTCGCGGGTAAGACGAAGTGGTGCCATGCAGAGCCTCGTTGCAACCCCCTTTCACAGCACATGGAAAACGAATGGTTGTGGGACTAATTGGCGTAGGTACTACATTGGTGATAACCCAACGCGCAACCTGGTGGATCACAGTCTATCTTGTGTCCTTGGTATGCACTAACTGCCAATAAACCACCCTTAGTCCCGCTGACATGGATGGGTTTGGGATCACATCATCCTTCTGTAAGGCTGTCAGCCAAACCCCAGGAGGTGAGATGGTGATACCTTACCATCCTATAGCTGAAGGTCTCTTTGCTTGGCCTGCTGAAGACGCTTGGGAGTATGGTTATAAGTTGTAAGACGCCACCCCAGCTTGGGAGCGGTGGCATCTCCCCCTTCCCTCCCTCAAGCTTCCTTTGAGTTGTCTTTGACTCTTCGTTGTTGACTTCTTGTTACCACGGATTCAACCATTTGATTCCCTAGGCCATACATAGCCTCCTTTCTCAATATCTTTTCCTCCTTAGTGGTTATATCCTTCCTACAAGCGTACTAATCTCACCATGACCACCCCTGCCCCCGCTGTCCCCAAGAAAAAGGACTTCAACAAGACTCCCCAGGAACTCGTCACCGAATTCTGGGACCAGTTTTTTCGTCAAGAAACCAGGAAAGGTCACTAGGATCTTCCCGCGCAGCCTCTATGAGACTCTTCTCCCACCTTCACAGCCACAAGGCGTCAGCTCCTCCCGCAATGCCACGGATAGCTACCTGGCTGCCGTCAAGGAGTGCAAGGAGAAGGTGAAGCGCATTGTCCGAGAATGCGAGCGCACCAACGAGAAGTTCACCGACCCTGATTTCGATATCGAGGGTGACCTTGAAATACGCAACTGTCTCCACGGACTCACCCATGACGCCGACCTAGAGGAGTTCTACGGCGTGCTCGAGCAGCTGTACGACTCGGGAGCCGCCAAGGGCGGCAAAAAGGGCACCAACTCACGCGCCCGCGGAGCTCCTCGCAGTGCCGAAGATGCCCTCGACACCCCGGCGGCACCCGAAGGTGCGAAAGACCGCGAAGGTGTTAAGGCCGGTTGGCGTGAGACTTTCTCTCCCGGCTCCGTCCACCGCCTCGACTGGATCTTTGAATCACCCCAGTGGACCAAGGACGGCTACTCGTCGTCAGACATCAAGCAGGGCTGCGACGGCGACTGCTGGTGGCTAGCCGCCGTGGCCACTATCGCCCACCGCAAAGATCTCATGGACAAGGTCTGCGTTGCCCGCGACGAGGAAGTCGGCGTCTACGGCTTTGTCTTCTTCAAAGACGGGGAGTGGACCAGCACCGTCGTCGACGACAATCTCTACCTGACGGAAGAGGACTACAGGTACTACTACGACGAGTACGATCCGACGGGGAAGAAGGGGCGTAAGCACCGCAAGGACAAGCAGACGGGGTCCGAAGCCCTGTACTTCTCCCAGTGCTCTGACCCGAACGAGACCTGGCTGCCCCTGCTGGAGAAGGCCTATGCCAAAGTCCACGGCGACTACGAGGCCATTTCCGGCGGTTGGCCCGGTGAGGGCGTCGAAGACATGACGGGCGGCGTGTCTGCCATGTTGCAGTCCAACAGGGTGCTGCGGAAGGATAAGCTGTGGAAGGAGCTGGTGAACTCGAATGGCAACTTTGTCTTCTCGTGCTCTGCTCACGGCTATGCCTCTACGAGAGGTAGCATGGCCAACGGCCACGCGTATTCCATCCTGAAGGCCACTGAGGAGGTCGATGAGGATGGCAGGAAGGTCAGATTGGTGAAGATTCGCAACCCCTGGGGCGAGCGGTCGTCGTGGGGAAGTGGCGAGTGGGATGGGCCTTGGTCGGACGGATCTAAGGAATGGACGCCGTATTGGTATGTTACCCCCAGACTTGAGATGGCCACTTCTCTGTAGCATGGCGGATACTGATTGGAGATAATTCCCAACAGGCTCAAGAAACTCGACCACAAGTTTGGCGACGACGGCGAATTCTGGATGTCGTACCAAGACATGCTGGATAACTTCTTATACCTCTACCGGACTCGTCTCTTCGATGACAAATGGAATGTAGTCCAGCAATGGACCGCTGTCACTGTTGGCTGGATTGCCGGCTATCTGAACAAGAAGTTTGTCATTGATATCAAGAAGGGAGGAACCGTGGTGATTGTGCTGAGCCAAGTTCGTGACCCTTTCCCACGTATATCCCGGCTGTTCTTTCTTATGCTGATAATTCCCTACTTAGCTTGACGAGCGGTACTTCCAAGGCCTTGAAGGACAGTACAGGTTCATCCTCCACTTCGTCCTACAGGATGAGGACGGGAAGGAGCAGCTCTGCCGCGTGCGTCCCACCCTTGACTGGAGTTCTCGATCGGTCAGCTGCGAGCTCGATCTCGAGCCTGGGCGCTATGAAGTCTTGCCCAAGATCACGGTCGAGCGGGATACCAGCCAGCGTATGGTCGAGGATGTCGTCACTCGATGGTATGTAAACCCCTTGCCCAAGTAACTTCCTTGAGGAGACTGTTTGTAAACTAACGACAACTTATTCACCAGGGCCGAGGATAACCCCACTAAGCTCCGTCAAATCGGTATGCAGTACGATCTCGCCCACGCCAAGGGCGGCGTCCCTGACGAGGACGAAATCATCACCCAGAGGAAAGAAGAGAAAAAGAAGAAGGAAGAGGAAAAGAAGGCCAAGGCCAAGGCCAAGAAAGAAAAGGAGCGCAGAGAAAAGAGGAAGGAGAAGCAGGTTCAGATCACCATCAACGTGCCGGAGGGTACTACCGTGGACACTTCCGGCGCTGGCACGGCCAACGTGGAGGGTGCTGATAAGAAGGAGACAGAGAAGACAGAGGAAAAGAAGGAAGCAGAGAAGACAGAGAAGACAGAGGAAAAGAAGGAGAAGGCAGAGGAAGAGGAGAATTTTGAGGATGCTGTCGAGGAGAAGTCCAAGGAGGACGGTGAGAAAAAGGATGGCGAGAAGAGGACGGTCGATTCCAAAAAGGTAAGTGCCCCTTCGTCATCATCCAAGAGCGCAAACCATGGTGAAGGAAAGAAGACTGAGAAGACTGTGAAGGAGGGTGAAAAGAAGGAAGACACTACTGCTGCTGCTGCTACTGTTGTAGAGGAGAAGCCCGCAGAGGCCGAGAAGAAGGCAGAAGAGAAGCCAGTTGAGGAGACGGCGCCAGTGCCAGTGGCTGCGACTGAAGAGGTTGAGGAGGAAGACCTATCTGAAGACGAGGAAGAAGAAGAGGAGGAGCCCAAGATCGAGTACGAGGAGGGCAAGATTCCCTGGAATGCTGTTTGTGTTGTTGGCTTGAGGGTGTATGCTCAGGATCCCGATGTCACGGTCACGCTGGCGACTCCGAGCAGTGCGGAGGAGGGGGCAAGTCTTGTTGTGGATCAGCATGCTGTTGGGGCTACTATTTGAGAAGGAATTGTGAGTTGGGTAGTGGATTGGAAATATGTCAATGAGTATAGATTTGTATTTGGTAAATTGTGAGGTAATAAACGAAATCGATGTCTCTTCGCCCAAGCTCGCAGTTCACGTTCTCGAGACAGGTTAAGCGAGCTACTGTTCTGTGACTAACTGTGCATTAACACTTCAGATGCGAAACCAGCAGGTATTACGTTAGTAAATATTCAACCCCTCAACACAAGAAAGTTGATGTTGAAAGTTGAGAAGGGATCGCGGGGTGGTGTTGGCTATCAAGGTTCCCGTCCCTGCAGGGTATCGCTAGCGCAGGGGCACGATAGTGACGTTATCAGAGCTAAGACCCTGAAAGATAGTGAGTACGTCAAGAACCTATGTTAGTGAAGCTATTGAGGACCTTTGAACCAGATAATACACCCAATTCTCCATCCTATTCCATCCTAATTACTGCAAGCTCATGAATCATGGCAATGCAGCCATTTCTACGCCACGTGACGGCTTCGGACAACAGGCTGTTTGCTGGCATTCGGGTACCTGGCTTAACATCCACTGGTAAACGCAGGTGACCTCGGTTGACGTCTGTCCCCAGCATTCACAGTCCCCTATCGCCTTATCGGTTATCGGGTCTGGGGCTGTCCGTACCTTGCGTCGCTCGCTCTTCGGCCTCGACTCTCCAATTCATCCTCTCGCCATCACCAAACCGCCCCTCAGTTTTACTCCAGTGTCGCCGTATAAGACAATTCCGTAGTCACCTGAAGCGGCTGACCTGAGTCATGGATAGTTACTGATACTAATTACAATTCAATCTGTGCCGTTTCTTTTTCATTTTCAGATCCTCCGGGCCCCCCCTCTCCTTCTCCGCAACAACATGATTCTTGGAAAGTGGTGACCGCCTCGAACAACGACGACACCTGCCCACCCCACACCTACAGCCTTTGAACAAAACCTGGAATCTATCATATATACCTTCCTTCTCAAATTGCCTTCATCTCCTTCCAACAATTCGCGCCGTGATACCCATCCATTTCTTCTCCCATCTTCAACAAATCAACCAACAATCAACTGGAATAACAGCCCTGGAGTGGATGGACAACAGCAAGATCGGCCTCTCGTCACCATAACAAAGATACCCGACCTTGCCAATGTCATTCGAAATGCCGCCGCCGAATACACCTGAAGAAGGAGTAGCAGCTCCTACGACCTCTACGCGAACTGAGGCACGCCGGATGCTCGGCTCCGGGGTCCCCTCTACAATTTACGATTCTCCTGCCTCTTCCTCGGACGGCTCCAGACGCAGCTCACTTGCCGATTACGACCCGTATCAAGTCCCTTTACGAAGTCATACGCAAGCTCATATTGAAAATGGGATCGACTACCAGGCGCTCGACTATGCCCAACAGGTTGACGAGGCTTTGTTATGTCCCATCTGCCACACGCCCTTCTTCATGCCTATGACCACCAAGACGTGCGGCCACACCTTTTGCGCCTCGTGCCTCGACCGCGCTCTCGAGACCCAGCACGCATGCCCCATTGATCGTCGACCCCTCGATATCAGCCGAGACATCAGCCAAACCCGAACCCGCGTGATACTCGACCAGCTCGACCGTCTCAAAGTCAAGTGCCCAAACACCGGCTGCGATCACGTCTGCTCACGGGAGCTCCTAGACGGCCACGTTGAACGTTATTGCGAATATACCCTTGTCAGCTGCCCCGACCCTGATTGCGACGAGACGATCTGGAGGAAAGATGCACGCCCCGAGAATGGGTGTCTCCATCACGTTACGCTGTGTCCCTACTGCGAGATGGCCCTCACTTTCAACGACCTCGAGAGGCACTACGACCAAGAGTGTAAGGGACAAGAAGCGGAGTGCCCACACTGCGACGCCGTCGTCGTCCGTCACCGTCTGGCTAAACACATTGCTACGGACTGTCGGGAGGTTGAGACACACTGCAAGTTCCAAAGCGCTGGGTGCAAACAGTTTGCGCGGAGGAAAAATATCGAAGAACACCAGAAGGACGGGTGCGTCTATGAGGCGATTGCGAAGCTCATGCAGGCGCGCGAGGAAGACCACAAGATTATCAATGAGTTGAAGGGACGACTAGACGCTCTAGACGGACGGACACGGCACCTGGAAAGATACGGTGGTGGCGGTGGTGGTAATGGCAGCAGCAGTGGTGTACGGGAGTCATCTGCATTCACCAGAGCAACAGCAGCACCACCAGTATCAGGCCTAACTGCCCATGCCCTCAACAACTTGAACCGTATGCAGCCGCCTACATCAGGTTATACAGACCTCATGGAAGCCAACCAGAATATCACTCTGGACGACCTCTTCGAGACGTTTGAGAATGAAAACAACCAACACAATGACAGCAACTACAGCAGCCCACGAGAAGCAGCAGCAGCAATGGCGACAGATGCATCGCCCATTCCCGTGGCATACAACAGTGTTAGCGGGCCTTGGGAGTCAGCAGAGGATTACATGCTCGCCCAGTTTGAAGCAATGGAGGCCAAAATCGAAGACCTGCGGAAGATGATGGTGGAGCTTGACGGAAGACACACCATGAGGCTGGTCAACGACACAATGCGGATGAACGAGCAGATCGCCGAGCTTGGGAGCAAAGTAGGAGTATTAGGGATGCATACCACCTGGTTGATGAGTATGCAGAGGCAAAGTCGGGGACAGCAGAGTGGTGCTGGGTCAACGACTGGCAATGCAAGATCCAATATGTCTACTACTGGTGGTAGTGGTGGTGGTGGTGGTGGTGGGAGTGGCAGTACTGCTGGTAACAATGAGGAGGGTAGAGGCAGGACAACTACGACAACGACTGGTGCTTCTGGCTCGTCAAGGACGGCGACACAGACTTCACAGCAGGATAATAGGAATCGGGCGGATGGAGAGGGTGCGAGAGGCAGGTATCTCAATACTAGTGATATCCCGCCGGTGAGGAGGAGTAGCGTGGGGAGAGGTGAGAATCCACCGCGACTATGATGGATCGATGTTTGGTTTACGTCCTGGGCAGTGTATCTGAGTGGTGAGCCTCCGAGTGGTATAAACTGGATGGTCTTTGTTGTTGGAGTGGAATATATACTATCATGTCCTGAGGAAGCAACCAACGGAACAAGTAATGGCATTGCATGGATTCGGTTGTCGGCGTTTGGGATGGGTCGGAGAGCACAAGGAGGTTGTCTTGTTGCACACCAGGCCTGGTTTATATACCTAAGGATATATGAAAATAAATCAAACCTACATTCTGGGAATTTGCATTGTCAAAGGGTTCATGGCGATGTAGTGAAAAGGGGCAAAGGTCACAATCTGCCTTCATCAAATGCAAGTCAAGAAAGGATAACACCTCCCGTTTTGAAGAATGGTTGAAGTGTTGAAAAGACAACAATATTAGAAGCCCCAGGAAAGAATTGGTAAGCATTTCCATGTCATTCAGTTCGCTTCTGGTATTGAAGTTCCCTAGAAGTAGGGGTTCCCGCCATCCGATGCCCCCTGGCGCCTGCAGTGGATGAAGTCCCGCTGAATCCTCGCCCACCAAAACACCAACTGTGACATCCCGAAATACCCCGCCAATCTGCCATCCATTCTAGAACTGCAGGAGCTCCATGCAGTAGGCTTGTTCGGGGCAGGCACACTCCACGTCACGCTCACAGACATCAACGTAATCTGGTCAGGGCAGAGGTGCACGAGAATCGCTACTTCCTCCCGATCACTATCCGAGGGCTTGATGCTAAAGTCTGCTAGACTCATACCCTTATTACCACCAAGCTTCGACAGCCACGCTATCACGTACTATTGCAGCTAGCTCGAGGGCGAAGTAACGACTTCGACCACCTGCAGCCACCACAAACAACCTCCAGCTTCGGGCAATCACCATCATCATCACCATCACCATCCTCCTTCAACTTCCGTCCTTCGCCTCAACCCCCGATCGTATCCAGCTTTGCGTCGTCACCACCAGCCTGAGCCCTTCTTCTCTCACGCTCTCTTCATCAGCCTAACCACAATATCAATATACCCATTAATCACTTCATTTTCCGCCTAACGACCGACGACGAAATGGATCCGAATCAGCAACCGCCGGCGCCTACGCCAGACGCGCCCGATCAAGAGACGATGGCGCAGATTCGTGCCCGCAGACTTGCTAAGCTCGGTGGCCCTAGTACCGCTTCTGCTACATCGCCAGCTGCGTCCTCATCCTCCACGCCCCAGCCTGACAAGATCTCGCCGAACCCGGTGAGGGCAGAACCCTCTCCCGCTGCTGCTACCGCGGCGGCGAGTTTGTCAAAGATCGCGGACAAGGCACCGCAAATAATCAGACCGGTCTCACGAGATGTGCCAGAGCCACCACCAGGTAGTTCCGCTTCCCGAAAGAGAGAAAGATCCCTTTCACATATTGACAACCTTGAATGTCAACCAGCACCGCGAAAGCAATATAGAGAACCGACATTTGAGGAATGGACCGACAAGCTACTCACCAGCATCCTTCGCGTTTCGCTCGATCCGAACCAGACCTTCGACAGCACTGGCCATAACTTGACCTATCTGCCAGGGCTCAGCGAAGAAATTCGGGGCGAGGGTCAGGAGCCCTTGCTATCCATCGACAGGTTCCAGGAGGCCGTCATGGAGGCCGGAAGCCTCTACCCTCAGTCCAAGCCGCTCTTCGAATACTTTTTGGCATGCTGGAAGCGGGTACATAGGTTCAGGATCTTGAGGGCGTCGACGCCCGAGAAGGAAGAGGCGCTCAAGGAGGCCAAGCGTTTGTGCTTCTCCAACTGCATCTTCGCCATTACCATGCCCGAGATGTTTGGGTATTTATCTCCCGCGTCCTTTCTACACTTTCGTGCTTTAGCTGACATGATTCAAACTTGAATAGCCGAGAACCGAACCCAAAGCACGACAGTCTGGTACCCTACATCCTGGACGGCATTGCAAAGGAAGAGGGCCTTGACTTCGAGTTCTACAACGAGGCCATGACGCGGATCGAGGACGACGATAGCATTGTGCCTCTCTTCACGAAGGCCATGGTGGAAATTAGCACAGCATTGTCTAAGAAGAACATGAGTGGGGATTACCAGCCACACGTCCAGGTGAGTTTTACAGGCAACCTGAACGGATCGGGCAGTGTACTGACGTTGGAACCTCGCAGGCTCTCTTCACATACTCGAGATATCCCGCTCTTCTAAACGCTTTGGCAGAACACCCTACTTTCCTCATGGCGCAATCTGCCCCCAACATTGAACGGTTCACGTTGCTCGGTCCCTTCTTCCGTTTGTCGCCCTTGCACCCGGAGGCGGCCGGTCACGACTTTGCCTCGCCGAGGACTCTTGACAGGGCCCGAGTCGGCGCAACCCAACAGTCATTACAAATGACTCTGGCTGCCCATCAGGACCACCTGACGGGGATAACTAATGCTTTCATAAGAGCCAGTATTAGCTCGAGGAACAAGCTATTGGACTGGTTTGCCTACATCTTGAATGCCAATCACAAGCGCACAGCCACTTACGTCGATCCCAAGACCGTTTCCTCAGACGGCTTCATGGTCAACGTCAGCGTCATCCTCGACAATCTATGCAAGCCCTTCATGGATAACGCCTTTACCAAGATTGACCGCATTCAGGTCGACTACTTCAGGCGGAATCCTAGACTGGACATCAAGGAAGAGACCAAGCTCAACGCTGACCAGGAGCACTCGGATGCATTTTACTCTACAAAGCTCGAGGGGGAGAACAACTTTATCACAGAGGTCTTCTTCCTCGCTTTGGCGGCACATCAATATGGCTCCGAAGCCACTCAGAACAAGCTCAAGGACCTCGACAGGCAAATCAAACGAATCGAGCAGAATTTGGCTTTGATGGATGCCGAGCGACCTAAACTAGCTCATCGTCCGAACGATCTCCTTTTGCTGGACGCGGCGCAAAAGAAACAGATCAAGTTGCTGGAAGCAATCCTGTCGACCAAATTTGCCATTGAAGGCATCATGGCCGACAAGACGATGCAAACGCGGTCACTACAGTTCATGAAGTACACCATTGTCTGGCTGCTGCGAATAGCCAGTCAGTCCGACTATCTCCCGTGGAAGAAAATCAAGCTTCCGCTGCCTGCAACCCAGCCAGAGGTTTTCAGGTGCCTTCCCGAGTACGCCTTGCAAGTAATTGTTGATAACTTGAAGTTCACCTTCCGTTATAGACCGGAGGTTATGGTCTCGGCCATTGGTGACGAGCTCGTTGCTCTATGCATAACGTTTTTGGAGTCGTCCGACTACATCAAGAATCCATACTTGAAATCTTCGTTGATTTCTCTGCTTTACCGTGGGACCTGGCCGGTATACCACCTGAAGAAGGGTGTGCTTGGCGATATCCTTACGGGGACTAAGTTCGCAAATGACTACCTGCTGCACGCTGTGATGAAGTACTATATTGAGTGCGAGTCCAACGGTACCAGCTCTGCATTCTACGACAAGTTCAACATCCGTTACGAGATCTTCCAGATTATCAAGTGTGTGTGGTCCAATGATCATTACAAGAAGCAGTTGACGGAGTCTAGCAGGTAAGCACATGGAGTATCCTGTGAGCTTTGATGAATTTGACTAACTCGGCCTAGGGTTGACCGCGACTTCTTCGTTCGTTTTGTCAACCTCCTTATGAACGATGCGACCTACGTGCTAGATGAAGCACTTGGCAACTTCCCCAAGATTCATGACTTCCAGCAAAAGCTTCGGGACCCTAGACTTGCCCTTTCGCAAGAGGACCGCGCCAAGATCGAGAGCGACTTGCATGACGCGGAAAGCAAGGCATCTTCCTACATGCAGCTCGCGAACGAGACAGTCGGCATGATGAAGCTGTTTACCCAAACCCTGGCTGAGGCCTTCACCATGCCTGAAGTCGTCCATCGCTTGGCGGGTATGCTCGATTTCAACCTTGACCTCCTCACCGGTCCTAAGAGCCGGACGTTGAAGGTTGAGAACCCTGACAAGTATGGATTCAATCCCAAGATTCTGCTACCACAGCTTGTGGATATCTACCTGAACTTGGGTTCCACGCCTGCCTTTGTCGAGGCCGTTGCTGCGGACGGCAGATCCTACAAGCCTGAGACCATGGCGGCTGCTACCAACATCCTTCGCTCGAAGTCACTCAAGGATCCGCCGATATGCACGCATGGGGGGGTGCTGTGCAAGAGCTTCGAAGAGGCCAAGATGATTGTCGACCAGGCTGACCTCGACTTTGGCGACGCACCGCCCGAGTTCGAGGATCCAATCATGGGCGACTTGATGAAGGACCCCGTGATCCTACCCAGCAAGCACGTTGTCGATCGCTCGACCATCGTGCAGCACTTGCTTAGCGACCCGAAGGATCCGTTCACGAGACAGCCCATGACCATTGATGACGTCGTTCCGGATGCGGAACTGAAGGCTAAGATTGAGAAGTGGATGGAGGAGAGGAGGGCAGAGATCCGTGGTAAGGTTGAGGGTGTTACGCCTGCTGCTGGTGACATTGCTGGTGCGGCGGAAGCGACGACGGACGGAGATGCTATGGACACCACTGAATAGGAGCTAAAGTGTTTGCGGTTATCATGACTTGGGTGTTGCTTACCTGCATAGAGACGCATTTTGGCTTGGTGGGTATCATATGAATCATCAGCGGAATAGGACATAAGAGGAATACAAGAAGCGTAAATATCATTGTTTATTGAACTTGGGTTTTACGGGGGATTTGTGACAGATGATCTTGTACAAAATGGAGAGGAATGGCGTCGTCATCCGAGGCGATGAAGGATGAAGTGGTGGTTCTACATGAAGGCCGTACACTTCATACCTAACAGTAGATACAAATGTCATGGGCGTAGATTGAGCAAGAATAAACAAATGTCAGTCTCACCTGAAGTGACTGGGTTACTTTGTAAGCACACTTCAATGACCCGGCTCATTTCATGTTATCACCGACGGATAATAATACAAACAAACAGTTGAAATTTTGCTCGACTCTCCAAGTGAATTTGTGGTGTTTATAAGCCAAGCTACAAAGCAGGCGGCGTTAACTAACCGGCGGAGTTAACATTTAACATAAATCTCACTGCCAACTTCATCGCCCGCCGTACAAACCTCGGTGCAAAAAGTAGCGAGCCCATCTCCCAAACAGGGGGCATCAATGACGTTTTCCCCACGCTAAGCTCACAGGCAGCTTAGTAAAACCCCACCACACACGTTAGGGGAGACTAGCCTAGCCATTGCTCAGGGTGGGTGGGGTTAATACAGTTCACATCATCCGCCCGGGAAAGCTCGAAATCGCTGGGATGAGTGTTTATTTCGAGTTTCAAATGGTGATTGGGGGATTGGGGAGCGAATGGTGTTATGTGGGGGTTCACGACTTGACGGCGGGCACGGCGGGCAGGGCGGGATGTAGATCGGAGCGCGGGAGTGCGGGAGTGCGGGGAGGGAAGCTCGGGATTATATAAGAGACGAGGGCCCGGCAGAGGGGGGTCATCGTCGTTGTAGCTTCATTATCTCTTTCTTCCCTCATCTTCACTAACGCCAATTCGTGTTGTTTTCCATATTCGGTTTTCGTGATACCCTACATCGTGTTTCTTGTCTTTCAAAAAAAGTCAGACAAAATGACCAAGGTTCTGTTGACTGGTGAGTTTCCTTTCCACTCTCCGCTGGTGACGATGTTCGTGGATGTTGTGAAATACAGATTGCTGACCGTTGGTGATGTCTTCACAGGTGGCTCGGGCTTTATTGCTGGTATGTGCGAACTATAATACCTATTATCATGTGACCTCGAACTGGAGAGACAGATGTCTGCATTGTCGGCCGAGCGCGGAACGACGGCAAGAGGGATACACACACCATGGACAAACATACAGAAGTTGGGACATAAAAGAGCAATGGATGAATGCTAACGATTTCAATAACTGACCAGCCCACGTCCTCGAGCAGCTCCTCGCCAAGGGCCACACCGTGGTCACCACCGTCCGGTCCGAGGACAAGGCGCAAAAGATCCGCGAAGCCTACCCCGACAAGGCCAGCAGCGGCGAGCTCAAGGTGGTCATTGTCCCGGATATCGCCAAGCTGGATGCTTTCGATGAGGTCGTGAAGGAGCCTGGTCTTGAGGTTGTCTTGCACACTGCTTCGCCCTTCCACTTTAAGTTCCGTGAGTACTCCCTACCCATTCTATAGACTCGGCGAGTTGTGCGTGAAGAAATCCTGACAACGGTAACAGAGGACCCCAAGACCGAACTCATCGACCCCGCCGTCAACGGCACCACGGGCATCCTCAAAGCCCTCGCCCGCTCCGCGCCCACCGTCCGCCGCGTCGTCATCACCTCCTCCTTCGCCGCCATCATGGACGAAGACAAGATCACAGACCCCAACCACACCTTCAGCGAGGACTCATGGAACCCCGTCACCATCGACGACATCCACCGCCACCCCATGACTGCCTACCGCGCCTCCAAGACGCTCGCCGAGAAGGCCGCGTGGGATTTCGTCAAGGGCCCTGCCAACAACGTCAAGTTCGACCTAGCCACCATCAACCCGCCCATGGTCTTCGGGCCCGTGGTCCACCACCTCGCCAGCCTGAGCAGCATTAACACCAGCAACGAGCGCATCGTCGATCTGCTGCAAGGTAAGTGGAAGGAATCAGGCGTGCCCTCGACGGGCGCCGCCACTATCTGGATTGACGTGCGCGACGTCGCGAGGGCGCACATTCGCGCTGGACTTGAAGTTCCTGAAGCTGGAGGGAAGAGACTGTTTACCACGGCGGGAACGTTCAGCAATAACGAGATTGCGAGAAATGTGCGCAAGAACTTCCCCGAGTATGCGGATAAGGTGCCCGAGGAGGGAGGAGAGGGGTTGAAGGATGGGGAGCTGCCGCCGGCTGATAAGCGGTTCAAGATTGATAATAAGCGGACGAACGAGCTGTTGAAGATTGACTTTATTAGCGTGGAGCAGATGGTTGTTGATACGGTGAGGAGTTTGAAGGAGCATGGTGCGTGAAGCATTTAGGGAGTGGTAGAGTAGAATGGAGCAGTTAATGAAAATGGATATGAACCTACTTGGGTATATTTATGCTTCCTGTGTGTGACCTACATCTGTGAGGCCTTCTCACTCATCCTCGTCAATCCATGTCCATATTGGCCTCGGGCGCTTTCCGCTTTCCACGAGGCGTCGCCGTGGTGCTGCTAGCAGCAGGATTCTCCAACGCCTTGATCTTCTTCAGAATTCCTTGCTTCCAAATCGCATACTCCTTCTGCTTACGTTCGCCCAGGTAATCATACCGATCCTGGAACATGCTATCCCCTTGCCCAACGCGGACAACTTCAACCTTATTCGCGCCGCCCTGTCCATCCTCAAAGGCGGCGTCCTGATCCTCTTTGTCAAGGACCGTCCTCGCTAAATCCTCCACACCAGCAGCCCAATCCATCTCCAACCACCCTGATGTCCCGATATGCAAAGTAGCCAAATTCAGATCTTTCAGCTTTACATCACCCCACCCCTCCCACACCTTCTCATTATCCTCCTCCTCTTCTTTTCCGTTTCCAAGTTCAACAGTCACCTTCACTTGCTCCCTCGCCTTTTTCAGCGTCATAACAACCTTTTTCCTCATAGCCACGTACTCCCCCTCATCAATATCCGTTCCCGGCCAGGTAACTCCCCGCCAAACAAACAGGTACAGCGCACCCATTAGCGAAACAAGGTTGGCATTAACCCACTCGTCCTCCGTCCACTTGCCGTGACGAACAACGATCGATTCGATACCGGACATCACCACGGGACCGATGTGCGAAGGGCCGAGTTCTTTGAGTAAAAAGCGGAGAGTGGGTTTCATCCAGCTTGGTAACCCCACAGAAGCAGGGCTGTTGCGAGGAAATAAGGTGCCGCGGAATTGGTGGAGGGGTTTTTCTTTGCCTTTTCCTGTGCCTGTGCCGGGGGTTGTTGTTGTCCTGCCACTAGCTGACTGGCGGATACTTCGTCCTGCTGAGGGAGAAGCGCTGAGGTCATCGCGGTCGGTTTGGTCGCGGAGTCGGGAGGTGGGGGTTTTGTTGAGTGTTGTTGTCCGTTGACTTCGGGGAGTGGTTGTCGTTGAGTCCTTTCTGGGGGTTCCATTTCCACCACGGCCGGGAGTGGAGGAGGTGGAAGGGAGGATGTTGGAGAGGTGGAAGTAGAGACGTTTGTAGATCCTTGGAGGGATGGGTGGGCGGGGGTCAATGGGCGGGAGGTTGAGGGTTATTTTGAGTCTGGGATAAGTGTTAGTGATGCGATGCTGAAGAGTAATGTTAAAGAGTGAGATGAGATGAGATGTACCTGTCACATGCTAGGTGGGCGCAAGCATAGGTGCGTGCGATCTCCTCTTCGGCCTTAAGTGTGCTTGCACGATGGCGGGATTGGGCGAGTAGTGAACTGGCGAGATCGACGAGTGGTTGTGGGAGGTTTGTGTGTGAGTTGGTAATAGTGATAAGAGTGCCTGTTCTATGGAGCGATTCATCTTGATATTGGCTTCTTCTCACTTTTGGAGATGATTTGGCTACTTGTTTCGCAAAAACTGATAGAGTGGTGATATGAGACGTGAGTTTGATTAACAAGTAATGGTTGTATTTGTACTCCTCGTAGGCTATGTTTCGAAACCGTTTATCATGAAACCACCGAGGTCTCTCCGTGATGAAAGTGAACAAACAAAGCCGATTTTCGTGACGCGACGAGAGTCTTCGTGCCAAACGCCAAATCACGTGTAAGGATTCCGCTGTTGGCGCCTCTTGTTAGTGCATAATTGCTCCCTAGGTAACTAAGAACTACGTAACGTTGTGGAGCATTGTGCGCACCGAGCTTTTAGTGTAGCAGTGCGGAAGGCCAGATGTCCTTAGTGGCAAGAACACTGACTCTCCGAGCTCCGTGCTACAGAAAAAGGGAAATCTTGGGGTCCGGCCGCCACCTGCCAAGGCGGGACTGTGGGTTTTTGGCCATTGATCAGCTAATCAACTGGAAGCGGCCACTTGCTCAACAGTTCCCGTCCTCCGCCGCGTCGTCCAAGTGGCAGTTCCCGTTTCAGTTGCATCACTGCAGCCTGTCTGCCACTGACTGGCACTGACACTGTCACTTTCCACAACAACCAACACTCGGTCATTGTGAGATATCCGCTCCTTCGCATCTGTCGCAAACAGACAGAGTGGGTGCAAACAAACCACCATGGCTTTCCACGCAAGTGGGCTGCCGGTAAGTCTTGCGCAGTTCCTTTAGCTATCTCTAGGAATCTCTTGAAGCTGACCCCTCGGCGCCTGCTAGACCATCGCGGCGGCAACCACAGAGTTGTGGCCATCCATCGCGACAACCCTGACCGTTCCCTTCAGGTTACCGACATCCCTTAAGGCGCAACAACATTCCCAGACATCCTTCGACTCTCACGGCTCGACGACATCCTCGAACGGCTCCCGCAAGCTTGCTAGCTCCCCCGCGCGCGAAGCTTCAAGCTCCTCGGCCCTGCCCGCCTTCCTGAGAAACGCGCCTCTGCCCCAGACCGTTGTCCCTCAGGGTTTAGCAAATGCTGCGCCTACAAACATCTTCTCGGAACTCTCAAGCATGTCTTCCCGCCAGCTCGCCATGGCGAACCCTCTCTTCCGGCGCTCGTTCTCGGCGCTCATGTCCAGGCCCCTGGGCACTGTCAACACCCTCCGGTCCATGAGCACTCACCAGCCCGGTCGCATTCCGTCTTTCTTCCGTTCGCCAGTACATTCTCCTCTCGGTTTCACTCTCCAGGTCCGCAACTTCGGAAACGGTGGTCTTTCGCACAGCCTTCTGGCTGCTCGCGAGGCTGCTGCCAACCAGTTCCCAAACAGCGCCGGTGCTCAGTACGCCTTCTACCAGGCTCTTCTTAAGGCGAACATGCCTGCTATCATTATCGAGAGATACCAGTCTGGACGCTTCGCTACTAACGAGCAGGTAGACCAGATCTACCAGCGCGCTCTTGCCATTTCCTCCGGTCAACCCTACACGCCTGCGAACAACGCCACTGTCGATAACACGGTCTATCACCCCTCCGGTTTCACCGCTAGCCAGATCCATGCCGCTGGTACCGCCGCTGCTGCTCAGCATACTGGCGGAAACATGGCCATGGTCAAGCCGATCGCTGCCGGTGCCAAGACGGGTCCTCTGCATATCGTGGTGGATGAAAGTTTCGGAAGCGCTGCTCTCAGATGGGTCAAGTTTCTCATGTGGTTCACTCTCTTCACGTATCTCAGCATGGTTGTCATCACTATGGTCTTCGAGGGCTTGAGCAGCATCAAGCGCCCCGGTGGCAAGCTTGAGGCCAACGAGGTTAAGCCCGAGAACCAGAAGGCTCGCTTCGCTGATGTACACGGTTGCGACGAGGCCAAGGAAGAGCTTCAGGAACTCATTGACTTCTTGCGCAACCCCGAGAAGTACTCGACTCTTGGTGGCAAGCTCCCCAAGGGTGTGTTGCTCGTTGGACCCCCCGGTACCGGTAAAACTCTTCTGGCTCGTGCTGTCGCTGGCGAAGCTGGCGTTCCCTTCTTCAACATGTCTGGTTCGGAATTTGAAGAGGTCTACGTCGGTGTTGGCGCAAAGCGTGTTCGTGATCTCTTTGCTGCCGCCAAGGCCAAGGCCCCCTCGATTGTATTCATTGACGAACTTGATGCTATCGGTGGCAGGCGTAACTCCAGGGACGCTACTTATGTACGTCAGACTCTCAACCAGCTTCTTACCGAGTTGGACGGTTTCGAGCAGAACAGTGGTGTGATCATCATCGGCGCCACCAATTTCCCCGAGTCCCTCGACAAGGCGCTGACCCGTCCCGGCCGCTTCGATCGCAACGTTGTTGTCTCTCTTCCCGATGTCCGCGGCCGCATGGCCATTCTCAAGCATCACGCCAAGCGCATCAAGGCTGCCGCCGATGTCAACTTGGAGGCCATTGCTTCCAGGACTTCGGGTCTTTCCGGTGCTGAGCTGGAGAACATTGTCAACCAGGCTGCTATTCACGCCAGCAAGTTGAAGGCTCAGTCTGTTACTCAAAAGGATTTCGAGTGGGCAAAGGACAAGGTCATCATGGGTGCTGAGAAGCGTAGTATGGTTATCACGGCCAAGGAAAAGGAGATGACTGCCTATCATGAGGCTGGCCACGCCCTCGTCGGATATTACGCCAAGGACAGCGCAAGCTCGCTCTACAAGGTCACCATTCTTCCTCGTGGTCAGACTCTTGGCCACACTGCCTACCTCCCCGAGATGGACAAGCACTCGTACACTGTCAGGGATTACTTGGGCATGATTGACCGTGCCATGGGCGGCAAGGTCGCTGAGGAGATTGTCTACGGTAACGAGCTTGTAACTAGCGGTGTCAGCGCTGTACGTTTTCCCCCCACTTCTCTATGTCATTTACGAGTCAACTAACACAACATATAGGATCTTGACATGGCCACAAGAACCGCCTGGCAGATGGTTGCTCAGCTCGGCATGTCTGAGAAGCTCGGCCCCGTCGAGTACCTCCGCAAGTACAACCAGCTCAGCTCCGAGACCAGGGCGATGGTTGAGTCCGAGGTGAAGAGAGTTCTTGACGAGTCCTACGAACGTGCGCGTAACCTGCTCACCGAGAAGAGGAAGGAACTTGACTTCTTGGCCAAGGCGCTCGTCGAGTATGAGACGCTGGACAAGAAGGAGGTTGAGAAGGTGATTCGGGGAGAGAAGTTGCCGGATCGCATCTCAGTGCCACCAGGGCCCATGTCCATCCCCAAGCCCAGCGAAACCCTGGAGCCCGGCCTTCCCCTACCACCTCTACCTGGCGATGTGCCGCCTCCGGGTGACAGTGGTCCGGGACCGGCCCCGCCGCCGCCTGTGCCCGCGTAGGAATAAGTGGGCGAGTGGGTGAGTGGGTGAGTGGGTGAGTTGAGTGTAAGTAAAGGTGCGGGACAGGACATATCAACACAATTGTCTTATAAATCAATGATGAACAAACAAACCAAGAAACCAACAAAAAGCCTGGCTTTTTTCTCCATGTTTTTGGGGGGGTCAGGTATACAAAAAGCATAAATCTCAACACATTACATCACAACACAACAACACCATTCTAATGGGTAGCGGGGCTAGGGTATCAAATCAGGCTCTTTCTTTCTTTACGAAATGTATTTTAGTATTCATGTTGGGTTTTTGTTTCTGGCATTCAGCGCATCATTTTCCTACAAAGAAATTGATAAGGACGAGGAAGGGTGAAGATGGGATGAAAGAATGGGTATAAGAGGTTGTGGTTGGATGGGCGCATTAGATGGCGTTTTTGTGTGTCGAGTTAGGTTTAGTATACTTACTTTTGCTACCACTTCCTCCACTTCCTCTTATTTCCAGACTTGACGGTGATGACGATGACTACGATATCTCATAACTGGAGCTGAATGATACGTTTGAAAAGTAGTGCCTCTTTCACTCTTGACAGGAATAGGTGTGCATTGATGATGATGTTCCGTCCAAAGACATCCCACGGTCGTCTTTCCATCCGAGGTTAGGCATGGCTTCAGTCACGATAATCTTGAATGCTTACTTCTGGCGTTTCCATGTCTCGTGTATAATGAGGCCTAGGTAGGACAAGCAAGCCACTCCAGTAAGCCACTGGACCCTGACAAAAAGAGGCTTCGGAGCTGACTCTACCAAAATGGAAAAGCGGAAAGTTTATACGAAGGTTGCTACTTGAGGCTGAAGTTACGGCATATCAGCCTCAACACTCTAGCGTCTTGTACGGACGGAGCTGGATATCCGGATCGCAGGCTGGTAGGCTGGGCTTTGTTTGATGTTCGGTTGATCTTCCTGTTGACAGATGGGTGTGTGTGTGTGGGCATGGGTGGTTGTGTTTGGTTGTGTCGTCGATCACTTTCTTGGATGTTCAGGTCATGTATGGTAGTGTAGCTGTCAAACCCATCGGTCGCTTTTTGTTGGACTTTTCTCTACACTACGTTATGTTTGCTCACACAGCACACAGTCCCGCCCGGTGGGTGTCACGATGGCGCCTTCTCGGAATAGGGTGAGTGCACGACATGGGCATGGCCATGGAATCATTGAGCGTTCATATAAGACTGGGCTTCCATGCACCATTGTGAGCAGTACTAGAGCGTAGAGTTCTTGAGATGTGGTGGTCTTGGGGGAAGCATAAACATGCAACCATGGAAAGTCCATGTAACTGCGGCTTTGCCAAGCCCGCGATGGCTTCAGATATTCCCCCGTCAGGGATATGTCAGGTTTCGTTTGGGTTGTAGGTTGTTTGGACCACTGCCAGAAATCGGATGTCGGCTAGAAGACAAAGTGTCTAAATGGTATAGTAGCTCTCGCCAAGTTGATAAAGTAAAGTACTAATAAGATCTAGCAGATATTGCAGTGATCTCGGTCGGGGATGTTAGTGTGTCATGGGGCGGTAATGAGTGAGAGTTTTACGTATCATTGCCCTTCATGGTACCGTAGGGAGAAGAAAAAAAAAAAAAAAAAAAAAAGGGAGGCTCCGTCCGGGTTTCGATGAAATCTGTTACCGGGTTTTCGTTTCATCTGGATAGGGTGGTTTGATGTTGTGTGGTTGTCGGTTCTTATTGGTTCAGTTGTCCAGTGCCGCGCTTCTATGTACTCTAGTCCCTATCAAGTTACCGGCTACCACGGCCGCTCGGTCGTCTTTACCCAATGAACTTGAAAGGTTAAAGCAGTTCATCTCGAATGTTTTCCTCGCTTTGATGTTGTGCTATCTATCACTGGACGTTAGTGGGCGTCACGGTATCAAATCAACTGATAGGGAGTTGTCCCTTGGAGGGCGGGAGATGCGGCGCGCTAAATTGTT